AAGTCGCATGACCTAGGCAATTTTTGTTTTATCAAAAAAAATTGTCATTATTTAAAAATCAATTTATTATAGTAATAGTAATATCATAATCATTATTAAATAACTGTATTAATGACTTTTCAAAAAAACTACTAGACATTGTGTTTGCAATTTTTTTGCTGCCAGTATATATTGTATATAAAAATCTATTAAATAACAATAATTATTATTTTTTATATAAAATTTATTTATCATTAAAAAAAATAAATCAATAACCATTGAATAAAAAAATTGCACTAAATTGCATAGATATAACAATAATAATAATTTATAAAAATTAACAATTAAATTATATATATATATATTTAAAATTTATGCATACAATATATAGTATTTTTCTGGCAATATAAAAATTAAAAACACCTTGGTGATTGTGATAATTTTCTAATAACAACTATTCCAATACACACACATATATATATACATTGTATATACGGTATATTGAATATATATATTATATATACCGTAAATATTCATTGAAATATACAGTATATACCGGTATATTCTGTATATATATATATATATTAAATATATTCACCAAACCGTTTAACACACCAAACATATTAGACACTTGACATTAAAAATTTATGGCTTTTTTTGTGTTGCAGTTGTTGAAAAAGGGTTACACTCTTACATACCGTATATATATTACACAAAATAAATTATAAATAGTTATCAATGGGGTTAGAACAGGTAAGTGAAAGTGTGCGCCACTACCACCAACACCACCACCTAAAAACTTTGAATATACAAATCATTGAACACTACATTATCATCTGGTGGTGGTGGTGGTGGTGATGGTGTATAGTGGATACTACTAGTAGGGTAATGGTGTGACTAAACAATCTGGTGCACTGGGTATCTCGGACATCTCTACGGTATAACAAATGAGAGAGAGAGAGAGAGAGAGACAACCTGACAATAAGGATATGTAAATAATTTATTGCCTCCCAGTTTTAACAACACCAGCACCCCCACTAGCCCCCAGTTAAGCACTGGTATATACTGTATATATATGTTGGATCACCCTTTGGTCACTTTGCTATGTGAAAGTGAAAGAGAGACAATCGCATGGCTTAGGTATCAGAGCGCCGGGCATTAGTTTTCTGGATCAGTTACACACACACCTCTGGACAATACTGTATATATATTAAGCATATGTTTTTGCGATGTATGTGTGTGTGTGTGTGTGTGTGTGTGTGTGAGGGGCGACATAGACATCTGTGTGTATGTGTGTGTGAAAGTGTTTGGTCAGCACAATGGTCGGGTGATAATCCAGAAATTGAGATAATTTATTGCCCACTCATTTAATCCCATCCATTGGTGTGATAACCTAACAACACACCACCGCTATCCCACTCATCTTAAACATGAGTATAACATATACTGTATTGTATTATATATATATATATAAAACCCTTTCACTTATGACCTTGGGGTCAATTGTCTACTATATACCTATGTAGATGAATGTGTCAATTGTGTGTATGTGTATGTATGAAACATGTATTGGGTGATGGTAATATATGATAACTAACTGTCCTTGTTTCTAAAGTCACATATGCGCTTACATAAATCATACATTATTGATTTACAAATAATAATAATAATAATAATTTATATACATGTGTTCATACTATTACTACTACTACTACTACTACATACTGGTCAGTCACCTTAACCTAACCGGGCGCCGGTAATTGGATTTACACTCTTACTAGTAGTACTAACTATAATCTCATTACATTTTTTTTTTGGAAAAATACAGGTACATTTGCAACAAAATGTGTTATTTAAAAACTATAGATATAATATATATATATAATAGATTATATATATATACAGTATAATATATTTTATAAATGGAAATTTTTTCACCAAAAAAAATAAATTTTATATACTGTATATATAATAATAATAGTAATAATAATAATAATTTCTAATTAAAAAATTATTACTGATGTTATTAGACAAATAAATTATAACTATATTTATATATATACTTCTATCTTGTCTGAATTATAGTCTAGAATTTTTTTTATAAATATATATATATAAAATATTTCTATAAATTATCTTTCTCAAATTTCAATAACACATTACAAAATACAACCAATAACAAAACAAAAATAAAAAAAAAATTAACTATCTATTTTATTTTTACTTATTAAACAAAAATTATATATATATATATTTAATATTATAATAATATATCTCTCAATAAAATCATACACATAAAAAAATTGTTGTGCATTTTCCCCTCAATAATAATAATAATAATAATTTATTATTATATCCATATAAAATAATATTAAAAAAACACACATACACAATTTAATTTGTTTTCAATAGTTATCAGCTAACTAACTAACTGTCCAATCAAATCAATTAAATTAACTAGCAACACACACACACACACACACACACATCAAACTAAAAATATATAATATTATTATCAATGATAATTTATCATGTTTATATTATTATACTTTTTAATTTTTATCATTATACTGTATTTATAAGTAATAGTTTTATTTTAATTATTATAATTATTTATATATATATAATTTTGTAACTTTTTTTTTATAAATTTTATTTTTAGATAGTTTTTTTAAGTGCAATATGAGAGTGAGTGAGTGAGTGAGTGAGTGAGTGAGTGAGWGAGAGAGAGAGAGAGAGAGAGAGATCAGGAAATTTTGTCATCAGGAAATAAATTTCAAAAAAAAAATATTATTTTTTTTATTAAACAGTTTTTGTAATGAAACTAAAAAAAAAATTTATTTTTATAATTTTATTTTTATTCAAACAAAATTATAATATTAAATATAAATTTGATCATAATATGATCATAATATCAATTTGATAATAAATATAATCAGTACGACACATACAACACACGTATTTTAGTGAATTATTTTACTATAAAATGAAATACTAATAACAAAAAAAAAAATAAAACTAATTAAAATAAAAATTATTAAAGCATTTCAATTAATGACTACGTATTAAATAAATTTTTATTTTACATTTTATTTTTGTTTAATTTATAAAAATCATAAGACTCTCTCTCTCTCTCTCTCTCTCTCTCTCTCTCTCTCTCTCTCTACGATACGATTGAAGTGTATATTATTACATATACAGTACTATACTATACTATACATATACTTCCCATTAAGAAACACCAGATAGCTATTACATACCATACCATTGCTATCTCTCTCTCTCTCTCTCTCTCTCTCTCTCTCTCTCTCTTTCATCGATAACACCATTTAAATGTCGGTTAAGCTTTGCATTGCATCTCATAAGACATCAATAAAAAAAAATTTAAAAACTTTAACACAGATTTAATTAAAGATATATATATATATTTAAAAATATTAAATTCATATTCAACATATTCATCAAAAAATTATAATATTTATAATACATTAAATAATAATGATTAACAATTTCATACACTAATAATGTATTTGATAAAAATATTTTAAATGCCTATATAGTTAATATTAATATTGTATAATAATATATGCCAGCACTTATCATATATATATATAATAATAATATACATGTACATTATCATATAATACAGTATATACATGTATATATATATATAAATTTATATATAATTTATAGCAAATTCAATATAGTAGTAGTAATATTGTAAGTGTGTGTGTGTGTGTGTGTGTGTGTGTGTGTGTGTGTGTGTGTGTGTGTGTGTGTGTGTGTGTGTGTGTGTGTGTGTGTGTGTGTGTGTGTGTGTGTGTGTGTGTGTGTGTGTGTGTGTGTGTATTTCCAATGTATGGTATTTAAGTAATACCATATCTAACTTAAATAAATTTGTGTGTGTGATAATAATGTTAATAATAATAATAATAATAAAATTAATTTACTCTATTAAATAAATTAAGTTAAATATATATATAGATATATATATCTCAACATTATCTGTATGACTGACTACCCATACATTCCGCATACATTGCGCTTTAAATACCATGTCTTCAATAACTATATAACACTATGTATTTATTATACTGTATATAAATTATATTGCATAACTAAATTGATTAATGGCGGCATATATATAAATATATAAATTATTATTATCCAAGATTATATTTAATTAATAATATTAGTTAATTTATTTCTATTTTTTTAAAAAAATAAAATTGTTGGCATGGTGCTTAATACATAATTTATCTTGATTATATAGAAGATAAACTAAAAATAATAAAAAAAACTAACAATAACAATAGCTACCAAGTACCAAGTAAATAGTCTACTAATTGTCTAATTATAATTTTAAAAATTTAGCAAGATATATTTTTATTAAAAAATTTAAATTGTATGCACTAGCAATTTAACAAAATCAATAATAATAATTTCACATATAAATGTATACAAAAAATTATATATTTAATAATTATAATAATCAATTTCACACACCAATCGATACATTGCATATCCCTGCCCCACCACACCACCACCTCTCTACCCCCACCACCTCCCTACCCCCACCCCCACCCCGAAAAAAATTAATAGTATAGTAATTAACAATACGGATGTGTTTAAACAAACACAGACACACATACATTGTGAAATATAACCTAGGATATTTAGTTATTTATATAATAATAATAATAATACATAAATAAATATGATTGCACACACACACACAATTAATACAATATAAGCAAACAAACAAACAAATAAAATAATAATAATAATATGTGCATGATAAAATAATGAAATTCATCCAGTAATAAAAGTGAAATTAAATAACACTACTATTACTACTACTACTACTACTACTACTACTACTGTATAATAGGATCTCTAGTAGTAGAGTTTAATGACCCCCCTATACACACACACATACACCTCCCATTAAAACACAGGGGGTAAGCGGTATATATATATATGATAGTTAGTATAAAAGTTTGTTTTTTTTAAACACTTACTTTCCAACCGGCGCTTGAATTACTGTCGCCCTTATCCTTAAAATAGGGTACATTCTGGACCATCCAGTCGTATATCTGGGACAGTGTCAGCCGTTTATCTGGCGAACCATTGACGGCCTGTGTAATCAGGTCGGCGTAGGACATGTTACCCCAGGCATTGCGCCGGGAGGTGTTCTTTTTGGGACCGCCCGGACCACCACCACCACCGGCGGCGCCGCCAACCGGTGTCGACTGGCCAGACATATGGCCGGCAGCTGCAGCCGATACACAATCGGGCATACCGTCGGACATGCCGCCGCCCATACCATCGCAATCTAGACCGGCCAGCATTTCGTGAGACGATCCGTTAACACTACTGTGACCATCCATACAGCCGCCGCCGCCGCCCAGACAGCCATCGTTGATAAGCTGATCGTCCAATTCTTGGCCAATTGTTGGCAAACCGGAACCATCGAAGTCGCTAATGTCGGGTCGGGGCAGTGGCCACGTGTTTGAACGCGACCGAAACGGTTCCGGGTCAAAGTCAAGCTCCAGTGGCTCTAACTTTGGGAATATTGTGTCCATTTTTGTTGTTGTGTTCCCGTCGGGTATTATTATTATTATTATTACACAAACACTTAACTAACTAAACACAGGAGGAGGTGTTGGATCACAAAGTTTTGTTTGAATTAATTATCAGTCAATAAAATATTGTTTTTTTTTTTAAATAATTTGATTAATTTTTTGTTGTTGTAATTGTATTTATTATCCAAAATTTTTTTTTTAAAAAATTAAATTCAATTCAAAATCACAATTCAATTCAATGTTGATATATTATCATCAATGGATCAGATGATGATAATAATGTTATGGTCAGTAGTGCTGCTGAGGCACTGGATATTATTGGTTGTATTATATACAGTACATCCATATCATTATATCGTATATATATATTTATTCATATATTATGAGAAGCGCACACACCATATATATATATATAAAATAAATATTAATATAATACAAATATTATAATAATTTTTTTTTTAATTATTATTATTAATTATTTTATTAAATATTTTACTATATTTATATAATTTTTTCAATTAATTTAATAATTATTATTATTTCATATATTATTATTATATATATTAAAAATAACTTTTTATTTTATTTTTTAATTATTAGAGTATATATGAACTTAGCATTAGTTAATATATATTTTTAAAAAATTATTATAATATAAATTCAATTCAATATAATTATTATTATTATTATTATATTACTGTATATTTTTATTTTATTATTAAAAGGCCTTCACTTGCCTAACACATTACATACTACACATACAACTGTCCACACATAACACAAGCACTGGTAGGTAATATCATATATATATTAATACAGTACTACTACTACTAATGTATAGCATAGTCAGACAGAATAGCACTGGTGTGTAGTTTGAAAAGCATTTCATGTATGCAATCGCTTACTGTATGTATGTATGTATAAGCAGTCAGTCAGTTCAGTCAGTACTACTACTACACGACTAATACCTCTCAAAGTCAGTACATCTACTGATTAAAGGACTGGTAGTGTATAGTCAAGAGAGTAAGAGAGAGAGAGAGAAGAGAGGAGACCTTCGAGTCGATTACTACAGTACTATACTATACCCAGTGCTCTGGTGGTGGTGGTGTTGGTGATGGTGATGATGACATATACATACATGTGCTAAAGTGTATAACCAGTTTTCATGGCGCTATGCATTAGTATTAGTAGTATTACACAGTGTGTATAAAGCATAGGGTGGGGGCGGAGCCTAGCATTGCGGTACACGTAATGCAATGTTGACGTATGCGATGTTATAGTGTTTAAGCGCCTGTATGTACATACTGGCGCTCTCTATTATATTACTATATAGCTGACTATATAGCTCAGTCATATGATGACTGACTAACTGACTGGTATTTAGTACAGTGAAAACTGTCACTTGTCTATGGATAAAGAGGGGGGGGGAAAGAAAGGGAGGGATGGCATGTAAAATAGTGGGTTTTTTATACAATCACTATATTATGTATACATTTTTTTTGTTGGTTACATAAATCTAATATATAATATTTATTATTATTATTATTAAAATTTTTAAAAAATTTATTATAAAAAATTTATTAATTATTATTATCACTTTAATAATATATAATATATTAATATTTATTATAACTATATATACAGTATATATATGTTAAACTTTAAATGCAAATTAATATATGTACAGTATAATTTATATAATTAAATATATTAATTAAAAAAAATTAAAAAATGATACATCTAGCAAATTTTATTATCGCTTAACAAACAAAAAAAAATTAAATTAAATTAAAAATTAGACTAGCTTGCAAAAAAAATTTGTTAAATGTGCATTTTTTGTTTGTTTGATAATTTTAAATTATCACATTTTTTAATGAAAATCAACAACAACAAAAATTAAAGTTAATTTCTAATTAAATTTTTTAATTCCTAGAAAATTTTTTAATATTTAAAAAAATAAAATAAGAAATTAATAATTTTTATTATAGTAATTTATTTGCTATTTTTATTATTATTATTATACAGTATATTAAATTGCATTAAGTACAGTACATTAACTTTAACTTTAAAATTATATTACAGGGTATAATGTACTGTATAATTTTTTTTTTTGAAAAATTTTTCTAGCCTAGCTTGAAAAATAGCATGCGCCACACATGTCATCAAATTTTTTAAAAGTGTATATTAAATATACTCTATGTATGTATGTATGTGTGTGTGTGTGTGTGTGTGTGTGTGTGTGTGTGTGTGTGTGTGTGTGTGTGTGTGTGTGTGTGTGTGTGTGTGTGTGTGTGTGTGTGTGTGTTTGTGTTTGATTTTGATTTGATCAATATCACTTATTTTTTTTAAAAAAAGACACTTAAATATTATATAATATTATTATGCATGCTAAATTTTTAGGCTATAATTATTTAGGTAATACAGTATTGCATATATACAGTATATAATAACTATAATTTATTTGTGTGTGTGTGTGTGTGTATGTGTGTGTGTGTTAACTAGTACAAGTACATGGCTGAATTATTTTACTTATGTTTGATTATGATGATGATTATGACAATGATGTTTATACTCAATTATCTTTTTTTCAATAGTATATATTAATTAAATACTAGTAGTATATACTTTATATGAGATTTATACCCGACTATACTAACTATTACTACTACTACTACTACCTGTATATGATTTGTTAGAAATTGATGTCAATGATGTGATGATCATATAATTTATAATAATTTTTGTTATAATAATCATAATATTACGTAATGTCTTATATATATATGTAAAAAATTTTAAGCATTTTTTTGCTGGCGGTTTGCTGTGTTGCAGATTATTTGATAATTATATCATAGATTAATTTTTTATGCCATAATTTAATAATAATATTATTATTATATAAATGTTTGGTTTATAAATATAGATATATTTATTTATAAATAATATTTATTTAATTAAATTGTATATCGGGTATCATTTATTTTATTTTATTTTTTATGTATTTATTTTTTTTATGTATTTCTCTACTGTATTTTTAATGGTCACTAGAATTATAAAGATATTTAATTAAAATCTCTCTCTCTCTCTCTCTCTCTCTCTCTCTCTCTCTCTCTCTTTCACAACACATTTATCACATCATTCACTTGAATTCATTATTCAATATATAAATATATATATTATATTAAATTTATATACACTTTATGAGCGCACTGTCAGTAAGTACTCTGTAGTAATGCAATCGCCAGAGCCATGCCATCAAAAAAATAAAATAAAATAAATAAATAAAACAAAAATTGAAATAAAATAAAACGCCAGGCGCTGTAAGCACTGTTACCTTGACCCCAATACCTAGATATTCTTATTAAATGCAATTAAATGGCATTTTAATCAATACTTTTTATTATTAATATATATTTATATTATAATATATATATAAGAGTGAATTTTTTTTTAATAAAATAAAATAAAAAACTTTTTTCATATCACTATTAATATGTATTTACTATTTTACTTTCTCTCTCTCTTTCTCTCTCTCTTTCCGCTATTATCGATGACTTACTTATTAAATACTAAATTTATTGAATAATATATATATATATATAAATAAAAATATTATAAATAAATGATAAAAAATAGGAAAAACTAAAATCTGCCGATGAATAGTACTTTTATTTTAGCGATAATATAACTAAAAACAATAATTATTTTAAAAAATGTTTATATAGATTATTATTATTATTAGTGTATTTACAATTTTTTTTATTGTCTAATACATGATAAAATCTAAACAAATTATACAAAAAAAATTAATTTACAAAAATTAACTAATGTTAACCATTATAATTGTTACCATTATTTATTTTTTATATTCATTATAGTTATTATTATTATTACACCAAAAGCGATATATTATTATTTTAAAAATACTATAAATTCAATACCAAACTATAATTAATGATAATTAAAATCTTATTAAAATTTTTTTTATTTCATATGCTTAACATAGAAAAAAATTTCTAAGAAATAATAAATTATTTATTAAATTTTAATTAATACAAAATAATAATATTATTATTATTAAATACTGATTTTCTCAATCGCTTTTGTGAAATAAAATTTTAAGATTTTTTTTATACTCTCTTTTTCTTTTGTTTAGTATTTTGTTATTAAAAAAAACTACAATTCAAACGATTGAATGAATAAGTGGTAATTAATTTTTTTTACAATTAATAATTTGTAATTATTATTTTATAACTATTATTGCTAATACCAACAATAAAATTGTTTTTTTTTCACTTATTATATAATGTAAAAATATAAAGTATTAAAAATATTACAAAATCAAAAATTGCAACAATAGATACATATATAATAGATAAATAAATACACACAAAAAATTTCCAAATATAACACTTCAAAAAAAATAATATATAAATTTAATTTATTATAACTTTTTATTGCCATAAAGTGAGAGTCATATATTTTTTTAGTATATGTTATATATGTTGTATCCTTTAAGTTAATCGTTAAAATAAATCATAAGTTAATATAAATATATATATATTTTTTAATTTTTTGACAAATCATAGGTGACATTAATGAGGGAAAAGTTTTTTATATGTATATATAAAATGATGTCTAAACACGCGATAGGTATGTAAGGTATGTATGTATTGATATTAATATGTATGTATTGAGAGGATAGGTATCATAGATATTCAGTATAGATAGATAGATATATTGACATTATTTATAATATTTAATTATGTAATTGATTTCAATGATTGCAATATATTTTTTTCTGACGTCATTATAATTAAGGCACTGACTTATTGATAATTATAATTTTAAGTTAATTGTATCAACAAAAATGTATATAAATTATATGTATTGATTGAGTACAGTATATATGATATATTGTTGTGTTTTTTTTAATAACTTGAGTTGACTGTACATTGATTTGAGTGGGTATTAATTATTGATTACATAACTATTATATTGATTTTTTGTTGTTATTGAATAGAGGTTTAGATTATCACCGATTAGGACATATAAATAGGTACCTGACTTTGAAGGTTATACCTATTGTGTGTGTGTGTGTGTGTATGTGTGTGTTGGCCTTACTTATTTGGCCAGTTATGTTTTTTTTGGCCAATTTATTATCTATAGAATTGCCAATTTCCCGAAATAATATACATTATAATTATTATTATATGATAATTTATAGGATAATAATAATTATAATAAATATGCTAAAATCCTGATTGTTTTTTTTAATTATCAATTATTATTTTTATAACTAATATTAATATGTTTGTTTTTCAAAAAAAATTATTTAAGTTGCTTTTCAAATTTTACTAAATTATTTGATTTAAATAATTTGATTTTTTAAAAGAAATTAAATTATATTTTGATTATCATTTTAATTGAAATAAAATGTTATAATTTCTTTATTTAAAAAAACAAATATATAAATAACAAATAAATATAATTTATTATACTTTTATTAAATAGTATAAATATTTAATAACTATATTTAATAAAAATACAATAATAAACAATTTTTATGAATAAATAAATAAATAAAATTAAAAAAACAAATCAATTTATAATTATTAGAAAAATACATATTATTATTTTTTTTTAAATATTACAAAATCAGAGACACATATCCTAATAGCTTACAAAAAATTGTATCTAAATTAACATTAAATAAAATAATTTAAGTTTTTCCATTAGTTTTAATATCAATTAATTTAAATATATTTTATTTATTGCTATAGTCTTTAAATTTTAAATTTCTATTTATTAAAAATTATTTTTTTAAACATTAAAATAAATTATTATATATTTTTCTAAATAATTAAAATATCTATCATATGTTTTTCTATTATTAGTAGATCTATTTATTTTTTAAAAAATAATAATAATAAATAATTTATTACGAGATATGTGTATAAAAACACGATTCATTCAATTTTTATCGTTGAATATATACATTATATACTGTATATATATATGATATTGTTGATAATATATAACCAATGAGTTATGGACTCTCCCAGAAATGTGCGGTTAGATAATAGCACCGTAGGTTTGTTTGATTACTACTACAACAACTACTACTAGTATTATTGAACCTCTGGTACGATCAGACCAGATGATGGCAATACATGCACTTGTGTAGCCCGACTCCAATTGTAGACCTGTCCGACATCGAAGGCCACCAGTTTGGCCTCACCGATACCGTTCATGAGTTGGTCGGGTGGGGGCGGCGGCGGCTGCACTACCGGTGCCGTTGCTGTGGCCACATTGTTGCTATCAGTGTTACGGTTAATGTATTTCGATAGCCTGACTGTAGGATAGGGTAGAAAACCGCTGATAAGTGGCATCACATCGAACCGAACCTCGTATTTGTCTTGCGGACCGTCAATGGTGACAACACCGGCTGTTTTGCCGCAAACATTCCACAGGGTCTGGTCGGACACTATTTCGTACATAATTGACTTGTGATCGTCGGTAGCCTGAAGTCGGCTGATGGCCACATTCAAATGACACAGTGCACCAGCCCGACAAAATTCGGTACCGTTTTGCGGTTCAATATTGGCCGCAATGGTGTACAGTGTATGATAATTGGTTAGAAATTTCAGATCAAACATAAACTGTTGCCAATTGACGGCCAGCGGATCGTCAAAAAGTTTGTATTGTAATTTGAATAGCAATTTGTTGGCCACTACTAGTGTCCGATCGAGTGGATTCTGGCCAACCAATTCCCAAACGTAGTGTACGGTTTGGGTGTGGTGTACAACACACGAGTCGTTTTTTGGCACATAGGCTATCAAATGTAAGCGATCGTTATCGGCAAAATCGTTGGGAACAGTCAACCGGGGTTCGGACACAACAATCGGCCGTTTGGACACACATTGGACAATAATTTCGACAAACTTTCGACACTCGCACGTATGCAGTCGATGAGTGACAATAAACGGCGGCATCAGATGAAACTGGACGTTCACTAATCGTATGGTCGGTACTGATGGTGATCTACTATTGGTGCCGACAGGACTGTTGTTGATATTGTTTACCGACAACGCCGGCCAACTCATGGTTAGCTCGTGACGAACAGAATTATCGTCTTTTTGTGGTAATAGTTGTGATTTGATTATCAACGGTATTTCGTATTTCTGAAACGGTTCCAACGTTGCCGGCAATACAAACGTCACTTCATCACGTAAATCGTCGGCCGTCACATCGGTTTCCAGTCGTAGCCGTAGGCCATGCGATGCCCGGATGGTCAACGGTGTTCGGGCCGGAAAACTACTGCTACCGCAGTTCAGTTGCAATTCAATGGACTGCTCGACACCGCACAGTATATCGCTGGTCAGTCCATCCAGTGTTGTCAACTGGAGTACCTTCAATGTCGGTGCTTCGGTAATCACCGAAAAACATTGGTGATGATGTCGGACATCGGTCCCGACAATGCTGGCATTGGCGTCCCAATTGAGTACAATCTGATCCAATTGAAAAGTTCCGGTCATTTTTGTCGAATACTTCAGTCGAATATCGTTGACACCGGGTCTCAGTAGTACATCGGTGGCCACAAATGCGTCTGTATATTCGGGAACCATTGGTTCCTTGTCCTGCAATACAAAACCGTGACTATCGCTGCGCCGGATCAACAGTTTTCCGGTATTATTGCACTTAACGCCCACCGAAATACTCGTGTGAAACGTTTCGACCTCTGGTTTAAGATTGGCGGTCGCTTTGAGTAAATTGTTTCGTGACTTGACATCTATAATCTCATCCATGTGTGGACACCCGCCGCCGGTGATCGTTGTCGACCTATGTTTGTTAGCCGTAGTAGTCATGTTAGACGACAAGTCTTCATAGATCAACGTAATCACTACTTTATCACAATGAATATCTTTGGGAAAGTTATTGATGAGCTCGAGTGATAGCTCCAGACGCCGATTGGCGACCGTATAGTGACCGTCGAGAGCCAACAATCGCATCGATTGTACCTCAAATAGTTCGTCCATTGCTATACATATCGGCCCCACCGCTGATGATGATGATGACGATGACATCATTGACAGATCACTGTTATGTCTATTATGATTATTATTAGTACCGGTATTAGTATTATTGTTCGGCTGGTGTTGCAGTGTCTTCAACAGTCGTTCGCTTTCCAGACAATAGTTTAGCCGCTGGTCGCCGGCAATCAGTTCGTTGGCGGCCAACTGGCACTGGACTTTGAAGACACGGCGTGAGTCGCCAACCATTTCGTAGCACTTCAACAATAGCACACGTATTTCGTTCAACAGGTGCGGCCATTTTTCTCGGACATAGACTTTCTCTAAGTCGAGCAGAAAAGACATAGCTTTCTGTGGTTTACCCATTTTGCTACATAAGCGACAACAACAACAAATCGATTAGATATTAGTTTCATTGGAAAAAATACAGATTTTATGTGTCCGTGTTTACATACATATAAAGTTCGGCCAACTCTTTGCCAATTAGTCGGGCAAATCGCATGCGTCCGATGTGTTTATAGGTACCCATTGTTAGCTCCGATATTTCCATATAGTGTTTGAGAAACGACTCCTGGCCTGAAAGTGCCTCTTTCAGTCGTTCCTGTGGACTGGGCGGTACTTCTCCTAGTCGCGGATCGTCACCCATACCGGCAATCAAGTTGACCACACGGTGCAAATGTTCGGACGTCATTGTCTGGCCGGGCATTAGGCCGCATAACGTTCCCAATTCGGCTAACTAAAAATTCAATCATTACTATCGGTAATCAAAAATGATAGTCCAGTTAGTCCAGTCATACCTTATTCCTGGCGTACGACCACAGGCCGACCGTATGCCTCAAATAGGACTCCATTTGCGATGAATCGCTATAGCGTTCGCATTTGTGTAGTATTTCCAGTGCACTGAGAAACACCCAACAGGCCATACCGCCCGGTGTCATCGTAATCTCCAATATGTTTAGTTCGTTGAAACAGTTTTGCAGGAACGGCAGGGCCCTGGAGGCCAACTCCCATGGTTTGTTCAATAGTAACAGTAGTTCGGATTGTCGGGCAAACAGATAGTTGCGCAGTTCGATCAGTGTCTTGTTGTGTGTGGAGGTGGTAGTGGTGGTGGTTGTATCGTTGCCATCGACGGTGGCAGTGGTGGTAAAGAACTGTCGGCGCAACGATTTGGATACCGATGCCGATAGACAGAGTCCGTGCCAGATATCGTAGTTGGTCGACAACCGGGTCAGCCATTCGGGTATTGGTCCCGAGTTTGAGTTGATAACAAACTGTGAGAACAGTGCATCCAATTCGTCGTACTGGACGAGTGCTTCGTCGTAAAGACTTAACATTTCAAAGGCAAAAGCCAACTGTTCCTGTAGGCCGAAGAAGTGAAAGAAATTCCAGTTCGGTTGGTTACGGCTTTCCCGTTGAGTTCGTATAAAATCTTCGTAACGCAACAACTGACGCGAATAGGAGCTCAACAACAGTGACCTCAGCCGACACATAAACTGTTGATAGCTTTCCTGGGTCTTCGAGTCGGTCTTACCCGTAGCGCCGGCGATAGTGGTGTCCAACAGCGATACAGTACGGTCGGGATTGGATTTGACCAGCGGGAAATCGTTACGCAATTTGTCCAATACGGTCGACGATGTCTTAATAGATGGCAACAGTTTGGTTTTGTTGATAACGCCGACAGCTCCGGACTTCTTATCCGAACCGTTGTCCAAATGTACGATAAACCAGTCGCTAATACCGCGTGAAGTCATCTTTGCCAACCATTGGCTAACTTCGTCGCGTGTCTGCGTCTTATAGGTATCCAAATCGGAACAATCCGTCCAAAATGTGTACAACAATGGCCGCGACAATAACTGTTGCATATCGTTGATTTCGGCGGCCAAATATTTGTCGTCAAACGGTACCAGTTTGGCCTCCAGATAGACAATCTTCGACGATCGACCATAGGATCTGATTGGCGGTAAAGAAACAATTTAATGGACAGTTAAACAGTTATGGATCAGTCAGTCAGTCAGTCAGTCATCGGGACAGTGGGTGTCATATATCACACAAACCGTTGCCATTCGACGCCTTCTTGCGGCAGATCCCTGACAATGGCCTGAGACAACTGGCCGGACAATACCAGCGATCGTTGGCCAGAGACTGAAGAGATGGTAATAATAATAATAATAATAATTAAAGTCATGAATAATAATCAAAGACATCGCGCGCGCGGATCGATTGGTCCGATCGGTTAACCGATGACCAGAAATATCACTTACTGGTGATCAACGGCTTGTTGTTGTCGTCGTCGTCATCTGAAGACATTGTTGTTGTTGTTTTAGGTCCTCCAGTGATGTCTTCACACTTGCGGATCAATTCAATTGTCAATCAATTTTGTTGACAACAAAAAACTTTTTGTTGTTTTTTTGTTGTCTCTCTCTATCTATAAATGTATTGATATTTATGTGTTATGTTTACAAACATTTATTATATAATACAATACTCTCTATGTTTTTTAATACATAAATAACGGTTTGCATTGAGAATTGTATTATAAAAAAATAATTAATAATTAAAAGTATATTTAGTTTTTTTGTTTGTTTATAAAATCAATAGTAAAATATTATTTAATTAATTATTAATATATTTTAATTAATAATATTAACTATTATTTTAATATTTATATATATTTTGTTTGAAGTTTTTTTTGTTAGTATTATATAACAGTATTTAATATAATTAATAGTTTTTTTGTTTAAATATTTAGTTACACAATGTTTTTTGGCATTAATTTTATTGATTTATTTATTATTATTTTTGTTAATTAATATTTAAATTTTATTGTTTTTGTTGATTATATAGCGGTATATATATATAGAATAAATGTATTTATTTTTATTTTCAAATAACTTAATCTATAAATTAGTTTTATAAAAAAAAAGTTTTATTCAAATCAATAACAAACAAAAAAGTTATACAAAATTTTTATTTAAAAAAAATACAAAAATAATATATTTTTTTAATAGTTATAAGCAGTTAATTAATTAAAAAAAAAACAAACAGTTATTTGCTATAATCATACCAACCTTTACCCGTTTTTCTGCCCAATCGGCCGTCGGCTACCATTTTGTCGACCAATTCGGACGACGCTATATTCAATGACGGATCGTTGCGGGCCAGCCAAGCATCCCTAACAAACTTTCCCGTATCAATACCGGTCATATCCATCAACTCGAACGGTCCCATCGGATATCCGGCGCCCAACTTCATAGCCGTATCGATATCTTCGACACTGGCGTCGCCTCTTTCCATCATTTTCACCGCTTCCGATGAATACGGTATCAGCAATCGGTTGACAATAAAACCGGGAGTATCGCGACATTGGACGGAAACTTTGCCGATATCGGCTACAAACTGGCGCAACGATTCCACGGTCTGGTCACTAGTATCGACCAATTTGACAATTTCAACTAATTTCATCAGTGGTACCGGATTGAAAAAATGTAGTCCAGCGTATCGGTCCTTAACCGGTACGGATAGACCAATATCTTTGACGGCCAACGATGACGTATTGGTCGCATAGATTACCGTCGGGTTATCTTTGAACTGATCGTATAGATTGGCAAATATTTTCTGTTTTACATCCAATAGTTCGGGAACGGCTTCGACTATCAACAGATTATCTGTCGATTTGGGATCAGTTCGGTTGGAAAATGTTATACTATTGACAGCACTGTCCACACTCTCGATGTCGACCTTTCCTTTTGCGTACAGTTTTTCAATACTCTTGGCTATAGATTTCTTGGCGATTCCGAGCTGTTTATCGTTGACGTCGTACAGTGTTATCGATTGAAATTTACCCGAAGTAGCGCACGACTGGGCAATACCCGAACCCATAAGACCCGATCCGATGACCAGTACATTGTCTATACGATTCGGTGACGACTGACCACTACTACTACTACTACTACTACTACTACTGGATAACTGCCGTAAAATTAGTAGCGATGAGTAGTAGTTATTATTATTTTGTCGGATAATTGGCCGCAAAATTGATTTAAACATTTTTATATACGTTTATATTATATATAGTTTTATATATCAATATATTTGATAATTATTTATTTAGTTTTTTTTCTAATAAATAACTATTTTGTTGTTGAAAATAATATTAATTTTTATATTGTATGTCACTTTTGAAAAATATTTTTTATTTAATTACTTTTAAAAATAATTTGAGTACAAATATATTTATATTACCCCACTTCTATTAAAATGCTTACATTTTTTTGCCTACAAATGCACTATTTATTATACAGTGCTATAACTCCACCCATTTTACACACAAAAAAGTTAATGTAAATAATAGTACTTAAAGGTCTATATTTATTTGCCTAAAAATTAAGCGAAATTTTATTTATTTTAATTATTTATTTATTTTTTATTATAATATATACTTATATACCGAATCCCACAATTATAGTTTCAAAAATACAGTACAACATTTTTTAAGTTTAAAAAATTATAAATATTTTATTTAAATATTTTTTTATTTATAATAATTTATAATAATCTAAAAAATACTATTATTAATAATCACAAAAACAGATAATAACAATCTATTGATTCAATACAAAGGTTGATAGAGCTCTTTAAGGAATTTAAAATCCTGAATAGTGATGGAAAATTAGACCACCTGAGTCTCCCCATACCACACACATAGCTATCTGACGTTAGAAATTCGATATATTCGACTAAAGTCGACTATTTTTGACGTTATTTATGAATGATATTTTCTATATAATTTTCAATACTAATTATCAATACAAAAACTAATTTTCATTATGTAGAATAGATTTCGATATATTCGACTTTAAATTAAAATAAAATATTTTGTTATAAAATAATTTTAGAATGTTAAATTTTTAAATATTTTATTTTATTTATAAATATTAAATTTTAAAAATATCTTATTTATAATAAAACAAGTTTGTATTATAGTAAAACAAATAATTTACATTTTAACACATTTATTTAGGAATTTAAAGTCGAATATATCGAAAAATATTCTACATAATAAAAATTATTTTTTGTATTGATAATTAGTATTGAAAAATACATAGAAAATATATTCATAACTAACGTCAAAAATATTCTACTTTAAAGTCGAATATATCGAATTTCTGACGTCAGATAGCTATGTTTGTGGTATGGGGAGACTCAGGTGGTCTAATTTTCCATCACTATTCAGGATTTTAAATTCCTTAAAGAGCTCTACCAACCATTGTATTGAATCAATAGATTGTTATTATCTGCTTTTGTGATTATTAATAATAGTAAGTATTTTGAACATTTTAAATTATTATAAATAAAAAAAATATTTAAATAAAATATTTATAATTTTTTAAACTTAAAAAATGTTGTACTGTATTTTTGTAACTATAATTGTGGGATTCGGTATATAACTAAATATTATAATAAAAAAATAAATTAATAATTAAAATAAATAAAATTTCGCTTAATTTTTAGGCAAATAAATATAGACCTTTAAGTACTATTATTTACATTAACTTTTTTGTGTGTAAAATGGGTGGAGTTATAGCACTGTATAATAAATAGTGCATTTGTAGGCAAAAAAATGTAAGCATTTTAATAGAAGTGGGGTTATACTATAATTATTATAGTAATATAAATATATTTGTACTCAAATTATAGTATAATATATGATAGCATTTATCTATGAGTTTTAGATTTTGAAAACCTGATTTGAAATTTGTCTMTAATTAAATACATAAATAAATTATATATATTGAAAAAATTGATCCCTAAATGTTTTTTTAAATATATATATATATATATACAGTATATATATATTATTTTTAAATAATTAGTATCATATTTTTTTCAACACAAAAAAATTTATTTTATTAATAAAATAATATATTTAAAAAAAAAACTTGCATACACTTGTATGTATGATTTATACACATATTAAATATATATATATTAATTATCTAAATATATTGACATTATTATTATTAGTATACAATTTATTAGTAGTTGCTTATAATTATTACTATATAATTATTTTTATATTTTAAAAAAAACATTTTTATTATATTTAATCTACTATGAAAACAAAAATTAATCTGCATCATATATTTTTGTTTATTGTAAATTTTAGTGTCATTTAATACTAAATTATTTAATAATAAGAAAATAATACTCCCCCCCCCCAAATAATATAATTGAACGTCCTTTATGGAGGGGGTATTGTTTATTAACAACAACAAAAAATCAAAAATATACATACAGTAAATTTTACATGTATAAAAATATATTTAAACTATATTAAGATATTTATTTAATTATTATTTTTAAAGTACAAATAATGCTCATTTAGTATCAAAATATATATATATATATATATATATATATATATATATACAGTATTTAAATCAAAGTACAAATGAGTACATTTTAAATTTGATAATAATTACTGTATAATAATTTTTCTAAGTTGTTACTAAACTAAACTTGGTACTAAATTTTTAAAACACACAAAATAACAACAAACAAAAAAATAACAATTGTTTTGTATTTAATTATCTAATTCATTGCATTTTTCCTGAAAAACCGGGTCCCGACACCTGCCTCCTCCCCCCCCCATCCCATCTATTAGTTCCCCCCCCCAAACGCGCTTCCATACATGTTATCTAACCGATTGACAACTTTTACTGTCGGACTATTACGATACCGACGACGACCACCACTATCGCTGACCCCAACAATGTCTGCCGCGGGTCGCGGATTGGCAACCGAAGCGGGCGGTGGTGTCCTTTGTCGTCGTTTGGTGGGTAAAGTAGCGGTCGTTACGGCTTCGACCGATGGGTAAGTACCGGTATATGTCAGACACGAGGTGGCGATTATTAAATCATATACTGTATTTACCCGCACTTTTTTATTGTCCCGCCACAGCATTGGCCTAGCAATAGCCCGTAGACTGGCCGCCGAAGGTGCCAAAGTGGTGGTCAGCAGCCGGTAATGCCTCCGATGTTATCCCAATCATACCAAACCATATCTCTCTATACTATTCATTAATATCGGCGTCTTTTTCGCCCCCATTTAGAAAGGAAAAGAACGTTTCGGCGACTGTCGATAAGCTTCGGGCCGACGGTCTGGACGTACGCGGCGTTGTCTGTCATGTGGCCAAAGCCGACGACCGAAATCGATTGATTCGTGAGGTCTGTGTGTGTGTGTGTGTCCACATAATAGCCGTTACAATACGTTTACGACTAATCCTATCGACTGAATTCAATTGACAGGCAGTGGACGGTTTCGGCGCACTGGACATTGTAGTGTCCAACGCAGCGGTCAACCCGGCAATGGGCGCCTTTCTCGATGTAATACAGAAATAAATATAATAATTACCGAATATTTTTTGTTTGTTAATGACATATATATATATTTTGTAGACCACTGAGGATGAGTTTGACAAAGTAATGCACATATCTAACCGAAACCTAAACACTTCTACAGTACTGTATATTGTCTAACACTGCTATCTACTAACTTCCGCCACACTTCCAGATACTTCAGGTCAACATCAAAGCCTCGTTTCTATTGACCCGCGAGGCCTATCCGCTCATGCGATCGGGCGGTTCGTTTACATACGTCTCATCTATCGGCGCCTATCAGCCATTTGGTCTGATCGGTGCCTATTCGGTGTCGAAGACGGCACTGCTAGGTCTGGCCAAAGCCGTTGCCCAGCAATCAGCCGATCGCCAGATACGGGCCAACTGTGTCTGTCCGGGTGTAATACGGACCCGATTTTCGCAGCCTCTCTGGCAGAGCAATGAGGCTATGACTGAAATCTGTCGACTCGTACCGGCCCAGAGGTCAGAGGCCATAAGCCAGAGACTATTGCATTCAATATATCCAAAATGTTAGGCTAAATGTCCAAAACTAATTCATGTGTCCGTCCAATCTGTTCCCACATATCTATACAGGATTGGCGAACCCGACGAAATTGCCGGCGTTGTAGCCTTTTTGGCCTCCGATGACGCCTCCTATGTTACCGGCGAGAGTGTGGTGGCCGCCGGCGGCTATTTTTCTCGCCTATAGATTATATATATAGTAATATATAATAACTTACTGTAGTATATACTAAATCTGTATAAATTGAAAATCAAATAAAATTTTTATAAAATATTTACAAACTAGCGTTGTTTATGACCAACTTTTTGTTGTTTTGAGCATGTACAGTTTGCATATATATATATATATTGCATATATATGTACAGTACATGTAAATATAATTGACTAAATTATTTGTAAATATTTACAACAACAAAAAATAAATTTGAATATAATTTTTTAAAATATTACAAAAAAAAAAATATTAAATATGTCTAAAAAAATTAAGTTTAAGCGACGCTCAGTAGCCAACAGTCCACTGTTGAGAACGCTTTTAATAAAACGTTTTAATAATTTAATTAATAATAATTTAATTAATAATAATACGATGTCTTCTTCAAGTGATCCATTCTTGTCTTCAATTGCCAACATTTCCGATATCATCGGTAACAACGACGGCAGCAATGACTCGCAAATAGTGTCATCGACGGTGGCAACTGAAGACTATAGAGCTCATTGCTTTAGATAAAAAAAAATATCTGAAACTCTGGATGAAAGAGATAAACTTAGCGAAGAGTTCGACAACAAAAAAAAATTAAGTACTGTATTACAGTCAGTGTTACCGTATTTCCATGCATTTGAATCCCATATTGAAAAACACAATAATAATTCACACATTTTTACTGTAAAAACTTATTTTCTCATATTTTGTTTTGTTTTTGTTTTTTTTTTGGTAACTTTTAGTAAATTAAAATCAAAACGCAAACTAATTGAGTCATTAATGTCACGAAAGAAGAAGAAGAAGAAGAAGGCGAGACAAGAAACTGATCCACAAATGGCTTCCTTGGAAGGAACAACATCTTCATGGATGTCATAAGTGACAATTTGACAGAAAGAAAATAGAAGATAGAATAAGATAAAGAATACTCAAGGCGATCGGTTGTCACCGGTAATTGTCTGGATCTTCGGTTACATTGCCGTCAAGTGGTCAGTCGGCCGCCGCCCGTCGCTAATTAGTCCGACCACACCGTCAACTAATTATAATTCATCGACGGATTCCGGTGGCGACGACTACTACATCATCTGATAATTTTTAGTTTTGTTTTTATTTTTGGAGTTTTTTTTTACTAATTTATCGCCTTATCTCTGATATATCGCCCCTCCCCCGCCTCCTATAGTTAATTATTATTTTATATTAATTTTGTTTTCAAAAATAATTAAACAAAATCATATTAACAAAATAAATGATTTTTTTTAAGAAAAAAAACAATATGTGTGTGTATTTTATTATTGTTAATAAATAATTGAAATTTTTTGTTTGTTTGTTTGGTTGAAAAATGTAAAAACAAAAACAATCCTTTTTTTTAATGATAATTATATATAAATATATATGAAATATATTTTTATAGATAAATACTACTAATGATAATAATAATAATAAAAATTATTTATATATATAAAAAAACAATCAATTAATAATTATAGACTTAATAGATATGTATAATAAAAAAAACAATAATAATTATCAATTAATTAAAAACTTTCTACAAATTCAATGTATTATTACTTCACTAACAAAAAAAAATAATAATAAAATCGATTTCCATAATAATAATAATAATAATAAATAATTCATGTCTTATATATCATATACAGTATTATATATTTATATATATATATATATATATATTATGAGACAATTAATTAATTAATTTAATTAATTAACTATTATTTTTAATTATAAATCACTTCTTCCTTCTCCTGCTTCTCCAGACATCACATTAATTCTTCGTTTTTTTTTTATTTTTCGCTACAGTTTTCGTTCGTATAGTCTATCGATATCCGACTGATAGTGATTCTGGATGTTCTTGCGCTTGATCTTCATAATAGGCGTAACCAAACCGTTAGCCGGTGTCCACTCATCCGGACACAGTTTGATGCGCACCGGTATCTCACGTTTAGGTAGACCCAGTTTGGTTGCCCATCTCATCAGATCCTTTTCCACATAGTCGACAATTGCCGGATTTGTACATAATTGACGCCATAGCGACCCGATATCGCCACCACCACCACCACCGCTGCCATTGTTGATGGTAGGCATCAGCTCTTTGGCTAATTGTTTAAGTGATACTGCATTCGGTATTATAAACGCTATTAAGTACTGCCTATAGGAGTCACCGTAGACACAGATATTGTCGACAAAGCGGTTATTTTTGAGCTCCGACTCGATCTATGAAATGAAAAAAAAAACAGATTACCATTAGTGACATCATATATATAACATTAAACAAACAAACAAACAGTACATACCTTTCCCAGTGAGACATACTCTCCGAATTGCAATTTAATTAAATCACGTTTCCGATCGACCACTTTAAACATGCCGTCGTCGGTCACTTCGAATATATCGCCCGTACGGAACCATCGGGTACCGTCTTCGGACACTTCGAACGCTTCCTGTGTCAGCTGCGGGCTCTTGTAGTAGCCCATTGCCACATTAGTTCCGCCGACCACCACTTCGCCACGGGCGCTCGGCTTGTCGTGTACAGTATAGCCGCCTTCGGGCCAGTTGACCAGTTTGACTTTGACGCCCGTATAAATCGAGCCGACACTACCGCTGCTCAGGTCATCGAAATCCTGTGCAATGACTGTGCCAAATGTTTCAGTAGTTCCGTATCCCTTTAATAGATAATTGGGAACCAAATTAGAAATAATAGGTGTGCGCTAAGAGGTTATTATATACATACCTGAGCCAACTTAATGTTAAGACAGGCCCGGACAAAATCGTGCGTATCGGACGTCAGTGCAGCGCCGCCGCTGACCACATGTTGAATTTGGCCGCCAAACTGTTCGCGAATTGATGTACAAATCAATCGGTCGATAATAGGCGTATGGAAACCGCTACGATTCCATTGGATCTTATAGTCGACGGCAAAGTCGAACAGCTGGCGAAATACGGTTCCCCTTTTAGCTACTTTTGTATTGATATCGCTGTGAATGCGATCCAATATCAACGGTACAAATGCGGCAATGGTTGGCCGCAACAATTTCAGATCACTGGTAACGCCAGGCAATAGTCCGGTACCCGAATCGGTTAGCGTATAGGGTGTTCCGTAGCCTATTTTAATGCCGCACGAAAACACATAGAATTCGGCATAAAATTCCAGTACATGTGTTAGGGGTAGGTATGCAATATAGGTTTGGTTGGGTGTATCCGACCATTGTTCCTGAGTGATGTCCAACGACATACACATGACAAACATAACCTGTTTGTGTGTTAGTATAACACCTTTGGGCACTCCGGTTGAGCCTAGAGTTTGATGGACGGGGAGAGGGAATGGAAACGGAGTTGAAATACAATTTTTTAGAAATTAATTAATTACCGGTAATTAATAATTAGTTAGTATTTAATTAAAATAGAAAGAGAGTATAGACATACCTGACGTGTACTGAATCAATGCGATATCATCTTCGCCTGGACTAACACCGACCAGATCGTCGGCCGATGACAGGCCATCCCTTTCGAGCTGTTCGAACGGAACCAAATCAACGTCCCATTTGGACAGTTCGACATCTGGTTCGCTGCCGCCGCCGACACTACTGCTCCGTCTATAGTCCAACTCGATATAGATAATCGTCTCGACAGTTGGCAATCGATTGCGAAATTTGGCAAACTTTGCCAACTGGTCTTCGGTGGTAACAATATGTGTTACCTGGACTTCATTGATACCGTAGATCAGTGCCTCGTCGCCCAGTGTTGTATACAGTGTACTGATGGCTGCGCCGATACGAAAAACGGCCTGAGCTGTTAGGAACCACTCTGTATGTAGAGATAAAAAAACAAGACATCAAACTATAAGATATCTATCGTCTCTAAATCAACCAATTAGTTGGCCATCAAGTAGTAGTAGTAGTAGTAAATACAAACCGAGACGAGTGTCGCAAACAATCAAAACAACATCTTTGGGTTTAACACTATTGAGTAACAGTCCGCGACTGATGGCCGCAATCCTATAGTCAACTTCGCGTCGGCTAAGCCACTGATAGTCACTTAATCGCCACTTTTTCATTACTTTGCCGTCCCGTTGTTTGACCAATTCTTCGGCCAGTATACGCCGATAGCCGAGACACGGTTCGTCTGGCGAGTTCATTGTCAGCGATCGTTGCTGAGCTTCGGGTATTGTCCGACAGTCGTGCAGATAGTGTTTCGCTGGCCGATCGTCGACCGGAATACGGATCGTCGGGATTCTCGCGTCGGGCACGCCTTCGATGGGCTTTGGGTAACGCCAGACACGGCTGTTGTACGGCATAATAGATACCGTAGGTCAGGTAGGTATAGATAAACACCAGTGTCTTGATTATGGCCACAATTACCGAAAACTCGTCCGGTTTGCCGTCGTTTGGCTCCATATTTGTTTGAATCCCGAGTCTCTTAGTATAGTGACATCCCGACTGATAGTGATCTGATAGGATGTTCTTGCGCTTGATCTTCAAATAATAGGTGTGTAACCAAACCTGTAGGCCGGTGTCCACTCATCCGTGGCACCGCTGGTAACTCACGTTTGGGCACACAGTTTGGTAGGACATCTCATCAGATCCTTTACCACATAGTCGACAATTGCCCGGATTTTTAAATAACTGACGCCATAGCGAACTTGATATTACATTACATTATATATTTGTCTATAGAATGTGTGTATTCAATAAAAGCACAAACTTTTTTTTACTAAAATAAAAATTTCTAAAATTAACGTTATTTATGACCAATTTATTGCTGTATTTGAACATGTACACTTTTCAAGATTATCTGAATTCTACATTTCTGACTGTCTGACTGTCTGACTGTCTGACTGTCTGACTGTCTGACTGTCTGACTGTCTGACTGTCTGTCTGACTGTCTGACTGTCTGACTGTCTGACTGTCTGACTGTCTGACTGTCTGACTGTCTGACTGTCTGACTGTCTGACTGTCTGACTGTCTGACTGTCTGACTGTCTGACTGTCTGACTGTCTGACTGTCTGACTGTCTGACTGTCTGACTGTCTGACTGTCTGACTGTCTGACTGTCTGACTGTCTGACTGTCTGACTGTCTGACTGTCTGACTGTCTGACTGTCTGACTGTCTGACTGTCTGACTGTCTGACTGTCTGACTGTCTGACTGTCTGAGATTATCTTTTAGTTTCGGATTTAGAAAATTTTTATTTCCAATTTGAATAAAACAGAAAAATAAGATATTTAGATCAGCATTGAAATTATAATATCTCTTTAGAAACAAAGAATATGATGGCCAAAGTAAAAAAATATATATTAGATATTTAAGTTTAGATTTGTGCTAAACATAAAAAACTATCCAGCAACATTGAAAAATGGCTTTAATGTTAAAAAAAAAATAAAGAAAAAATCTATTAAATATTTTTGTAAATTATAAAATGGCGGATAATTTTCAAAATATTTAATTTTATTTAACGTAAAATTATTTTAGTGAATAAATTAAATGTATAAACATTAAGATATTTGTCTAAAAATCCGAAATACTTTTAAAAAACATGAGTAATATAGTAATAATAGTACATTACTAGTAAAATATTACAAGTAATAGTTAGTGTAGTGTTATTATATTTTTCTATTTATTGATCTATTTATTGATTTATAGATAGAGAATTTTGTTTATTAAATTTCTAATTTAGTTTTTTATAATTGTATTTTTGATTTATTTTTAATAAAAAACTATATTTATGTTTTAGTTTTTTTACATTTGGTAATCCTACTTGTGATGTCACACTATTATCAGTACCTACACTATTACTGTTACTATACACTGTTGATATAGCAATTTATAAAAACAATAATGAGTTCATATGAAAATGCTTTGTAGCATTCTCAACTGGTTTATTATTTACATTTTATACTTGTTTGCAAATACAAGTCATAAACTCTATTATTTAAATAAAAAGTTAAACTCTTAAACTTTAAATCAAAATAATTTCCATTTATTTCATTTGATAATAATTTTATCAAAAAAATTATGTCTAATAAAAATTGTTTCAAAAGGCGCGTAAAGAAGTCAAAACATAATTCACTTCTAAATAATATATTAATCAAACAGTTTAGGAAAACATTAATTTTTTCAAATTATAATATCAATAATCATATAATGAGTGACCAAACATCAGATGAAACTCAAGTGTCATCGACAGTGACGGCCAGTGCGATAAAAACCATATCTCTCGAGGAAGAGATTAGTAAAATAATGGCCAAAATGAATGAAACCAAATCAAAAATACATGACATGAATGAAGAGTATAACTCCATGAATGAGGAACTCATGTAATACTACTACGACTACTACTACTACTAATACTATTTGATTTGATCCATAAATTTATTTTTTTTATTAATTCCAGTAAACTTAAGTCCAAACGAAAGATAAAAGAATCCCAAAGGCCTCGTAAAAGACGACCACAAGAAGTTGATCCTCATTTAGATGAAGAAACAGACAATGCTATGGAAGGCACGTCTTCGGGAACACAAGTACTATAAATCGTTACATCTCTCTCTCTCTCTCTCTCTCTCTCTCTCTCTCTCTCTCTCTCTCTCTCTCTCTCTCTCTCTCTCTCTCTCTCTCTCTCTCTCTCTCTCTCTCTCTCTCTCTCTCTATTTCTTTCAATTCTCTCTCTTACCTCTGGGCCGGTACGAGTCGACAGATTTCAGCCATAGCCTCATCGCTCTGCCAGAAAGGCTGAGAAAATCGGGTCCGTATTATACCCGGACAGACACAGTTGGCCCGTATCTGGCGATCGGCCGATTGCTGGGCAACGGCTTTGGCCAGACCTAGCAGTGCCGTCTTCGACACCGAATAGGCACCGATCAGACAGAATGGCTGATAGGCGCCGATAGATGAGACGTATGTAAACGAACCGCCCGATCGCATGAGCGGATAGGCCTCGCGGGTCAATAGAAACGAGGCTTTGATGTTGACCTGAAGTATCTGGAAGTGTGGCGGAAGTTAGTAGATAGCAATGTTAGACAATATACAGTACTGTAGAAGTGTTTAGGTTTCGGTTAGATATGTGTATTACTTTGTCAAACTCATCCTCAGTGGTCTACAAAAAATATATATAAATATATTAATGTCATTAACAAACAAAATTATTCGGTAATTATTATATTTATTTCGGTATTACATCGAGAAAAGCGCCCATTGCCGGGTTGACCGCTGCGTTGGACACTACAATGTCCAGTGCGCCGAAACCGTCCACTGCCTGTCAATTGAATTTAGTCGATAGGGTTAGTCATAAACGTATTATAACGGCTATTATGTGAACACACAGACCTATATACTGTATATTAATTTAATAAAAAAAATTATTCGGTTCCTCTATTCAACCGGCCCTATACCCCCACTTTCATCCCAAAACCATTTTATATAATATTATTATTTATTTATATTTAAAATTAATTTTTGTCTACAATTTTAGTCTTCAGCTGTTCAGACATCGCTATACGGCTCCGGATTAGTCATGAGTGATAGTCTGACTGAAAAAATAGTGACACAGAATAAAATAATCGAAGATGAAGAATATGACGCCGATCGCTCTTCATCGGTATTATCTGGATCTTCGGCTACATTACCGCCTAGTGGACAGTCAGCCGCCGCCGCCGTCTCTATTAGTCCGCCCACTTCGCCATCAAGTGGTCAATCGGGCGCCACATCTATTAGTCCGAACACAAGTATTCACAATACATCCAATGATTCGGCGACGACCACGACATCTGATAATTTGTAGTTTTTAATAAGTTTATCCCTGATCTCTGATATCTTCCCCCCTCCCCTCTATAGATTTTGTATTTTATATTTTTTTCAAAAAATAATTAAATAAATCATAAAAACGTTTTTAAGAAAAAAAAACAATATGTGTGTGTATTTTATTATTGTTAATAAATAATTGAAATTTTTTGTTTGTTTGTTTGGTTGAAAAATGTAAAAACAAAAACAATCCTTTTTTTTAATGATAATTATATATAAATATATATGAAATATATTTTTATCGATAAATACTACTAATGATAATAATAATAATAAAAATTATTTATATATATAAAAAAACAATCAATTAATAATTATAGACTTAATAGATATGTATAAAAAAAAACAATAATAATTATCAATTAATTAAAAACTTTCTACAAATTCAATGTATTATTACTTCACTAACAAAAAAAAATAATAATAATAATAAAATCGATTTCCATAATAATAATAATAATAATAAATAATTCATGTCTTATATATCATATACAGTATTATATATTTATATATATATATATTTATATATATATTATGAGACAATTAATTAATTAATTTAATTAATTAACTATTATTTTTAATTATAAATCACTTCTTCCTTTTCCTCCTTCTCCTCCAGACATCACATTAACTCTTCGTTTTTTTTTTTTTTCGCTACAGTTTTCGTTCGTATAGTCTATCGATATCCGACTGATAGTGATTCTGTATGTTCTTGCGCTTGATCTTCATAATAGGCGTAACCAAACCGTTAGCCGGTGTCCACTCGTCTGGACACAGTTTGATGCGCACCGGTATCTCACGTTTAGGTAGACCCAGTTTGGTTGCCCATCTCATCAGATCCTTTTCCACATAGTCGACAATTGCCGGATTTGTACATAATTGACGCCATAGCGACCCGATATCGCCACCACCACCACCACCGCTGCCGTTGTTGATGGTAGGCATCAGCTCTTTGGCTAATTGTTTAAGTGATACTGCATTCGGTATTATAAACGCTATTAAGTACTGCCTATAGGAGTCACCGTAGACACAGATATTGTCGACAAAGCGGTTATTTTTGAGCTCCGACTCGATCTATGAAATGAAAAAAAAAACAGATTACCATTAGTGACATCATATATATAACATTAAACAAACAAACAAACAGTACATACCTTTCCCAGTGAGACATACTCTCCGAATTGCAATTTAATTAAATCACGTTTCCGATCGACCACTTTAAACATGCCGTCGTCGGTCACTTCGAATATATCGCCCGTACGGAACCATCGGGTACCGTCTTCGGACACTTCGAACGCTTCCTGTGTCAGCTGCGGGCTCTTGTAGTAGCCCATTGCCACATTAGTTCCGCCGACCACCACTTCGCCACGGGCGCTCGGCTTGTCGTGTACAGTATAGCCGCCTTCGGGCCAGTTGACCAGTTTGACTTTGACGCCCGTATAAATCGAGCCGACACTACCGCTGCTCAGGTCATCGAAATCCTGTGCAATGACTGTGCCAAATGTTTCAGTAGTTCCGTATCCCTTTAATAGATAATTGGGAACCAAATTAGAAATAATAGGTGTGCGCTAAGAGGTTATTATATACATACCTGAGCCAACTTAATGTTAAGACAGGCCCGGACAAAATCGTGCGTATCGGACGTCAGTGCAGCGCCGCCGCTGACCACATGTTGAATTTGGCCGCCAAACTGTTCGCGAATTGATGTACAAATCAATCGGTCGATAATAGGCGTATGGAAACCGCTACGATTCCATTGGATCTTATAGTCGACGGCAAAGTCGAACAGCTGGCGAAATACGGTTCCCCTTTTAGCTACTTTTGTATTGATATCGCTGTGAATGCGATCCAATATCAACGGTACAAATGCGGCAATGGTTGGCCGCAACAATTTCAGATCACTGGTAACGCCAGGCAATAGTCCGGTACCCGAATCGGTTAGCGTATAGGGTGTTCCGTAGCCTATTTTAATGCCGCACGAAAACACATAGAATTCGGCATAAAATTCCAGTACATGTGTTAGGGGTAGGTATGCAATATAGGTTTGGTTGGGTGTATCCGACCATTGTTCCTGAGTGATGTCCAACGACATACACATGACAAACATAACCTGTTTGTGTGTTAGTATAACACCTTTGGGCACTCCGGTTGAGCCTAGAGTTTGATGGACGGGGAGAGGGAATGGAAACGGAGTTGAAATACAATTTTTTAGAAATTAATTAATTACCGGTAATTAATAATTAGTTAGTATTTAATTAAAATAGAAAGAGAGTATAGACATACCTGACGTGTACTGAATCAATGCGATATCATCTTCGCCTGGACTAACACCGACCAGATTTTTGTCGTCGGCCGATGACAGGCCATCCCTTTCGAGCTGTTCGAACGGAACCAAATCAACGTCCCATTTGGACAGTTCGACATCTGGTTCGCTGCCGCCGCCGACACTACTGCTCCGTCTATAGTCCAACTCGATATAGATAATCGTCTCGACAGTTGGCAATCGATTGCGAAATTTGGCAAACTTTGCCAACTGGTCTTCGGTGGTAACAATATGTGTTACCTGGACTTCATTGATACCGTAGATCAGGGCTTCGTCGCCCAGTGTTGTATACAGTGTACTGATGGCTGCGCCGATACGAAAAACGGCCTGAGCTGTGAGGAACCACTCTGTATGTAGAGATAAAAAAACAAGACATTAAACTATAAGATATCAATCGTCTCTAAATCAACCAATTAGTTGGCCATCAAGTAGTAGTAGTAGTAAATACAAACCGAGACGAGTGTCGCAAACAATCAAAACAACATCTTTGGGTTTAACGCCATTGAGTAACAGACCGCGACTGATGGCCGCAATCCTATCGTCAACTTCGCGTCGGCTGAGCCACTGATAGTCACTCAATCGCCACTTTTTCATTACTTTGCCGTCCCGTTGTTTGACCGATTCTTCGGCCAGTATACGCCGATAGCCGAGACACGGTTCGTCTGGCGAGTTCATTGTCAGCGATCGTTGCTGAGCTTCGGGTATTGTCCGACAGTCGTGCAGATAGTGTTTCGCTGGTCGATCGTCGACCGGAATCGGTATCCACGGCGAGTAGGGATCGTCGGGATTCTCGCGTCGGGCACGCCTTCGATGGGCTTTGGCCAACGCCAGCCACGGCTGTTGTACGGCATAGTAGATACCGTAGGTCAGGTAGGTATAGACAAACACCAGTGTCTTGATTATGGCCACAATTACCGAAAACTCGTCCGGTTTGCCGTCGTTTGGCTCCATATTTGTTTGAATCCCGAGTGTATAGTCTTTTGTATTGTTGTGGTTGTCGTCGATGTCTTTGGATGTCTACGGCGCTGACGATGACTATATAGTCGAAGAAGTGGTGATTTTTTGGAATTCAGTGGTCACTGTTGTTGTTGTCGATGTTATTATCGGGTAATGGGATGTACTCTACAAACACATACCTCTCTCTAATCTTCACAAACACACAGTTATTATTAAATTAATTAATTAATTATAATATAAAACACAATCAAACAAAAAGTTAAGGATTTTTTTTCAGTATTTTTTTTTTAGTTTTTAATTATTTTATGAAATCGTATGAATCATATCATAATATCTATTATTAAAACGTTTTTTTTTTAAAAATTATTATTAATAATAAAAACCCCAAAATAAAAATTTGTTCATAACTTGTATTTATTTTTTGTATTATTATTATTACTTTAAAATGTTTTTCACTGAAGAAAAATGTGTTTTATATTTATAATTATTTAAAATTTATTTATATTTTTTTTTATTCATATATTATTATTGTATGTATGAATCAAATCACTAAATCACACGACACTTATCTATATCTCTCTCTCAATACATAACACAACACACTATTGGACGCCTCATATGATTATATGGTTATACAGAGTACAGTACAGTATGTATACATGTATTCATGCGATTCATATATAACTTTTATACAACGTATATATATATATAGTATTATATAATACTACTGTTTATATGTATATATGATTCATATATATATGTTTTGCCTACTATACTGTAATATCATATACTGTTTGTTAGGCTCCGCCCACTATCAATGTAGATGTACTACAGTGTGTGTGTGTGTGTGTTGTGTTGTGTTGAGATCACGCCATACGAGAGACACAACACATAACACACATACACATAGACTGTATACTAAAAAACACGTCATATTTATACACAATGTGTACACATATTGTTGTATTAAATATATTATGTGTCACGTGATGTGTATGCAAACATTTTTATTTTATTTTAAAAAAAAACGTACAATGCGTTTTTTTTTTTAATTAATTTTATATACAGTATATATATGGTACTATATGGGGTGCATGCTAGGACTAGTTTAAGCTAATGGGGGCGGGGGGGGTTGAGGGGCAGGCAATGCTATTTAATTTCAATTTTACCAATGTATAAAATTTAAATTTATGTATTGATGGAAATCTATATGTATGTATGTATGTGTATCTATGTGTGTGTGTGTGTATGTGTATGTATGTATGTATGTGTGTATGTATGTGTGTATGTATGTGTGTATGTATGTGTGTATGTATGTGTGTATGTATGTGTGTATGTATGTGTGTATGTATGTGTGTATGTATGTGTGTATGTATGTGTGTATGTATGTGTGTATGTATGTGTGTATGTATGTGTGTATGTATGTATGTATGTATGTATGTATGTATGTATGTCTGTATGTATGTATATGTGTATTTGTATGTGTATGTATGTGTGTTTGTGTACAAACGCAATCTAGTGTTACCAACAACAACAACAACAAAATTAAAATCTAAAAAAAAATATTAAACTATTAAATTAAATATCAATAAAATATTAAAAAAATAAAAAAAAATAGTATTTACTTAATTAAATTTTTATATAAAATTATTTCGGATTTATATATATATATTAGAAAAAATTAAACACTATATCTAAACTAGCGTTTAGAATTTAATCATTTTGACAAATAGTATCAAGCTAGATTTTTGTTTGTTTGTTATTATTGGTTAGTATAGAGTTTTAGTATTGTGTAACTTATGTATATACATATGTAAATACTTATGTATATATGTTAACATCTATTATAAAATTATTATTGAAAAAAAATCAAATGAATAAATTTATGATTAATTTAATATTATAATAACATTATTATGTAATCTCTCTCTCTCTCTCTCTCTCTCTCTCTCTCTCTCTCTCTCTCTCTCTCTCTCTCTCTCTCTCTCTCTCTCTCGCTTACATCAATAGAAAATTATTTTCCACACAAAATAAAACAAAATAAAAAAAATATCTTTACCTTTATATACAAAGTATATATATATATATAATTTAGAAATTTTAACAATAACACAAAAAAACATTTACAAAACTAATAAAATAAAAAAAATAATTATGTTTTTAAATTTTTTTTCCCATTTAGTAACATATTTTTACAAAATAAAAGTTTTATACTATGTTTTTTTTACATTAACTACAATAAAACCTTATATTTTCACTTTTTCAATTTTTTTTGCTGTCAATAATTTAATTTATACTGTATGTAAAATAAATTTGAAAATTTATTTAATTTTCAAATTATATAACTGTAAATTTGTTTTTGTTTTTATTATCGATTATTATTTTATTTATTTTTGTTTTGTGGTTATACCTGTATAATACAGTTATATAATTTTGTTTTATACATCTAAAAAAATAGATTTTTTGATTAATTGATTTTATCCTGAATAATTTCCATTTATTTATGTATTATAATTAATTAATTATTATTATTAGTTTTTTTAAAAAAAAAATTATTTGACTTATATATTTTTATTAATAGATTTTTTTTTAAAAAAACAAAAAATTTTAATTAGCAATTAATTTAACTAATTATTGTCAAAACCAACAACAAAAAAATCGACAAAAACTAGTTAATAGCTCTAAATACTCTACGATATAGTTGTGTAAACTTACCGGAAATATACAGGATATTTATAATTGATTTTATTTTCCAAAAATATTTTTTTTTAATGTAAACTTGAAAATGATCAATGACAATATAATTAACTTTTATGTTATACTACTGTGTGTATTGAATAAATTATATTTTAATTTATCTTAAAACACTAAATATTTTGAATATTTTTATAAATATTATTACTTTATATTAAATTATTTTTAAAGTATTTTATAAACTATATATTAAAAAAAAGCCTAGGTCCTAGATATATATATATAAAAATTATATTAATATTATAGATTAATTTTATAAAAATTTTATTTAAAACAATATAAAATTAAGTGATTATATTTTAATTATTAATACTGTACAATGAGATTGCAATTAAAAATTATTATTTTACAAATACAATACAGTAGTATTTCTAGCAAAATGTGAGCTTGATAGAAAAATTATAATTTAATTGTATATTTGAATTATTGGTAGTATTGTTTGAGTACACAATTTTACTTAGATATTGGTTATAATTTTGTTATTTTAAATGACACTGTTAATTTTTTTAAAAAAAACTACATCATTATATAATATTAATTTTATTATATAAATATAGTGATATAGTTTTTATTATAACTTATAAAGTGATTATAATTATTCACTTATAAAATGAAAAGTTTAAATTATAATTAATAATAAATTATAAATTTAATTATGTTTAGTATATTTAGTAAATTTAATTATTGTTTGACTACACTATTATATGTAGATATTGGTTAAAATTTTGTGATTTTAAATGACACTGTTAATTTTTTTTAAAAAAAACTACATCATTATATAATATTAATTTTATTGTATAAATATAGTGATATAGTTCTTATTAAAACTTATAAAGTAAAAAGTTTAAATTATAATTAATAATTTTTATTTTTATAAATTTAGTGATGTTAAGTATAATTTTAATCTGGTTTGTCATTATAAATGGACAGGTATTAGGAGCTGATGGGACTGGTGATGATAGTGGTGTTAATATTGTTTATGTTAAATCTCGTTACGGTTTGATTTCGGGGAACAGTTGGCTAACAGATGGCAAAAATATATCATATTTTTTGGTATCAAATTATTTTAACTATTAATACAATATAATTACCAAAACAATTATAATAATTATTATAATTTACAATAATAAATAATTTTTTAAAAAATAACAAAAAATGTTGTCAACTTTTAGGGAATACCATACGCTGAACCACCGATAGGTAAACTACGATTCAAACAGACAGTACCATTGAAACCGGATGCCACCACCAAAGTGTCCACAACTAATATCAATGGCCAACAATTGAAACCAATAATGTGTGTCCAATCGCTATTGGCATTCAATACGTCGACAAAAAACCAGATAAGCGAAGATTGTCTGTATCTGAACATATGGACTCCGAATCTGACTCCTAGTGCCCGGTTGCCGGTAATGTTGTGGATACACGGCGGTAGTTATCTTCACGGATCGGCTTTCGAAGTGGACACTAACGGCCAATTGCTGTTCAACGGTACACAATTGGCGCTCCGGGATGTAGTTGTTGTTGCGATTAATTACCGTTTAGGTGTTTTTGGTTTTCTATATGCTGGCGGACGGGAAGCACCGGGAAATATGGGTAATTGGGATCAAAATGCTGCCCTCCAGTGGGTGCACAACACGATCGGCAATTTTGGCGGTAATCCCGACGATATAACACTGGTTGGCCAGAGTGTTGGCGGTCTATCGGTTAGTGGACATATGTTTAGCAGGTTTTCTCGGCAGTTGTTCAAAAAAGCTATCATACAATCAGGTAGACTATTGAATTGGCACAGTTAGTTATTGTTTAAACAAATTTCCAGGAGTTCACTACCGGGCTTATCTTGTTAATCAAAGTCGAGGATTGGAAAATTCCCAGAAATTTGCCGCAAATCCACAATATTTCGGTAAAAAGACGTGCACCGACCCTAACAATTGGGTCAAGTGTTTGGTCAGGAAAAGTACCGACGAGTTGTTAACAGCCCAACAAAAATATTGGATATCATTGATCGGTTTGCAGACACCGTTTATGCCGCCGATATTTGGTGACAAACTGTTTCCGTATAATGTGTCCGACTCTATCGGTAGACACCAGTTCAATCCTAAACTACAGTTGCTTATTGGCCATACAGAGATGGAAGGCCTAAAGCTTGCTCAGATTACCGATCAATATGTCGGCCTAGGAGGCAGATATACGAGACAATCGGTTTTGGCAGCACCTACTAGTGTGACCAAACAACAGGTGGCTTCCGATATCAGAAAGTTAATACCGCCGGGACTACTGTGCGAACGGGATGTGCGCCGTATTGTCGACGAGTATACACGCGGTGCGAAAGTAGGCGGTAAGCGTAATAGTGGACAGTTGTTGGTCAGGTCGTGTTATATGGCCGGCGATATTGTTACCACATGTTTGCCGGTACTGTTTGGCAGCCAATTGATTGAATCGGACAGTTTTCGGCGGACTGGTGGTAATATTTATGGCTATAAGTTGTCGTACACTCCGAGCACATCCAAGGCTTACGGTAGCCGTTGGGCCCGAACAGATCACGACGACGACGTGCCGCTCATGTTTGGACAACCGTTTTATCTGACTGGCCATCGTTGGACAGCCGACGATCGGAAAATGAGTTCTGCGATGCTGAAAATATGGACCGATTTTGCTAAATACGGGTATATTTTAACATTTGATAGTTCGGTATTAGTAAACTAATTAATTATATAATAATTATTAGTAAGCCTGAACCGTCCAACAGTAGTGGCCATCAATGGCCAAAATATGAGATTAATCGATCCAATGGTGCGGTTAATGTGTCTTACGTAGAACTGAATCCACTGTTTCCGGGTAACCGAGCGATCCGTTTGAACCGATATCGAGGACACGACGGCTACATACCTAATGTTTTACATAATTGTCTCGGCTTTTGGCGGCCACTTCTCAGCGATAACTATCAGTGCAACTAAATTATTAACATATATTTACTATACAATTTAAGTTTGGTATAATTATATTTTTATGGTTATAAAAAATTAGATAATTAGTAAATTAATTTCTAACTTTAATATATTTATATTCAATAAACTAATTCAATGAACAAAAATATTCAATAAAAATCACATGAGTTTAATAATTTTCAGTCAATAATAATTTTATAATTTTGTTTTGTGATAACAATTTGTGTCAACACCGGGTGTAGGKGGGRRTCGGATGGGTAGGGTAGGGAAAAGACAGATAATCATTGCGATAACAAACTACTGGTGCTTTGCACTGAGTAGACACTGGTTGCCGCCGATGATGATGATAATGAGGACAATGATAACGTATCGCTGATAATGACAGTATCGGCATCACTAGTACTACTACTACTACTGATTTCAGACATTATGGACGGCGTACGACACGCAGGACTACGTCTGGTGACAGCACAGGACGACTTGTCCGATAAGGTACTGGTCGTTGTCGGCAATGATGATGACATTAGCAATAATTGTCGGCTACTATCGGTCATCGAACTATCGGTAGTAGAAGTGGACAGTCGTCCTAAACAACTACAACAAATGTCCGACAATTGACTGTCCAATGAATCACTGCTGGAATCACTGCTGGCAGACCAGTCGTCGTCGTTGTCATTATCGTTGGTGTCCTCCTCCTCCTCCTCCATAGTTCCGGAGCTACTACTACTAGTGCTGCTTCTCCTCCTTGCAGAAGATGTTGTTGTACCGGAATTTACAGAAATAATGGACAAACTGGACGACAATTTGCTGCTAAACAACAGCGAACTATTGGTACAATCATTGCTGCTGTTATTGTTGTCGTCTTCATAGTCGTTGTCGTCGTCATCATCACGACTGCTGCTGTTGTGTCTGACCAATTGGTTGTCCAATTGGTGATCTTGTTGTCGCTGATTATGATGACTACTATTTCTACTATTACTGTCCCGTTGTTGTTGTTGTTGCTTACAACCAATCAAACGTTTGCCGACATAAACGATGGCCACTAGTGGCAGTATGAATGGCATACTATGTGTGTCTCTAACAATCTACTAACTGATCCTAACTAAAGAAATAAGTAAAATCCTATCTTTTTTAAATATAATTTAAATGCTAACTAACTGATTGATTTATTTAATAATTGATTAATTTCTTTAATTTTGTGGTTAATTTAATTTAACGATTTGATTGACACATATATATTAAAACGTTTTGAACGATAATAAATAACAGCGCGCTTAATATAATGTATATAATTTATATAAATAATTAAAAAGTATTTATTATATTGTATAATAATCATTATTATTGTTTAGTTTTAATTATTATTAATAAAATTTTTATCTGAATTAACTGAATATTGCAAATAAAATTTGTTTTACAACAAACCGTTAATGTTTTTGGAAAACTTGTTTTATTTTATTTTACTGTTTTTTGTATTGAATTGAATTGACTGATAGATTGATGATATCATTGGAATATTCTGTATAGTTATTGAATAACCGATAAATAATTTATTATTTTTTTAAAAATCAATTAAATTTTCTGATCAATTATTTGTGCGGTGATTGTGTGTAGTACCGGGTGTCTGAATTGAAACAGTTGTAATGATGATGATGTCAATGATGACAGTGTTATCATTGATAATTGCGGATCAGATTGTTGGTGCACATCCAGACCATGGACATAATCATCATCATCATCAACAACAACCACAAGAGTCGACATCCAATAAGACATCACAGCTAACACTGTATGTGTGCGCCAGTATTGTCGGACTATTGACCCTAATTTTGGCCATTCTTTGCCTATTCTTTGCCTGTTGTCGTCGCCGTACTAACAAAAACAAAGGTAAACGAAGTTCATCTAAAAAGAGTAGCAAAAAATCGCAAAAAACACCGACCGGTGGTCAACCAAAAAAACAAAAATCCAATGAAGACAACGATAATAATAATAATAATGACGACAACAAAGACGAAAAGTCAACAAAAGTCAAACGAATTCATACAAATTGGGGCAAAAAAGTTGGACACGCTTTCGATGAAGACGTCAAACAACAACAACAGCAAAAAACAACACCGACGTCGACGGCGGCKCCAGTATCTGCTGTCTCGACCGCTCCCGAAGATAAGCCAAAACAAACAACAAAACAGTCAGCTATGGAGAAACGTATCGCCGAAATGAAATCACATGTAAGCGATCCGCCAAAAGGTGGTGCCGGCGGTGGTGGTGGCCGTAAAAAACAGAAACCGGTTACCCCTACACCTCCTCCTGTCTCGACCGCCGCCGCCGCCGCCGATGACGATGCAGTCAAACCCGTTCAGACTAACTATACTAATATTGATGGACGAGTGGACAGATTACTCAAAGATTGATTGATTTATTTATTGATTAACTCGTTGTTGTTATTATTATTAATGTMTTGTATTTTATTTTAATTTATTTGATTGTCAAAAAAAATTATATCTCATTTATTTAATGTTTTATTTTTCACCCCAAACTTTGTATATATATAAATAGATATATTTATTATAATTTTATAGATTTGATAAAAAAAAATTTGATTTAATTTAATATACAATTATTATTATTATATAAATTTATAAATAAATGTATWAAAAAAATTTATTGAAATAATTTTAATACAAAAAGTTATTTAACATTTTTATCTTATATAACATTACCGGTAATTATTATACAATATATAAAAAATGAATATATTTTTTTAAAAAAAATAAATGTTTGTCATAAATAATTATAATTTATATTGAAATAAATTATTTAGAATATATTTACTATAAATTAATTAATTTAATTTTAAAATACAATATTACTGAACCGTAATATTAAAATGTTTAATTTAAAACTATAAAATAAAAATTAAAAATTAATAAAAACTCTTATTTTAACAAAAAATAAATATGTTTTTATTAAAAAAATTAATAAAAACTTAAATTTTAGTAATAAATATTGTGTATTTTAGATTAAAATAGTTGATAAAAGCATTCATGAGTTCTTTTTATTATTTTAGTAATTTTTAAATTTTAATAATTAATTTTTAAAATAATATTTAATGTTTATAGTTATAGGTATATATATTTTTTGATTTTTAATGTTATATTTATACAAATACTGACTGAATACTAATTATTTAACTCAATTTTCGTTAAAGTTTTATTTATATTAATTATAAAATTGAAAATATTTTCAATTTTTTATATAAAATTTTAAAAATTATCAATAAAAACTTTATAATATAAGTATTTATTGTTTTACTAACTTCTTAAACTATCTCAAACTTCTATTTATATTGTAATATGATTATTCTTTTCATTTTTTAATTTTTTAGTTTAATATATATAAAAAATGAGTTTTAACATTTTTAATTTTTTACTTATTTATAATCAATAATTAGATTTATATAAGTTTTAAAAACATAAAAAAAATATGTATAAATATATTGATACATATATTACAATACTGATAATATTATCATATATTTATTATCCATTTAAATTACATTAAATTATAATTATAGCAACAATTTTTTTATATATAAAAAATGTGTTCATAATTTTTAATTCAATTACCAATAGATGCAATGAATCCACAACAACAACAAAAAAAACATTTACCGTAATTACCGACAATAAAAATTGCATATCAATATATAGTGATAAATAATTGTTATAAAAAAAAAATCATAACAAAAATATTTGATTTAAAATAATTGTTATTTTTTTCTATCACTTCTTCGATTTGTTTTTCTTGAGACTCTGTAATCGCTTCTCGAGACCGCTTGACATCAGCGATGAGCCGCCGGTAGCCGTCGACGAGGACACAGCCGACGAGCCATTGTTGCCGCCGTTGTTTTTGTTCGTCTTGAATGTCGCCGAACCACCGGTAACCGCACGGCTAATGTTGGCCAAAGCGGCCAATCCAATAGGTTTGCTACTACCGTTGCCACCGTTACCCGAGCCGCCGCCAGTAGACAACTGTGTTTTAGGTTCGCGTTTAAACGGCTGTATTAATCTGGTGGCCGCTGTCGACGACGACACATAAGTATCGGCATTGGTCTCAACCTTGACGGGTGTCTTAAGTCCGCTGACTGTTGTCGACGAGGACGACAACAACGAAGACGATGTCAAGTGATGTTCTCTGGATTGTGAGATCACCGGCGATGACGACAACAAAGAACTGGTGATTGATGTGGTCGACGACGTGGATGTTTTGCCGCCCATTGTTTTGGTCGGCTTTGCCGATGACGCGGCCGCCGCCGACTTTTTCATCATCGACTTCTGGCATTTGGCGCAATACCAGACAAATCTGGGATCCGATATGTCTCTGTCCATTAGCGGCGGTTTATGGCATTCCTGATGATAGAGATTATGACATTCCTGGCATTCGACTAACTGGTTGTTCGGTGCGATATCGATCTGTTTGCACGTAACGCACGCCAAACCCATTTCCATAGCAAACTCGCCGGCGTCTTGATTCTCGTCCTCGATATCGGTAGCCTCTGAGTCGTCCTCCACTTTGATCGGCACTGCAGCCGACAGAGAGCTGGACGATGCCGATGACGACGAGGTCGATGTACTGGTTATGACACTGGATCTCATATCCTCATCAGTAGTGGTTAAACAACTGCTACTACCAATACTACTACTACTACTACTACTGGTCGGTAGTAATACTTTTGGCTGCGGATGAATGCCGGCGCCGCTCGGCTGAGGCGATGACGTCGTCGATCGGGAGCTGGTCTGGCGTTGCGGTGAATCCAAACGCATTCGTTTCTTCTCCAATGGATATTCAAAACTCTGGAGAGAGAGAGAGAGAGAGAGAGAGAGAGATGTCAATCAAAATTTCCAAAAAAAATTATCCGATTTTTTGCGGATCAGATACGGATCACAGACAGACAGACACACACACACTCTTGCGCTTACTTTTTCTGCTCTCTGGATATCATGTCTTCGGCTGTTGCCGTCAAACAAGTGATCTCTCTTGTAATCGGCCGACGATTTTATGACCGCTGTTTCGATGCCTTTCATCGGCTGCAGCGACTGTTTTGACTTTGTTTCCTAATAATAATCGGTAAGAAATATATTTAGTAACCGATAGAAACAGTGGTCACCACCACCAMCAACAACAAAAATCAGTCAATAACTCTCACGTGTTTGCTGGCGGCGGCCGCACTACCGCCGGCTGTAGCCGTATTGGCCCGACTTTTGAGTACGTCGTCCAGCATTGCCTTTAATAAGTCGGCCGAATCTTTGGCCCGACTGTGCAACAGTCGTAAGGCTCGGGTAAACTCGTGATCGCCACCGGCCGAGGCGGCGGCGGATGCGGCGGAGGAGCCAGAGATGAGCGTTTCGGTCATAATTACCGACGGGTTTATCGATGTGTTTATTATTATTATTATTATCTCATTAAATGATATCCTATTATATAATAATAATAGCAATTGTTATGTAAATATCAATAATAATAATAATAATAACTTTGAATGCATTGCTATTAGTATTATAATAAAATAATACAATAATTGACTAGTATATAGTTATCGAACTATTGGTACTATTTATCATAATGACTATATCTATGTGTTTCATCTGTCAAACTATAGTGTAATAAAGTTATAAAATTGTTTTATTACAGTTAACATTAATGTTTTAAAAAAATAAATATTTTTCTACAGTATTTAAGCGGCAATTATTTGTTTTGGATATTATTGTTAGCAATTTGATAATTTATATTTTTTTGGTACTATTTGTACTAATAATTATTTCAATAAATTAGATAATGAATCTGTTGTATTAAAAAGTCCAAGTGTTGCACAATTATTATTATTTATTATGAATACAATGTGTTATTAATATTAGTATTTCCTATGAGTTATTGATTTCATTGATTCAATCATTCATTCATTCAATTTCAATTGCTTTAAGCATTTTGTGACCGACAATTACGATTGACCGCATCGACCACTGGCCACACACACACATATATATATATACCCGAAACCGYATACATGAATATGTCTCAAGAAATGTTTGTATCGCAGGACAACAATAGTCGTCCTCCTCCTCGACGTCGCCGTCAAGTTATCGATGAYGACGACGACGACGCCGACGCCGCCGTCAACACTGCCGATGATGACCAGCCAATGGACGACAATAGTGGTAATGAAGAAGAAGTAGAAGAGGAAGAGGGAGGCGGCRGACGAAGAGTTGGCGTCTGCGGCGGAAGATAATGAAGAGGTGGAGGAGGAAGAGGAAGATGTTATTACCGAACAGTTGAAGACAGCCATCAAAGCGAAAAAACCGTTACTGAATACAAAGGTTACCGACGAAGAGATTGACAAACAGAGGGCCACATTGGCGGACATCGAACGCCAGATAAAAGAAGCCGATAAATGCGAGTCCATCGACCAGATGGTCGAACTGTTAAACAAAGTAATTCAAAGACTAAACAAAGAGTTTATGTGTACGGGACCGACGGTCAACATGTCGTTGGACGCATGGATTATGAAACTAGCCGCTAGACTGCTTTACGAGGCGACCAAACGGTTGCAGACGGACACCAAACGGTTCAATGTTATGGAATTTGCCGGCAAATGTGTTCGCGCATTGGATCCGACCGATTGGGCGACGACTGCTACCGATGGGAGCGGCAGCCGTCGCCGCGGCGGTAATGATGACAACGACGATTCGATTGTCCGACGAACCATTGGTTTCGATACCAGCGATTGGGTTGAGTTTGGCCGCAAATACTGTCCAAACATCCAATCAATTGTTCCGCCCATGAACTACATATTCGGCGCTTTCGAAAGCGAACCGCCAGCCGAACGACCGGTCAAACAGCGCCAAAAACGCCAGAAAACAGTACTATCCGAACAAACACAGGCCACACAACTTGTGACAGAAAATATGAACGATGACGGCACTCCCGAAGAAGTGGAACTCATAATGGAGACAATCAAGAAACTGGAGTCGCGTAACAAAAACTTTGATTCATTGCCGTACATTCAAGTGGTTACCAATCCGAAGTCAATGGCCGAAACTGTTGAAAATATATTTCATTCGGCATTTCTTGTTAAAGACGGTCTGGTTCGCCTGCGAGCCGCCGATGACGGACTACCTGGTGTCCAGTCGATCGATAATTCAGGACTTGATGTCCAATCTGGTCTACCCGAACAAGGTATCCAATCGGTGTTTACATTTACGATGAAAGATTGGGTAAAATGGTGCGAAAAGTTTGAGATTAAAAAGCCGGCGATCAGACACAAGAAGAAGGATAACAACAACAACAAGAAATCACAGAAAACAAGTGATAGTAATAATAATAATAATAATTAAAATACAGATTTTTTTTCTCATTATTATTGTATATACAAGTCGTTTATTATATTATTTATTTAAACCGTAATTGTATTCAACAACAACAAAAAAACAATGAATTAATATTTAGCTTTAAAAGTCATGAAAATTATATATATTTTTTTGTAATTAATATTTATTTATATTTTTTGATATTTTTCATAATTGATATCTATATTACAGATCAAAAAAAATTGTTTTATATAATTATATTTATACAGTATTACAGTATATATATATATATATATTTGTGATGATTGTTAGTCAATCCCTGATATAATCAATTCCTATAGTAATATACTGTATATAGCTTTTATATACCGTAGGGTTTAGTTAATTGAATCTAATTTTCAAGGACTGGTAGATACATATGTGTTTGTCCTCTAAAAATTTTGGACCAAAAATTGTTTATTCTTTTCCAAATTTATTATAAAATTTTTCAAATACTTGATATTAATAATTATAAATACATTTATAAAAACTAAACAAAAAATTKAAAATACTGTATTGATTTAAATATTTAATAAATTAAATTTTCAAAAAAAAAAATTATTTACCGGTAAACCTATTTATCTTAAACACCTATCATATATATATATAGTAGATAATAATTACATAATATTAGATTAAAGTTTTTATTGCGTAATATTTTTTTGATAATTTTTTAAAATAAATATAAATATAATTTATAAAAAAAATAAATTATAATAATTATTATTGAGTAATAAGCTATTATAAATATGATTACATTATATTTTATATAACAAAAATTAATTTCGACTGATAATTTATTTATTTTTTAATTAATATTAAATACCAAAATAAATTTATTTTTAAGAAAAAAACTGGTTTTTATGCAAAATTTATTTTGTAATATTAATTCATGATTTGGACGATATTTGGAAATTTTTCTATACATGAGTGTATTGTATATCTAAATAATAATATATTATTATTATTAAATATATTTAAGTAAAAGTCATCGGAAAATATAGTACTAATCAAGGTCTTTTGATTCCCAAAAATTTATTTTTTAAAAAATTGCTAAAAAAATTGATAGCAAACCGGTTAACATCTGTTTAAAAAATCTGCTAAATTATATAAATATATATAAAAAACGRTATTTCATATCATATGATATGATTTATTAATATCATTAATCAATAGCTTATTATAAAATTGATAATAATACTAATAAATTGATTAGTTTATAGATTTTTAAAAATATATATATATATTGMAAATTGCAATACAAAATGTGTGTTCATATATAAATATAAATCACACATATTTTTAGCAATTAATTACTTTATATATTTTTTAACTAAAAGTGTTTCAATTAAATTTATACACTGTGTATATATATTCAATCCTAAATTTTTCCTAATTTTTTAAAWAATATTTTATTTTTCCATTAAATAAAAAACTTTTATAATTTGTTTAAGTGTTTAATAATTAYTGTATATATATATAAAAAAATTAATTTTATATTTTAAATAATGACCAAAGAGGACAATTTATCGTTGGTTATCCACAAAAAGGGTGACTTGCGTTTAGAGCAGACACCCATACCTACTGAACTGGGACCCGATGGTAGGGCCGCCTAATTATTATTTTTTTAAAAAATAATTTGCATTAATCAGTATTTTTTTAATTAATGCAAAACTAAATATAATTATAATTAAAAAAATACTGTCTAATAATAACAATAATATGACTTTCAATATTTAAATATAAAATTAATTKATTGATACCTTTTTTACCCCTCCCCTCCCCCCTCCAATCCCAACAGAGGTATTATGTAAAACCCATTCGTGCGGTATATGCGGCACTGATATTCACTATTGGATGCACGGCTATATGAGCAGCTTTGTGGTCACCGATCCGCTAATACTCGGCCACGAAGTCAGCGCACTGGTAGACAAAGTCGGTTCAAATGTTAAACATTTGAAACCGGGCGACAAAGTGGCCATCGAGCCGTCGCTGCCCTGTCGTATGTGCCATAACTGCAAGACCGGTATGTATAATCACTGTCCGCTGTCCAACAAACAAGTCAAGGGGTCGCCAAACTTTCACGGAATGTTGACCAGAAAGTTTACGCACCCGGCCGATTTTTGTTTCAAGTAAGTAATTAAACAAAATATGCTATTGRAGCTTAAGAGGGAACGGTATATGTCTAACTTATACCCTTCCCCATCCCCATCGACAAAAAAACTAGACTACCCGACAATGTTACCTACGAAGAGGGAGCTATGGTTGAACCGTTGGCCGTAGCCGTACACGCCGTACGTCGCGTTAATCTAACACTTGGCCAGACAGTGCTCGTATGCGGCGCCGGTACTATGGGTATGATGTGTTTGGCTGCGGCCAAAGCGCACGGTGCCTCCAAAGTCATTATGACTGGTATTATATATATCAATATTTTCAATTATAAACTTTAAATTAAATAAATAAATAAAAACAAACAATTATTAATTAGACATCAATCAGTTCCGACTGAATGTGGCCAAAGAGATGGGCGCCGACGAGACAATACTCATCAATCTGAAGACATTCAGTGTCGAGGATGTAGTAGCACAGGTCAAACAGTCGATCGGAAACAATGGTGAGGATGGAGGACAGGGAGGAGTCGACATTACGTTTGAGTGTACTGGTAACGAGGGCAGTACCAAAGTGGCCATATATTCGACTAACAAYGGCGGCAAAGTGGCACTGGTAGGTCTCGGACCGCTTGAAGTCAAGGCACCGCTAGTTAATGCCTCGCTCCGGGAGGTAGACATCATWGGAGTGTGTCGTTTTAGAAATTGGTAAATTAATTATTAGTTTTTGGCCATTAATCTAAYATTTTTKTTTTGTTTATCACCGATAAACAAAAATAGTTATCCAATGGCTATCTATTTGTTGGAAACGGGAAAAGTAAATCTCAAACCACTGGTCACTCATAAGTACCGATTGGAGCAATCATTGGACGCCTTCAAGAAAATGATAGAACCGGACAATAATGCCATCAAAGTGTTGATCCAATGTAACCAAGATTTTTAAATAACAACAATAATAATACCGAAATAAATAATAATTATAAAAAAAACAAAACAAAAATATATGTATAAAAAAATTAAATAAAAATATGTTTTCCGTGTCTAAAAATCATTGTTAACACACACACACACACACACACACACACACACAACACACAATTACCGATAAATAAACGGAATTATTGTTAAAACTATAATTACAATCAGTATAATCACATTATACGGTATTATAAATATCTGTTTTATTTGTTTGTCTATCAAAATCCCTTATCTATTAACCAATTGACACAATCGACAACATAATCGCCTTTCAGACGCAAAACACCGTTAACTTCGCTGACGGCCGACAATATGCGTTGTTGGCCACTACCGTTGCCGCCGTCCAGACAGTGTTTGGCTTCGAGATGGCCCCGTAAATCGGCTTCCAGTTGCCACAAATCGCCGTGAATTTGTTGGACAATAGTCAACGTAACCGTTTTTTCGTTGTTTGGCCATTTGATTTCATCGAAATCTTTCAAAACTTGTTTGGCATAATATTTATTGAACAAACCGTCCCAACGGTTACGCCAATAGGTTTGCTGATCGCGATCCCAGACTTCGTATCGACGATAAACGGGTAACAAATGGCCACGTGTACGGGCCACAAAATACGGTAGATCTGGTTTGATGGCCGACCCAGTCGACGGTGGTGGCCGTACCAGCGAATCAGCCGACGATTTGCAGGCAGACATCGGCGGCAATTGATTGGCCGGAAACAGTCGTTCGACCCAAAACCAGGCGTCCGGATCGTCGACAACTTCGGTTTCGGTAAATCCTTTGTCGTCCGGCTGGCCGACCAATATCTGCCGATACGGGTCGGCGTTAATGTCCACTTGTTCGATGTGTCGGTTCGGATAGTCTTTTTCCAGTTTAATTTTGGTCAGATCTAACATCTGGTCGTCGGTATACTTCAGATACGGTTCGTCTTCCAGTTGGTGTTCATTGAAAAATCGGCTATTCTTGTAGTCGTATTTCACYTGTTCGGGTAACAATCTGACCACTTTGTCGTAGTCGCGAATGTAGCGACGCTGCTGATGGTCAACACCGTTGTTGCCGCCGCCGTAATATTGGTCGTTGACGCCGATCGCGGCCGTCATCCTCGACTGAGAAGACCTCACGCGCGAAACGCAYGCCCGACGACAACACCATTGCACGTATGACTGCCGCCGAACCACTGTATGGACAAACATATGTGTAGTTAATAATAATAATAATGAAAAACAATATTAAGTTTTTTTAACTATAAAAAAAATTTCAATCAAATTAAATGWTTGTTTGTTTTTTAAATAATAAATAATTATTTTGTTTACAATTTTTTAAGTTATATTAAATTTACTTTAGGTTTTGAAAAGCATTGCATTTTGTAAACACATTATAATAAATACAATACGTTTTGTATTGACATCTAGTGTTTAGTATGTATTGTAAACTGATTTTTAATTTTTTTTTGTTTAATTGTTTTAATTAATAATAATTAATCACAAAAAGTTTTTTAATTAATTAATAATTTTTTAATTTATATTTATAACTATATATCTTATAATTTATAATTATTATTAATTCGGTACAAACAAACAATAATAATAAAAATAATTATTAATAATAAACATTTATAATTGTTTTTTAAAAGTACTTATAAAATACTGTATAAATAACTTTACAAACAAAAAATTAATAATCAAATTATTAATTTTGTTATATCAATAAACAATTAAGGTTTTTATTTTTTTTTTTTTTTAATAAACAATTCAACGTTTTTTAATTAATCATTAAAAATAACAACAGAAAAAATTAATTAATTACAATACAAATGATATCCACAAACAAAAAATTAACAAAWWTTTTTTTTTTAAGGGAAATGTCTGACAATTACAATAATTGAAACAATATTTACGGTAATTATAAAACAAACAAACAAACAAAAAATCCAATATTTTTTTTATATCGGTAAATATAAGATTGTATTTATATATGATTACCGGTATTACACAACAGTTTGCTACCCACCCCCTACCCCCTTAAAACAATTAGTGGTGAAACAAGGTGTGGGTATAGTACTAAATGATGATTATAATTTATATACAGTATAGATATACAGTATATTGTAATAATAATAATAATAATAATAATATATGAGATAAATGTAAAAACAATTTTTTTGTAGTTTTATATATATTTTTTTGTAATGAATTTTGGCATAAATGTCAATAACAATTAATTGGAGGTATTGTAGAAAAAATGATTATTTTTGTTTTGTTTTGGTTTTTGTTTGTCTAATAATTATCAGATAAGGGTGTTATCACAATTTGGATCTTCAGAGTGTCACCATCTGGTCCAACAAGATATGGAGATTTATTTGTATTATTATTATTATTATTATTATTAATATTAGTAGTATTGCTACCAAAACTATAGCTATTACTACTATTGCCAGTGTCTTGGAAACAACCGCCAGCACCGGTATCGGGCATTGGGCTGCCATTGGCTGACGAGGAGGACACAAATTGTTCGTTAAGTTGGCCAAAGTCGACAATATCGTCAATGTTGACCAGACGATGTTTATCGGTAAATATGTGTGTCTTCTGGATGACCCGATGAATGTATTCGATGCCATCGACTCGTCCGTAGAGCAGTACACCTATAGATACCCGACGACTGGACAGCCGATCGCTTTGTCGAACAGTCAGCCGAACGGTTTTCGACACTGATTCGGGTATTTCCAGACAACCGCTATAGTGGATCAGCAAAAACTTCTTAAACCAGACACCTTTCGGATAGATTTCGATGGCCCACTCGTACGGACAGCACTGGTCATTGAATGTTGACGTATGATAGGTAGCAGTTTGGGCACTACGTCGGGCATCAACTTCGGACAGTGCCGACGGCGTCGTAAACACTAGTGTCCGGACGCCGTAAACCGGGAGATTACGATAGTTGTCAATAACTAGACTAGAACTCCACTTTTCGGTAGTATAGAGTCGCGGTGTGAATGAGTTGGCCGGCAATTGGCCGAGTAGTTCACCGGTCAAGCCTTCGTGATGATATTTCATGGCCAGCGACATGTTGTGTACGAAAAACTCTTTGTAGCGTATCATCAGCGGATTGATTAACAACTCGGCCAACTGTCTGGGCTCCATCATCGGGAACCGTATGAACGACATGACTATCGGTACCATTGAATCGAAAAATTCGTCGCCAACCAAACGAAGTTTGTCCTCTTGCGACTCAAGCCATTCGGTAACAATTTGCAACAATCGATACTCGTCGGTAACAACCAGATCCGATTTACGTAGAAATAGTATCAGAACATCGGTTTCCATTGTCTGGAAATCGCTAGTTTTGGCCACTTGTTCGAAATTGGCGGTAACAAAGTTGACACACGCCCGTACACATTGGTCGTGGCCATCACTACCGAGTATATGCTGTAGCCACGATACAACACGATTGTGTTTGGTGGCCGCTACCATATGATTGCGCATATAATCGACACATAGGGCCACCAAATCGCGTACATTGTATTTGTCGGCCAACGAAACCAGCGGCAACACCAGCGAGTGATTAATATTGATAATACCGGTGTAGAGATATTTGAGAAATTCGGGGAAAACTCGGGCACAATCGGCCGCCTCTTGCAATACGATTGTCCGCTCTTGGCTTTCCGTCCAATTCGGATTCATTAGCATCACCTGAAAGACATCACTGGACGCGCACAGTATTAGCCGATGCGATGCATACGGCCGGCCATTGACTTCGAGTACGATATCGCTTAGCAGTCGTTCGGCGTACAGACCGGCAATCTTTTCCAATACTTTAACCGAATTGTCGATCTTCTGGGGCTGACATCCGTGACAACTACTGCTGCCACCGCCGCCACTGTTGTTGTTGCTGTTATTACCGCCGATGTTAATGTCCCCGCGGCAACCGCTACACCACCGATGATGATAGTTATGCTGATGTTGTTGTTGTTGTTGTTGATGGCCATCACTACTACCGCTGCTGCCATTGGATTCGTAACCAGACATCTCTCTCTMTCTMTCKATATATCGGGGTTTCGGTCAATCAGTCAACGAATCCACGGAGAGTGGCCACTATATATATATAGTTTGTCCTAATATATCGGGTAATAATATAGTTAATAATATGAGATATTGTAATAATCAAACAGTTATTATATATAAAATTATAATATGTTTTTCAGTGATTTTAAATAATAATTATAATGTATTTTAAATGTATTTATTTTAAACAAACCTATTGTTTAGTTATATATATATATTATATACAGTACTGTATTATTGTAGTGTAAAATGCATTGTAATTAATATAAATAAATGATTTAGTTTTTTATTAAAATATAAAATGCAAATAATAATTAAAAAAAATTAAAAAATCAACAAGTAAAAACTAACTGTTAATGGAACAAATCTATATTATAGACAGCCAGTAGAAATTTATTTGACCCAAACCCACCCCACCCAACCAACCACTTCCTAACCTCACACCCACCCCAAACTAACCTAACTAAATGATAATTAAGTAATAAAACTAACATTTTATATACAATATGTATGTATAACTGCATAAAAACAATACTTTTTTTGCTGGCTGTCTATAATATAGATTTAAGCCAATTAAACATAAATGTTAACTTAATTTAATTTTTTTTAAAAATGTAATTTTAAGTTATATGATATTATAGATAATATATCCAACAAAATAATTGGTATTTCAATAATAATTGAGTTAAAAAAATATTTCTATATTTTTAATAATAATAATAATAACTATTTTTAAAAAAAAATATTTATGATATTATTTACATACCAGTTGTTGTTTTAATTTTATTTTTAAATTTTTAAAATCGAAACTAAAATCGAATCGAAATTTTTAACATCACTTTATTAATAAAAAAAACATTCTATTGAATGGAATAACATTTTTTCTATTATTATTATTATTATTACAAATTTACCAAAAAAAATAATAAATAAACACAAATAGTAGAGTTCATAAACATAAATAATGTATATATAWATATATATATATAATAAATGTTACTTGTTATAATTTTTTTTGTGTTAAAATTCTATTTCTACTAAAAAATTATATTTAAAAAATTAAAATAGATTTGATTTTTTTGTTTGTTTGTTGAACTAGATAAGTTATTTATTTATTTTTTTGTATTGTTTTTACATTATTACAAGTTTACAATAAAAAAATAATTATTTTAATTTTTTAAGTTATTTATGAAATTGTATTGTGTTACCAATGACAACATGAACTTTGATGAAAATTGTACACTAGAGTTAACAATAATAATAATTTTTATAATATAATAATTATTTAAATAATTTATTAATTATATATTTAGTTTATAAATTTAATTAATTTTTTTTATATATTTAATTAGTTATATTATTATAAATGTTCATTGTACAAAAAATTGTAAAATTAAAAAAAAAATTTAAACTAGAATCTACTGTACTACTTGTATAGGTGTGTATATTGTTATTAATAAAAAATTGTTTGTCTACCCATTTGAAATTTCTACATGTAGTACATTTAGAAACAGTACACGCCCCTTTAGTATTTAAACTAGATAATTTTTAATATATGATAATTTTTAAAAAATTTAATATTTATATGCAATTATAACAATAAATTAAAACAAATATTTTAACATTTGTTTATTTATGTTATTTATTCATTTTTAAAAAATCATGCTTTTAATTTTGTTGTTGTTGGAAATTTTCCGGAAAAATTTATCACTAAATTTCTTTAGAAATATATTTAATACATTTACACCACACGTGTCTCTCTCTCTCTCTCTCTCTCTCTCTCTCTTACAATACAAACCCGTTTACACTGTATTTTTCAAATTGATATCTCATATGTTTTTGATGTTTAAACAATAAAATTACAACAAAAAAATTTTATCAATTAATTTCTAGTTAATTAATTAATTAATACACAAATAAAACAACAAATTAATAACTATAGTTAAAATCATAATTATTATAATAATTTAGTGTTATTTATATGTTAAAAATTTTTCATTATAATTTTATTTATTGGAAAATTTTGTGCTGTCATTAAAATTAAAAATTATTTATTAATTTTTTTTCGTGTGTGTGTTGTTTAGTATATATTTTAAGTCATAGACTTTTTTTTTTAATAAAAAAAATAAATTTTTGTTAAAATAATACATTAATAATTTTAATAATAATAATAAACATCAAGTTATTGACTGCATATATATATACAGTATATACTGTACTACAGTATAAAATAAGATATGATAATACATTGACTGCAGTACAATATAATACAGTATAGTATATAAATTATGATAATTTTTAATTTATAATAATTTATTATATATATATATATATATATATATATATGATATATATACCTATATTATCTTATTTTTCTGTGTAATTATTTTTATCAAAAACACAAAAAAAAGTTGCTAGACGCGTTTATCATATTCTAGTACCCATACATATACATATATATATATATATATATATATATATATATATATATATATATATATACATATATACTAATATATATATACATACATACATACATATATACATACATAAAACTATTGACACAAACATTGACAGTAAATATAAAGTATATATATATATATATAATTTAGATATACTATCATACAGTATATTGTATTGAAAATATATATATAAGTGTATAAATTGTTTTTAAAAATAATTTTATTTATAAAATTTATTATACATTTAGTTTTATAACTTATTTTTTTTATTAATGAAAAGTTTCAAGATTTAATAAATAATATAATAATAATAATAACAATAAATGACTTTAATTTCAATGACAATTATTATTAATATTATTATTAGTGAATTTAAGTGATATTTAAGTGAAGTTTTTTTTTAAATTGTTAATAATAAAATATTTTAAATTATTTAATTATCATTAAAGTGACCAAGTGATTTTAAATCATAATTTTATTAAAAAAAATTATGTGCGGTATATTTGCCTGTTTTTGTGATCATAGTTTGATAACCAAGGTAATTATTATTTAATTTATAAATTATATATATTTTTTCAATGTTAAAATTATATATAACTTGCTAGCTTAATTTTTTWTTAAAAAAATAATTACCATATTTATGTTAATTTATTTTTTTTGAAATAGTTAAATAATATATGTTTATAAATTTTTTTAAATACTACTAATGTTTATATAAAATTTTATTTTGATTTTAAAAGTGAAAATTTTTGTCAAATAATTTTCTAATGTATAAAACTTTTTTTTAATAGTTTAAATTCTTAGTTTTTAATGTATAGATAATTAATTAGTCAAAAACCTCTAATAATATTCAATAATAATAAAAAAAAACAATGTAAAGGAAGGTTAGGTTCAATCTATAATATAGTTTTTACTATAAAATCAAGTGATGTTTACAATAATTATTATAAATATAAATTAAATTTAGACTTTATTATAGACAAAGTTCAACGACTATAATAATAATATAATAAGTTTTAATATATTAATAGTTTTCACGTTTTATTATTAGTTTGATAACAAACAAAAAAAAAGTTTTTTTTATCGCAGTTTTATTATTATACTTCTAATATCTATTAACTTCTAATTATAGCACAATATATATATATATATATATATCATAATTTTTATCAAAAAACTTTTTTTTTTATTGCTATTTATTACTAAAAAAAAATACTAATATAACTATAACTACTACTAAAATAATAAAGTTGTTAATGAAATTTAATTAATTAAAATAATTAATTATTTAATTTAATTTACAGATCAATAATAACGAATCGATTCGGCATTTTCTGTGCCGCAGAGGTCCCGACCAGTTCGCCAAACTTCAGATACCTGTCGGTGGAGCCGATTATCATTCAGGACTACAGCTATGTCTGATGAGTTCGGTTCTACAGTTACGCGGCGGACGCGAACCGTGCGATCAGCCGCTRATGGACTCCGTCGGCAATGTATTGCAATGGAACGGTCAGGTATTTGCCGGCAGTATGACTGTCGACGATAGCGAATCAGATACCGAAGCCATGATGCGCGAACTGGCCAACTGTTTGACCGATGCGGAAATGTTGGCCAAACTGTCCCGGATATGCGGTCCCTGGAGTTTTACGTACTGGGACTCAAATCGCCGCCGCTTTTGGTTCGGCAGAGATCTGCTGGGACGCCGTAGTCTGTGCTGGAATACCGATGCCCGGGATCAGGTGCTTATCATTAGTTCAATCAGTTATTTCGAGTCGGAACCGGCTCGCGAGTGGTCAGAAATACCGGCCAACGGTGTCTATTGTTTGGATCTATCAGCAGATCGTCCGCTAAAAGATACCATTGCCGACATCAGACACTATCCGTGGAATCGGCAAATTTCGGGYACCGAAATAATCTCCTCCGCCAATGATGTATCGCTGACACTGAAATCACCGATAACTGTACCACTGAATCGATTGTCTCAGCCGATCGATTCAGATGACCAGCAAATACCCGAACAAGTGATCAAAGGTTTTATCGAAGTTCTGCGGCAATCGTTGCGACGCCGGTGTCATAATCAGCAAACACTGTGCAAGAAATGTTTTGCCCGTACTATGGATGACACCGAAAACGGTTTGACTACCGATGACGATGGCGGTGAACTKGTGGCCGAATTTTCATCCGATAGCGAGGGCGACATTCTGGGAACATCACCCATACAGCAGGACATGTTGATCAATAAGATGTTGAACAGTCGACAGCGAAACAAGGAGTGTACACACGCTTCGACAGCCATACTGTTTTCGGGTGGTCTGGACTCGACAATCATTGCACTGTTGGCCGATGAATGTGTACCGCCGGCTCTGCCGATTGACCTGTTGAACGTTGCCTTCGACAACGATGCACCCGATCGGGAAACCGGACTGAAAGCTTGGGACGAACTGAAAGCATTGCGACCGAATCGGCGCTGGAATTTCGTGTCCATCTATGTCTCGAAAGAAGAACTACAGACTATGCGCGACAAACATATCAAGTATTTGGTTAAACCGTCGCAAACGGTACTCGACGACAGTATCGGTTGCGCCATTTGGTTTGCCGCCAACGGTCGCGGTCTACTAATGGAAGAACATATGGTTACGAAAGTCTACGAAACGCCCGCCCGAGTAGTACTGTTGGGTATGGGAGCCGACGAACAGCTGGCCGGCTATACCCGCCATCGGCGTGTATTCGACAAACAAGGCCTCAGCGGTCTGATCGACGAAATTGCACTCGAATTGGATCGATTGTCTTCGCGGAATCTGGGACGCGACGATCGGGTGGCCAGCGATCATGGCCGCGAACCACGGTATCCGTTTCTCGATGAAGATGTTATCAACTTTTTGAACGGTATACCCGTTTGGCATAAGTGTGACCTACGTCTGGATCGTAGTACTGGCGAAAAACTACTGTTACGTCAGGTGGCCGAYCGATTAGGACTGTGCCGTACATCCCATCATCTGAAACGGGCCATTCAGTTCGGGTCACGTATTGCCAAAATCGAGGAGTTCCGCGAAAARGGCGAAGACGTGTGCACCCGATTGACCAGTTAGTCACTCAGGTGGTGGGGGCGCGGGATCGGGTYGCGGGAATCGGGTGCTTGAAATCGGATAATTGAATTTTTAAAGAAAACCATTTCATTAGTTTGTTTAAAACAAAAAAAAATAATAATATTGATATTAAATTTTGAAATTGTAATTTTTACAAAAAATTCAATTTATATAATATATATCATAATTATCCTAATTTATCACTGATTTATATATATATATATTGGTTTTATTTTGTGTAAAATAAATAATAATAATAAAAGTATTAATTTTGTATTGTATTTTTTGTTGTTGTTAAAATTAATTTTTAAACAATAATAATACTGTAATAATATTAATAATTTTCAAACAATTTAATGTATGAATAAATTTAATAACTGTTTTTCCATTAATTTAATATTTGTTCAAAATAATAAACTTAAAAAATAAATTATTTATAATAAAGTTAAAATTATGAACTTTTTTTTAAATACAATTAGTTTAAGTAGCAATTTATTATTACGGGTATTTTTTTATTCAATTGGGTACCATTTTTTGWTTTTAGAGCGCTTATCTATCAATAATAATAATAATAAATATATACAMCCCTCCCCCTGTTTGGGGGTAGGTTTMGCATTTGATGGGGGAGAGGAAAGGGTTGGACAGTCCCCAAAAACAAGCTATACTGTACTCTATATACACACAAAACACAAAAAAAAACATTTGCACTGTCAGCTTGAGCTAACAGACCTTGAATACATTTACCAGTTTGTATTTATACAGTAGGTTATATACTGGTGGTAGCAGTTTATTCACATAAAGGAGTTTTGAAAATAACAAAAAAATAATATATATATAAATATTTATATAAATAAATAACAAATTTTCTAAATAATTACAACAAGTTTTTTTTWATATATATATATATATACATAAAAAATACTGTATATCATTTTGAAAATATGTACTAGATACAATTTTTKTGTGTGTAAAAGTCAGTATAACTATACTAAAAATGTATTAAATTATTTGTTTTGTTTTTTTTTGTTAAATATTTAACCGCGGTTGAATTGTTTTTTAGGCAAACAAACAAAACAAAAAAGTTTTTATTATATTATAAATTAGTTTATTTTTAAACAATACATTTGKTGTCAAATATTAGTTAATATTTTTTATATATATATATTAAAAAACTATGTCAACAATATTATTGGCCAGTAGTCCGACTAMTTTACCCGTCGGTAACCATGAAAAAGTTATACTCAATGTCGGCGGCGTCCGACACGAAGTTATGTGGCAAACACTGAACCGATTGCCGCGTTCACGGCTCGGCCGACTGCGGCACACAATTCCCGACGAAGCGGTTGGCCGGCGACTGTGCGACACATACGACAGTACGGCCAACGAATACTATTTCGATCGGCAGCCGACAATATTTGCGGCCGTTTTGGATTTTTACCGAACCGGTAAACTTCATCTACAGGACGGCCACTGTGTGGCTGCGGTCGGCGCCGAACTGGACTACTGGGGAGTGTGCGAGTCGCACATTGACCAGTGTTGTCGGCACCGGTATGACCATAAAAAAGAGAAACTTGACGAACAAATGCAAATAGAAGCCGAACTTCTGGCCGCCAGAGAACAACGGTCACTGAAGGTCAAAGGTGGCGATGGCCGGTGTGTCGACTATCGGCATCGGCTCTGGCAGCTACTGGAGCGGCCACAATCATCGTGGTTGGGCCGGCTATTTGCTGCCGTAACCATCCTATACATTATACTATCGACAGTAGTGGTAATAGTTAGTTCAATGGACAACAACTACAACAACAACAATCCTAGTGGACAGTTGTCGTCGACCCGACGCGAAATAGAGGACAGTCCAGTACTCAGTCTACTCGAACTAATCTGTATCGTATGGTTTACCCTTGAATGTGTACTCCGATTTGTGGCCACACCCGGCAACAAGTGGTCATACTTTAGACGCTGGCTAAACATTATAGACTTGTGCGCTGTTTTGCCATATTATGTCAATCTAGCTCTGGTACAAACACGGCTCGAGGCCCAGCACCTGTATGTTGCCCGTCAAATGTTTGTTACGTTACGTACGCTACGGGTACTGAAACTTAGCCGCCATATACCTGGTCTCAAATCGATGGGCTATGCCGTACGCCACAGCTATCGCGAGCTAATCCAAGTGACACTATTCTTCACGATTGCAGTCATCGTATTCTCCAGTTTGGTCTACTTTGCCGAACGCGATGTTCACGAGACAACATTTTCGTCGATCCCGCGAACATTTTGGTGGGCAGCCATTACAATGACTACCGTCGGCTACGGTGATATGGTTCCGGCCACACCGTACGGCAAACTAGTCGGTGTTGTCTGTTCAATGTGCGGTCTAGTAGTCATTGCACTACCGATACCGGTATTGGTGACCAAATTTCAGCAGTACTATAAAAACGAAATGCGCCGCCAAAATGCATTGTTACACTGCCAGCGGGAGATGGCCACCGCCGCCGGCGTCGGCACCGATAGTACACCGACAAACCCGTCTATCAGCAGTAGTGATGCGGATGATGAGCCGATTGAGTTGACCCATGTGTTGGCCAATACCGCCGATGACAGGATTATAGTCGGCGGCAATAGTCTAATAGATAGCGGACTATTGAGCGATAAAAGCATTGATTAATACTACGGTACATATGATATGATTTTTTTTAAATTTATGATAAATTTTTATCATATAATCATTGGCTGAAAACTATCATTTACTGAATTACCTCAATATTATGAGTAATATTGATAATTATTTTATAATATAATATATTAGTATTTTTTAATTTAAAAAAAACATTTTTTATAAACTCATTTACTGTAAATTTTTGCACTGATTCATTCATTAAGTATTTTTTTATATAAATATAATACTCATTTTTATTTTATTTTTTTATAATAAAATAAATAAATAATTCAAATAAACATTTGGATTATTTATATTTATGATAAGAGAACATTATTTTAATAATAAATTATATAATATAATAATTATATTAATAACTAATAATAATAATAAAGTTATATTTTTTATGTATTTAAAAAACCATATGTTTAATAACTTATTTTTATTTGATTTATCACTAATTTATTTCTATAGATTCTGTATGTATTATATAATACAGTATTGTTGGAAATATTATTAATCAATCAATCATACAAACAACATATATCATATATATATAGACATTTATAATAATTTTTGCACAATTTATACAATATATTATTTAATAGTAGTAATATTTTTTTTTTTTTTTTTTTTTTTGTTAAAATAGCTAAAAGTGTCAAAATATAGCTATAGTTAAGCTTATGTCATATAAGTTTTATGATAAATATTTTATATATAATACTATAGTATCACATATTGATTAATCATCATCATTGTATAATCATGATATGTTATACTGTATTTGAAACAAAAAAAATTAGTATAACTTTTTATTTTACAGTAAATTCAATATATATAATATACAATAAAACTTGTCATAAAAATATTAATTTAATATTACTGTATATAACAGTAAAGAGATTTTCAAAATTATTTTTTTTTTTAAATAATTATAATTTTTATTTATCCCATAATGTCTATCAATGATAATTTATCACTGGTTTTACATAAAACAGGTGACTTGCGTTTAGAGAATAAGGAACTACCCATAGCTACAGAACCGGGACCTAATGGTATGGCATAGCAATACTTAATATATTTTTTAATATATAAATTTTGTTTTAATAATCAAATAAGTAAACAAAAAAAATTACATAATTATTATATGAAGTAATTTTGTTTCTCTAATTAATAACATCTCCAGAGGTGTTATGTAAGACACATTCGTGCGGCATATGTGGCAGTGATATTAGTCTATGGAAAAAGGGAGGTATCGGCCAATATGTCATAAACCAGCCGCAAGTATTGGGCCACGAGTGCAGCGCACTGGTAGTTAAAGTAGGTGTCAATGTCAAACATTTGGTAGCCGGTGATCGGGTAGCCATCGAGCCGGCAGTACCCTGTCGCAGGTGCAACTATTGCAAAACCGGTATCTATAATCACTGTCCGATGGCTAACATACAACTCAAGGGTGTACCGCCAATGCCGGGAATGTTGTGCAGACAGTTTACACACCCGGCTGATTTTTGTTTCAAGTATGTCTATGTGTTTCTCTAGGGTCTCTTAGAGGAACGGTATATATCTAACTATGATTGACCTCACACCCCCCCCCAAAAAAAACTAGACTACCGGCTAATATTACCTACGAAGAGGGAGCTATGGTTGAACCGTTGACCGTAGCCGTACAGGCCGTACGTCGTGTAAAGCTAACCATCGGTCAGTCAGTATTGATATGCGGCGCCGGTACTATCGGTCAGATGTGTTTGGCTGTGGCTAAAGCCTACGGAGCCGCCAAAGTCATTATTACTGGTATTTTTCGTTTTGTTATTAATTGCTTACTATATTAATTCAGTTAGTAATCAATAAATCAATTAAGACATCAATGAGTTCCGACTAAATGTGGCCAAACAGATGGGCGCCGACCAAACTATACTTATTGATCCGACCAAGAGTTCCACTGATGATGGTATTGACGACATTATCCACCAAATACTTGGCAATGAAAGAGGACAGGGAGTTGATGTAACACTGGAATGTACGGGTAGCGAGAATAGCACACAAGTGGCCATCAATTCTACCCGTAAAGCCGGTAAAGTTGGTCTGATTGGTCTCGGCCCACAACAGGTAACGGTGCCATTGGTTACCGTAGCGATTCGTGAGCTGGACATTGTCGGAGTGTTTACTTATCGCAATTGGTATCAAAACTTTAGATAATGTTTTTTTATTGTTTATATCGGTAATTATATTTCTATTAACTAAAACCCATTCACCAAAAAAAAAACAAACAGTTTTCCAATGGCTATACATTTGCTGGAAACGGGAAAAGTTAACATCAAATCACTGGTCACTCATAAGTACCGTTTGGAGCAATCGATGGACGCTTTCAACAAAATGATAGAACCGGACAATAATGCCATCAAAATACAGATTCAATGCAATAAAGATTTTTGAAATTATATAAAATATTTTTAGTTTATTTTAAAAAAAATTGTTTAATTTACTTTTCAAGTAAGGTTTATACAGTTATCATAAAAAAAACTTTCATAATAATAATTAGTAGTAATAATTAATAGATAATAATAATCATTATTTATATAAAGATTATATTAATAGTTAGTAATTATAATAATTAATATATTTAATAAATGATTTGTTTTTTAAGTATAGCATAATTAGTAGAAATAATAAAATAATAATACATATATTGATATTTAATACTAATAATACAGTTATAAGTAATAGTAGGGATATATTTACTGTATTATTGTTATTCAATTAATATCTAAAAATTTTAAATAAAATTTATTATCAAAAAAAAAATTTGGAAAACAATTTCCAAATATTTTTTGTTCAAAACTTAAACTTATTTTCGGTAAACACGGCGTCCAACAGTTCCGCCCATTCAGATGTCTTCAGTTTGCCGATAACCTCATCGAGACTGGCGTACTGGTCGAGTCCGGCCCTAACCATTGTCTTCATTAGGTTGATCGGGTGTTACGGGTGGTACCAGTTTCCAGAATCTATCGTTATAGTTGGCCATCCATATCGTCATAATTTTCGACATCGGAAAATTCCAGTTATCAAAATCGGCCAACACTTGCCGACAATCGGGTCGGTCGGCGGGATTCGTGCTATGCATACGGCACAGCCAGTCATAAATCTTTGTCAGCCGTTCCCTACAATAGGCTCCCGGTTTTAGTAAACTGGAATCACTGGGGGGTCAGAGAAATAATTGCCATTTAGTGTAAAAATAATTATTTTATTTTATCGGGTATTAATTTAACCCGGGGGTAATTAACTTACCAAGCTGCTAGTATATCGATATCGTTATTATCGCCGTATAGTTCAAACAATTCGGCGCTGACAACGGCCACCGAATATATATCTGCCCGATAATCATAATCGCGACCCGAAACGGCCACTTCGGGTGCCATATAGTGACCGGTGCCGATATTTGTGCTGTTTTTCAGCTTATCACTGTTCGGCTGATGGGTAGCGATACCAAAGTCGCACAGTTTGACATAACTGTTCCCAAAGCCGTTCACTTCAATCAATATGTTTTCGGGTTTGATGTCCCGGTGAATGATTTTCGGTTCGAGACTATGTATATGATTGACCGCTTCCAACAATAGTTTGAATAGCCAAGCGGTCAGATAAAATTCGGGTACACCAATAGGATCACCCGGTTTTCGCCGACATATACCAGGTTTGGCGTCCAATAGATGATGTAAATTGCCGGCACTGATGTCCATCAATAGAAATAGTTGATCGCCAATGATTTCGTGATCAAAATAGGTGGTCACGTATTTTGAACGGGCGCTCATGAGATAATTGATCTCCCATTCCAATACATTACTATCCTCACCAGCTATGGGTTTGTTTGGTTTTGATAATAATAATTATGTCATATTATATTTAAATTTAAGTTTAAAAATTTAATTAAGAAAAAAATTATAATTAATATATTTAATACTAACCGTGAAGTGTAGCAATTTTCACGGCATACGACCGGTTAGTTTGCGGATATCGTACTTTATATATCATACCGTGTGATCCCTGATCCATAACTTCGGTCAATTGGTCCCTAAAGTCACCAACTTTCGGGGTAATAGTAGTAGTAGTTGTTGTATCCATAGATAATGGTGCCGAGGCTAGTAGGTAATTTTTTAAATTTTATTTTGTATATTTAATAATTATTGATATTTTAATTTATTTTCATATTAAAATTATATTATTAAATTTAAATTTAGGGACAGTACTAAAATTATTTATTGGCAATTAAAATTTTATTTAGCAATCTAGTTAATATGTTAGCAAATATTAACTAGCTAACTTTATATAATAATTATAATTTAGTTTAATATTATATAATTTATTTTCGAATCTATATATATATATATATATATATATATATAGTAATTATACAGAATAATTTATTAAATTGCATATTACTATTTTTAAAAAATTTACCTTCAATTGAATAGCCAAATGTACCATGATCATCTATTTTCAATGGTGATGGTGTCGATGGATCTGTCAAAAATAAATAAATAAGTACCAATTAAAAAAATTGTTTTATTAAGTAAATTTATTAATAATAATTTTTTATGGGTTATAATAAAATAATTTCAATACCGTTATTTTGAACCATTATTTTTTTTAAATATATTAACAGTAGTAGAGTATTATGTAGTGATTACTATCCAATTATTAATACAATTTAAAAACTTATAGCCATTATAGAGATACCAGTGCTTTAATTTATACCCTAAAACTTATTTAGATTTTTAATAAGTAATCTGAAATCATTGTTTGTGTATAAAAAAATTTGAAACCAATATTATTATTATTAGCATTAATATACTCATTAATCATTAAATTATAAATATCCCAATACTTGTTTGGATTAATAGGTTTACAATATTTATAAAAATAAATAAATAATTTTTTTTTTAAAATTATATTTAAGTCATTGTCGATATCAAATAGACAACTGATATGTAAGTGTATTAAAAAAAATTTATTAAATAAATAATTTATTTATTTAAATAACAAAATTTCAAAAGTAATAATAAATTATTTATTTTTATATTTACAACAACAAAAAATATTTTCCATATTAAATATAATCCATTGTATAGATTATACAACAAATTTTTTGAGATCAATTATTAATTGAATTATAAATAATTGGTTTTTATAAATCCTATAAACAATGATATATTAGATTACATATGTATTGTATTTGCCGTATATTGATATATCCAAACAAACAGATATACTATTAAATTAAAATCTATGAAATTAAATACCAGTATATATTTAATATATTATTATTTTTTGCGAATTGCATCATATAATTCATAGACTTTTATAATTTTATAAACAATAAATTTATTTGTTTATATAAATTCTGTATATATATGTAAATAATATAGTACTGTATTTCAATAATAATAATAAATTTATTTTTAGATATCTAAATAGCTAAAAAATATTATTATTATTTATAAATTTTATTTATTAGTTTAATAAAGTACAATGTTTAATATAAATAATTACATTATTACTGTATTAATAGTATTATTCAATTTAAAAAAAACATTTATTACAAATATTAATCATTAATCAAGTGATCAAAACTTTTGATTTCCCATTTGATTTCACAGTCTATACCTGTTTTCGGTAAACACTGCGTCCAACAGTTCCGACCACTCGGGTGTCTCCAGTTTGGCGATAAGCTTCTGTAGACTATCGTATCGGTCGAGTCCGGCCCTAACCATAACATTCTCTTCGTTAGGTTGATCGGGTGTGACGGGTGGTACCAGTTTCCAGAATCTATAGTTATAGTTGGCCATCCATATCATCATAATTTTGTCCATCGGAAAATTCCAGTTACCAAAATCGTCTAACACTTGCCCACAATCGGGTCGGCCAGCGGGATTCGTTCTATGCATACGACACAGCCAGTCATAAATCTTTGCCAGCCGTTCCCTACAATAGGCTCCCGGTCTTAATAGACTGGAATCACTGGAAATTTAAACAAAAATATCCAGATTATTACCAAGATTATTTTTTAATTAACCCTAGTAAATAAAAACAAACAAACAAACATAAACTTACCAAGCTTCAAGTATATCTATATCATTGTGATTTGTTAGTTCAAATAATTGGCCACCGACAATGGACACCGAATAGATGTCCGCCCGATGGTCATAATCGCTACCCGATTCGCGAACTTCGGGAGCCCTGTATTCTGTAGTGCCGGCATTGGTAGTGTTTTTCTTATTATACACATTCGGGTATTGAGTAGAGACGCCAAAGTCGCACAGTTTGACATAACTGTCATTAAAGCCGTTCACTTCAATCAATATGTTTTTCGGTATGATATCCCGGTGAATGATTTTCGGATCGAGACTATGTATATGATTGACAGCTTCCAACAATAGTTTGAATATCCAAGCGGTCAGATAAAACTCGGGTACGCCAATAGGATCACCCGATTTTCGGCGACATATCTTAGGTTTGACGTCCAATAGATTTTGTAGATTACCGGTACTGATATCCATCAGCAAATATAACTGGTCGTTGACTATTTTGTGATCATAATAGGCGGTCACGTATTTTGAACGGGCACTCATCAGACATAGGATCTCCGTTTCCAGTACATCACGTTCCTCACACTCTATTGTGGGGGTGGGGTGGGTGGGAGCAGGAGGTAGGTTGTTTTTGTTAATTAAAATAAAATTTATTTTTAAAAAATCTTTTTTAACAAAATCTCTATTTCTATTAATTATACAATAATATATACAGTACTGTACTACAATTATATGCCACTTAAAATTATAAATTTCAATAATATTATTTAATGATTTAGCAAGGTACTGTATATAACTTACCTAATATAAGGTACTACTGTATACTAAGTTACCTTGCTTAGCATAAAGTTAACTGTACACACTATATTACTAAAATTTAAACTGTTAATTGTCATTATCTTTATACTAACCGTGAAGTGTAGCCACTTTCACGGCATACGACTGGTCTTTTAGCGAGTTTTGCACTTTATATAATATACCGTGTGATCCGGCATCTATAACTTCGGTCAATTGATCCATAAAGTCATCAACTTTAGGGGTAGTATTAGTATCAGTTGTTGTTGTTGATGATGATGATGATGATGTTGTTGTTGTTGTTGTTGTTGTTGTTGCTGTCGATGGTGATGATGATGTACCAGATTTATTATCTATTAAAACAATGGGTGGTTTTTTGTGTTAATTAAATTAATTTTGTTATATTATTATTATTATTAAATAAATTGTTATTTTGAAAACAAAATCAATTACCCTTATTTTGATCCATTGATTTTAAGTTAATTAAATAGTTGTCCCAATATAACTACTGTACAGTTATGTACTGTAATTTAAATATATATATATATATATATACAGTATATATTAATATATTAAAATTACAGAATTTAATTAAAATATAAAAAAAATTATTTTAATATTTTTTAGTAATTATTATACACATTAAGTTTAGTAGTGATTTATTTTAAGAGGACAGTAGTATTTTTCTCAGATAATCTCAGATAAATACAATTATTGTACTAAATAGTTATATAGACAGATACCAGTGCTTATATACCGCTATATACCGTATATATACTATAAATGTTTAGGATATTTATTTACATATAATATGAAATCATTATTATATCAATAATTTTTTTTTAAATTGGAAACCAATAAACATATTGTAATTTTTATTAAGAATTTGATTATTTGATATCCCAATAGTTATTTGATTATAATAGGATTGCTATATTAAAAAATATAAACTTTAAAACTTGATATATCTATTTATTTAAATAACAAAACTTATTTATTAAAACAATAAATTATTTATATATATATAAATCAACAAAAATGACAGATTTCCTGTAAGTATACGTAATTAAATACAAGAATATTTAATATTTTTGTTTGTTTAATAATACTGTATTTTAGTATAAAAGTTATATTTATAAACAATAATACAGTATATAAGATATCAATACTATAGTTTATTTTTTTTTTGAAAATAACTCACAAAGAAATATAATATTTAAGTTTTAGAAACATAGCAAATATTTATATAATTATTATAAAAACAATTTTACTTAAATATCAATATTTTTTTCCTTAAATATACAGTAAATATTAGATAATAATAAATGCCATCAAAAAACAAATACAAATGTACTAAAGATTTTTAAATTATATATATATTTCTAAAAAAAATAAAATTCAGAAAATTAATGCAAAAAAACCTCTTAAAAATCGTCATCAATAATAGCAATAAAAATTTAAATATTGTATAAAATGTTTTTTTTTTAAATTTAATAGTCAAATAAAATATTTTTTGTTTGTTTGTTAAAAACACCAATGAATTGCTACAATAAATTATTTTTTATTTATTTGATAATAAAAAAACAGATTATATAATATGACTTACGATATATATATCATGACTTAATTTACAAAATATTAAATTTATAAATAGTTATTAAACATATAATATTAATATACCGGTAATAGTTGTCATCATTATTATTATTATTACCGATAAACAAAAAAAAACAGTTTACGGAAAAAAATAGATTCAAAATTATAATAATTATTTGTTAGTATTATCAGCGGTTGCGGCGGCGGCGCCACCCGACGACTTTTGCCGTTCCATATAGTAGTCCCGTTTGGCCGCTTTCAATAGGACATTGGTCAGATATTGATCACTTTTCAATGGTGGCCTCAGTATCGGCGGCAATGGATTTCCTTTCAGCTCGAGTACAGCCACTTGATTGACATCATAGAAGACACCTTTTCCCGATTGTTTCAAAGTATTTTCCACTTCGATCGGCAAAACAAACATTTTGGTAAACGATTCGCTATAATTCATATAACGCGGTGCCAACACTTTGAACAGCTTATGGATCAGACTCTTGTCCTGAATTAAAAAAAAAACAGTAATAGTAAATAATTAATAATAATAATAGTGATAATTGTGGATCAATTTGGGTGATCAATAAGTTAAAAATAATTCAAAATGATAAACCAATAGTTTACCAATAGATAAAAATCGGCCGTTTCCATTGTTGGCCGATGACAGTCGCCATATCGGATGGCATCCATAATCAACTGTTTTAGTATCCATCCATCCATTATCATCATCAGTGATTACAGAGCGGTTCCCAAAAAACAAATCATATCATAAATTAATTTTAAATCAATTGGCAATTATCTCGCGGCCGGTATAATAGCCGCCGCCGCTGCGGTGGTGGTCGTACCCGTTCGGTATAGTTTCTGATCTCCCAACCCCTCCAATAGCCCAATTCGATTCGTTCTTCGCGTACCAGATGTGTAACCGACGCGGCAATGGCCTTGAGTCGGGCATCGGGACCCAGGATGTCACGTCGCCAACGGGGACCGCTCTTGACTTTGATGGTCTCCTTATGGATCTCATAGCGCATCCGCGGCATCAGCTTATCGACCGATGTCTGCGGAAGTAAACAAAATACAATCAATTAAATGGTCAAACAATCAAGTGATTGGTCGGCGGCGGCGGTGATGGTGTGACCGCACACTTACCGTCGGATATCGTTTGTACATCCAGTGAGCTATTTGTTTGTTGTCATCAAATCCGCGATTAGATCCGCGCCGCGAAAAAAAAAGTAAATCATTTATTATATGATAATCGGCGGCCAATCTCTGGCCAATCGTCATCATCATCGCAGATACGTACCGATCGGGAATTTATAGACCATTTTTGTTGTTTTTGGTGACCACTAGTACTGTAGTAGCGGTAAAGTTAACGATAATAATAATAATAATAACAATACAAACACGTGTCACGTGTTTTCAATAGAAAGTTAACGTTATTATTGTTGTTATTGTTTTTGTTATACATTAGAGTTATTATACAAACAGTTAAGTGTTTGGTTTGGTTTGTTTTCGGGAATCAAACCGATAACCAAAATAAAAATTATTGTGTAAATTATATAACAACCAAACCGTTAAGTTTGTATATATTTAGAAAAAATTAATGTAATTTTAAAACAAAAATTAAAACTAAATCACAGTAAAAAATAGTTTATAACAAAACTAATAACAAAAATTTTTTTAATCAATTTTATTTGGTTTAGACCGTAGAACCAAACCGTTTGCATACAAACTGCATACTCTAGTATGCATTGCATAACAATTGTGTTTTCAATTTTTAGTAATAATATTAATGTTTTGTTTGTTTGATATCATAATCATTGAAATTTTAGTTTAAAATTTAATATAAAATAATTGTGAATAAAATTATTTTTTGTAATAATAATAATAAAACATATGATAAATATATAATAGCAATGAATAGTACAAACAATGCAACAAACAGTGTATTGAATGCAACCAAACGTTTGAGACAACACTTTCCCTATGCGTTCACACAGTGTTTGCCAGAGGTTTGCAATTAATTATTAATTTAATTAATTTAATTAATTATTACTAAAAATTTAAATTTTTTTAATTATTTAAAAAAAGAGTCAATTGTATGGCAAATGTATTGAAATCAATGACATCCAAAACGTACGCAAAGATCTATGTATTCAAGAGTTTATGAAACTGAAGCAATGTTTTCAAACGGCATTAAAATCTGTTAAATAAAAATCAAAAATAATATTTATTTTATTTAAAACTTTTTTAAAAAAAAATTTATATATATATGATATAATTTAGTTATTAATATATATGATATATATTTCATTAAAAAAAACAAAATTAATTATACAGTAGAAAAACTAAATAATTAATAGGGCTATAAATGTGTTACAATATTTATAATCACACAATATATTAATGTTTTTTTTTTAAAAAAAATTAATGATTTAATGATTAACAATGAAATAGTAGACCAAAAACATGACATAAGATATGGGATACAAATATTTGCAACACTTGTCCAACAAGTTGTTTGATATCCATCGGCTGTTGCGGTGCTGTCGCCACCGCCGCCGCCGGCGCCCTATTGACCACTTGGTGGACATTGTTTTTGGACGACTACTGTCGACGCCCCGTTGCCGATGATAATGATTGATATCATTGGATGACGATTCATCATTGCACTGCTGATGCTGACCACCGATCGGTGTCATCTCTATTGCCGACGACCGGCTATTACGACCACACAGTGGCGCTTTCATCTCGATCTCTTCGGGTACACCATTTGATGGCAGCCGTTGACGGCCAACAATATTATCGTCATTGTCGTCGTCGTCGTCGTCAAAATCGGTGGTATCTGTATAATCAATGTCACGACGACTGACTGTCCATTGGACTATCAAAACAATGTGACCGACAAACGCATATAACATGGATACAAATTGCCACAAATTAATTGTCCACAACTCTGCCGACAGGGGTAGTGTGTGTCGAAACCATACAAACAGAGTCAACAGTGCCAATAGACTACCGGTGTTGATGATTATACGGCCGGTGGTGATCATCGCCAGTGAACTTGTATGCAACCAAAAGCCCAGATATATCAATGACAGCAACACAAGTGTCGGGATGTAATAAACGCTAATATAGTAGGATATGTCTCGTTTGAATACTAGCTCAACGTCAAGACAACTGTAGTTATCGCGCAAACTGTTCAGTTCCGATAGGCATACGCTGGTTGTGGTACCAATTAGATAGCCAGCACCGTTGATGTCGGTGTTGATAGACGACCCCGAACTGACCAGTGCTGGCTCATCCCATACCAGCTCTAACTGTTGTCTTTCATTAGATACTATCAATTGAGTAGATTTTAAACAAAAATACAATTTAATTATTGTTTTTTTTAAAAAAAAATCTATATTAGTATTAGTAATTTAAAAATTAAAAAAAACAATATTATTATAAAAACTAAACTGTATTTGCTTTCAATAGCAAATCGACATTTGACTGTATCAAACGGGAACCGTATGTTATCGGCTAAACAGTTTATCTGCATATCATATCTATAATAATTAGTAATTGATGAATAAATTTAATTAAAAAAAAACAATAATTATTAGTTATATGATGTTTAGTAGTAAAGGTTTAGTTAATAATAATAATAATAATAATAATAATAATAATCAAACCGATTGGTAGAGTAAACGGTTCCGTCACTGATTATCTTCAATGTTAACAAATCGTCCAAATGTTTACGGGACGGCAGTCGGCCGTGTCTAATGAAATACAGATCAGGTATCCATAGTTTATCCGAATGAAGCAATGCGTTCAGGTATTTGTGGTGTTGACCACCACCACCGTCGCCGCCGCCATCCCTGTCCTCGTATTGTAGCCGATGGTCGGGCCAGTGCTGGTGCAACAGTAGCTCCAGATCGTAGCTATTGCTGGACTCTGACGGCGACGATATGGCCAACAATGTTAGACTAACATTGACGGTAGTGTGTGCTGTCGTCATATATTATTTATACGGGAAAGTTAGGTTAGTTATATAAATATATATATATAATTATCACTTATTTAAATTGTTTATTTAGTAGTCATATATATATATTTAGACAAAAAAAAAATTAGTTAACAATTGGTTTACCATACCTTCAGGTCTAAACCGATAGTCATATCTATCAGTCGATAGCATTTTATTCAATAAGTGGTCATCTCTATGATGTCTAATATAATTTTTTTCATCAAAAAAAAAATTTATACAAAAAAAATTAGAAAATATTGCAAATTAATAAAAATTTTTATTAACATTATCTTTATTTTTTTTGAATGATAATAATTATTATTATTATAAATAATTTATAATAAATGTGTTGTAATATATTATCATAATTAATTAATCTATTACTTGATTAACTTGATTTTAGGTTTTATATATACTGTATATTAATTTGATTTATTTTTTTTATAAAACTGTAACAATTTAAACGAGCACTATTCTATACATGGTATATTATAAAATAAAATTTTATTAATTTATTTAAAAAATATAATATCCTATCTTATCATTTGAAATTGTTAATATAAAAACATTTTTTAAAAATAAAATATATTTTTTTATTATCACATACCTGGGTATTTCTAAAATATTTCCCATTAATCCAGATAAATTAGTCAATAGTATTATTATTATTACAATTAATAATAATAAATTATTTGAAAACAATTTCAATTGATTACACATAATTATTAGTTAATAAAAAAATAAATTATTAAATAAAATTTTTTTTAATATAAATTTGAATTGATAAAACACAAAAAATATTTTAGATAAGTTATATTATTGATAATTATTTTTGTTGTTGTTGTTGTTATCGCATTAAGTTATTTCATATTATTATTATTTTATTGTAATTTCTTACACAATATTAATAATATTATAATTATTATCACTTAATATGTGTAATAATTTAATATTAGAAATTATAAATTAGTTTCAACAACAACAACAACAACAACAAAACTTGTTTGAAATTATTATTAACTAAACAACCACAATAAAAATATTAAAAACACTTGTAAAAAATTGATAATTAATTAAAAAATTAATATTTAATACTACATATATATATACATATATTTAAATTAAAAATAAATTAAATAATTTTRYTAATTTACTAAATAATTTACAATTTTTTTTCGCAAAAAAAAATAAAATATTAAATTATTTTTTTGTACACAATTTTACACAACATTAACACTTAGCTATTAGTTGCACAGGTATTATACAATTACATTATATATATATTATATAAGCGACTTATTGGAAGCACCGGTAGATTATTATTATTACACTRTGTGTGTGTGTGTATTATAAATATATATAAAAAAAAATTATTAATAATTTATAACAAATGTGAAAGACATGTGTAGGCGACTACTGACGGCAAGATTACGGTAAAATAAACGGCTTATAAAAATGCAAATGKATATCAATTTAATCAAATAATAAAAATATTTTTTTAATTTATTTTTTTTTTTTTAATAAAAAAAGTGATGATCCACTTGAAAGCCAATAGCACTGGTAGTTTGTATGGTTGGTTGGTATTTGATGTRTGTGTGTGTGTGTGTGTGTGTCCACAGAGATCTCAAATGAATATAGCCTTGAATTTTGATATTTTCTAATTTAAAATTGAAAAAATATCATAATTTATTATAATATGACAAAAAAAAAATCTTAATTATCACTTAAATTTTTTATTAAAAAAAATAAAATAAATAAATATTCAAATAACATTATGTAATAAAATACTCCTGTATTATTTTTTTTTATTACATTTGATAACATTTGAATATATACTGTATTTAAATTTCAAATAATCATATATATTATATATTATATACACTATATATTATTAATTAAAAAATATTATTATAATAGTTTAATATTATTTGAATCACATTTTGATTGAGTTATTGCTAACATAATGTAATTTAATATTAGTATTTAATCACTAAATAATAAAATTTAAAAAATATTGCTTACTAGTATATATAATATACTAAATTATTATTATAATACTGTATTATTATATAGAGAGTAGTGCAAATGTAATTTAATATTAATATTTAATCACTAAATCATAAAATTAAAAAAAAAATAATAATAATGCTTACTAGTCGGTAAATTTGTTTAAAAAAAATAAATAAATGATACTGTATCAATTTTTTTTATTATTTATTTAATTTTTGTTGTTGTTGTTGGGGTTATCTAATTAGATACAGTTTTAACAGTTTGCACATGTATCCGTTTAAATAWAAATAATTTTATTATTATTGTAATAATTATGTAATAATAATAATAATAATAACGGTTTTTGATTATAAATATTATTATTATTATTATTTATATATATATTTTTTATSTAATATTTATACTTTTTATCAACTTATTTATAACATTTTATATTTATAAGATAATATAAAATAGTTATAATTTTTGAAGTACAATAAAATGTGAAATAATAAATAAATAAATTTATTTTAAATACATTTAAATTAATAATTATATTGTTTATAATTCATAATTATTTGTTTACTAAGTTTAGTAATATAATAAAAAAAGTTTATTATATTTTTTACATAAAATAAACTAAAAATTATTAAATAAATAAAAATTATAATAACACACATTTTATGATAAGTTTACTAATATTAAAATTTAGTTAATTTATATATACTTTTACTTAAAATAAAATACTATTTGATTTCTTTAATTAAAAAATACTATATTTAATACAATTAAATAAATATTTTTAAATTAGTACTTAATTTTTTTGTGGTGTAAAATTAGTTACAATATTTATAATCACAATATAAAAGATACTTGATAATTTTATATCTATATAACTAATAGATTTTGTAAATTGACTTTTATAAAAACAAAATTTTTTATATAATCTAAATATTATCTAATTAACAAACAAAAATATTTATTTTTGATTGTAATAGTTATATAATTATACACTATTATTATTATTATTATCATGTTAAATGCAAATTAATATAATATTATATAATATTTTAAGTAATTATTATAAATTTTTAGCTTGCATATATCATATAGTAGTTTTATTTAAAATATAACTTATAGTTTTTTTTAGATTAATTTTAGTTAGATTTTATTTAGTTAATTGAACAAATATTTAAAAACCAAAAATAATTAAAATTATTTAACTAAAAATCATTAAGCAAGAAAACATTAACATTTAGTACAATAAATATATTATAAGATAAAAAATAAACTAAAAAAATCATAAAATTAAAATTATTAAATTGTTACCCCACTCAATTAAGTTTGTAATAAATAATAATAATAATAATAATAAAGTTATCAAGATAATATTATTTTTAAATTAAATAATTTCAACAACAAATTTATTAAAAAGTTTGCTATTTTTAAATAAGTTTTTAGTTTATTGTTGTTTTCCTTACAATACACTACTACTACTGTATTACTATTATACACTGTAACTACTGTATAATAACTACATGAACACTATGTATTAATAAACAGTGTTTACTGTACTTATAGCTACACATTTGTATACTATTACTTGAAAATTGTAAATAAATTGTTTATTGTCTACTTTATACTGTAGTACAAGTTTAGTTAATAGTAGGAAAAAAGGCCCAAATATTACTGTATAATTGTACTCAACAAATTAGTACCTTTTAATATTATAATAACTAATATAAAAATATTACATAAAACTTAATGTCCATTCAATTAACTATAACTAAGAAAATCCAATGATTTTTATTATTAATAATAAAACAATTAAAATATTTTTCGGGTAAACGATTGGATCAGCTGTTATTAGCGGACAAAAGACATGTCGGCCACCATCGAGAGCTCCGATATCAATAACATACACGAAGATCGCTACCAATATACCAGCGATTGGCTAATCTCGACAAAGAGATCCCATATCTTGCAATCAAAGTGTGTCTCGCCGTTCATCTGCGACAAGACTAAGACCGCTATCGCCAACACCGCCGCTGACACCGTCACCGATAGCTTGACCAATGCCGGCGATGATGGCCATCAACAGCAGCCGCCGCCGCCGCCTTCTCAGATGGATTTGGATCGGCTGTGTATGACCTGCCGGTACGTAGAGCTGTCGTCGAGAGACACACCGATATCAACGGTGATCTCCACTTTAACTGATCCGTTCATTCAATTATTTTTTATTTTCTTTCAACAGCTACGAACAGATACTCGAATTGCCGCACATGCCCGACATGACCTACGCCAACAATTGGCTAACACTTGTCCACAGTAGCGGCTTTCGGCTAGAGTTCAACTGTTTGGACGCACTGAGACTGGTCTCTCGGCAGCTGCCGGCCCATCTGAAAGTCGATGCCGCCGCCGAATGGATGAAGGCTCGGGCTGACAGCGAGTTTACAAAAGTTACGAAAAAAGTCTTCGACTGGACGTTTACTACCGACTATAAGGGCACGATTACAACATCATCGGTAGTGCCAACAACCGATGGCCACGAAGACGGTGGTAGTGTAGTAGTAGTGGAGGTGGTGGACACTGACGAACGGATCGACATTGAAAAACTCAAATCAAAAGACGAGATACTATTCTACGATGAAGTGGATCTGTTTGAGGACGAACTGGCCGATCACGGTGTGGCCAAATTGTCGGTCAAAATTGTATGTTATTGTTGGCCAATCGGGTTTTGACCAGTATATCGGGTTTTTTTGTATTAATAATTTCATTTTTTTGTATTTATCTATTTATTTGCAGAGAGTTATGAAACAATCGTTTTTCATATTAATGCGCTATTTTCTCCGTATCGACAATGTATTGGTCCGCATGAATGACACCCGACTCTACCATGAGGTCAGTCTAGTCTCAGTTTTTTAAAAAAAAGATATTCATACCTATTCTCCCGTTCCCACTAAAAAAATGTCAATCTATTATTGTTTTATTTGTATTGTAAATAACGGGGGTTTGTTTGGTGTGTTTGTTGTTTAGGTGGGAACCGACTATATCCTACGGGAGTACACCCACCGGGATGCCTATGTCCGCGATCTGGACATATCGACTGCCGTACTCATAGATCCCGTACAGCTTAGCCAACATTTGCCAGCCATTGATATCCAATGTCACAAGTTATACATTAAACAACAACAACATCAACAACAAACAAAAATTTAAGTTTCAATATTGTGTTTGTCTTTTTAGTTTTTATTATTATAATCATTAATAAATTGTATATATATTTTTTAATTGAAGATATTAAAAAAAAATTTAAAGATACATTTGATATATATCTATAGTACTCTAGCACATATACTAAATAAATGTAACTGTCTATTGGTAGGGTAGGGTAGGAGGGGAACGGTATGATAATACTGTATAATATAGTAGGATATCATAGTGTACTGTAAAGCGAAAGTTGTTTTTTAAAGTTACCCATAAGTTATATATGTTTTGTTAGTGTTGTTATATTTTAGGTCTAAAAATTTTTTTTTCAAGAAAACTTTCTACTAAATTATAGTGTATTGAAAATTACATCACTATTTAATATTTACTATCAATCAAATACAGTATAATACAGTACTGTAATGTACCGGTATATACATATATGTATATCCTTTAATAATGTAAACTGTATGCGTATTATATACCTGTTTCTGTATGTACCCGTACTGTACTGTACTTTACACATGAATTAAAAATATATATATATAAAAATAACAAAATTTTATAAACAAGTTTTTAAATACAGATAAAAATTTTGTTGTTTTATTTTGTTTTCCTATTTACAGTACATATATATATTTCTCTACCTATTTATTTATAATACCCTTCAACAACAAAAAATATATATATAAAAATAACAAAATTTTATAAACAAGTTTTTAAATACAGATATTTTGTTGTTTTATTTTGTTTTCCTATTAAATATATATATATATTTCAGTATTTATTTATAATACCCTTCAACAACAAAAATTATATACAGGTATTAGTTGTATTAAATACAGTACTACACTATACACACTGTGTGTWATAATCTTTTATTAATTATAAATATAAACACTCCTCTGAAATAAAAACATGTGATATACTTATGTTAATATAAAATCTGTAAGTATAGCCTAAAACTATACAGTTTTCAACAAAAAAAWTGTGACTATTTTTTATGTTGTTGGTTAGTTAGTTAGTTACTTGGACACACAGTTAGTGATTWTTTTTTTTTTTGTTGGTTGGTTGGCATACTAAGTGGTTTGGTTGTCCACCTAAACCATACAYACACACACACACACACACATCCATACAGAMAAACACATACATACACAGCAATGGCCAGTCAGGCGTCGACCATATCAACCAAACGACTTGGCGAAGATTACGTAAAACTACTACAGGATCCCATACCCTATGTGACAGCCCATCCGTTGGAAAGCAATATATTGGAGTGGCATTACGTACTGAGAGGACCTCCGGATAGTCCCTATACGGGCGGTATATATCACGGAAAAGTTAATTTTCCACCGGATTTCCCATTCAAACCGCCAGCCTTGCGTATGCTGACACCGAATGGCCGATTCAGGCCGCAGGCCAGCATTTGTATGTCGATGAGCGAATATCATCCGAAAACCTGGTCACCCCTGTGGACAGTCGGTGCCGTACTGAACGGTTTGCTTAGTTTTATGTTGGACACCGACTATGGTGTTGGTGTTGTCCAGTCAAGCGATCAAATGAAACAAGAATTAGCCGCTCAGTCGTGGGATTTCAATCTGAAAGACAAGACATTTTGTAAACTGTTTCCCGATTTGGTCGAAGAGGCCAATCAACGGAAAAATTCATTATATAGTTTGCAAACAAAATAAGAAAATTATTTTTTAAAAAACTATATAATTATTTAAATATTAAATATCTTCAATGAATATATACAGTATATATTGTATATCAATATATAAGACTTATTTTTTCAAATTAAATATCAATTGTAATCACATTTATTTTCACATTACATAAGTTACCATAACTTAATTTTTAATTGACTTAATTAATTAAATAAATATATTTATTTTTAAAAAGTTATAATTATTGTATTTGATATAACTTATTGATTAGTTTTTTTTGTTATGATAATAATTATTGATTATTATAGTTTAAACATATTTTTTTTATTAAAGCAATTGCAGATATTTATACTAATAATACTGTAATAATTAGCGAAAGTTAATCAATAGTTGTACCGATTTTTTGTTTGTTTGTAGGATTTATTGTGCTATTAAATCGATCGTTTGGTCAGAAACGGCTGCGCCTCCGCCGGCGTCAACAACAACAACATTTCCTCTATCATGAATATGAATACTTTCGACAACCGCTGAGGGAACGGCTACTTTCAGACACCGGGAGCCCATAAAAGATATCCAAATGGCACCTAACGGTGCCGTAATCAATATGGACAGTACGGATACAGTCAATACAAACGTACCAAACTCTATGAGTTGGGGATCATTGCCTCGTTGTCGGGCCAAATCCAGTGCCACTGAACCGATAGCTGCCTGAACAGTAGCTTTCGGTATCCATGCAATGGATACATAGATTTTTTCTTTCAGATTAAGATTGGCACCAATGATGACAAACATCGACGATACGGTACGCAATACCAGTGCAATGATCAGTGCCAATACTGCCAATCCGATGGCATTGGAATGTAGGTCGGCTATCTTGACCTGATAGCCGATCAGTGCAAACAGTAATGGTTCAAACAGTGACCAGGATATTTTTAGTGTGGCCAGCACTGGGCGATCGCGGCCAGTATCGCGCCATTTCAATGCCGCCACAAATGCCAGTGTAATGCAGGCAATAGTACCGAAACTTTCGAGACCAAGCGATTGGCTGACAAACATGGCCGCCACACCCGACATCACTAATAGAGTGATACGTTCAAGTTTTGACTCGTCCTTATTGGGGATATACCTAAAAAAACAACAAAACAATTATTATTTAATTATCGTATATTTCACAGTATATAATATAAAGTACGATATACCACAACAAAACGCCGATCGCCGCCGCTATCAAAGCTCCGGCCACTGCCTCGACCGGTCCCTTGAGTACAGTCCAGACAAGCGACTCGTTGCTGGTAAACACCTGTCCCAAACATATACTAAACCCGGTGATGGCCAATATATCATCAATACTGGCAGCTGCTATGACCAGTGTAGGTATACCTTTGTCGACGCCAAGCTGGCGTTTCTGTAGATTCAACATACCGGGCACTACAATGGCCGGCGACGCTGCAGCCAATACAAAACCCAACAGAAACCCCCATTTAATCGGGAATTGGATCAACCAGTAGGTAGCAAATGTAATGGCCACTACTTCGACCATCATCGGTACGAATGCCATCCTCAGGGCTACAAAACTTAACTTACGAATCACTTTCGGATCCAATTCAAGACCAGCTTCGAGTAGTACCGATACCAGTGATGCCGACCGAAGTACCGAACATAACTGATTGTCCAATTCAACCGACAATAGGTTGCCGTAGAGAAAACCAATGATTAAAGAACCAAATAGTGGCGGACAGGCCACTAGTTTACATAGTTTACCACAAATACACGACAGTGTAAACAATAGGATCAGATGATAGAGATGACCGTTTGGCGGTAGTGCCGGCTGGCCATAGATTGACCAAACAATTGACCAGAATATCAGTACTAACAATAGTTGGCACAAATATTGTTGACATTTGTCGTAGATTTTCGGTAAATCTATTTTTGAACATTTAATTAATTGTTGAATTATTGCTGTCATTTAATTAATTAATTATCTATTTGTTTGTAATAAAATTTTGTGATTATGTTTTATATGTCTAAAATCATTATAACTGATATCAGTCTATATAGACTAGATATTCAGTTATGATGATTATGCAAATTGCATATAATTTATTTTTAAAAATAACTGATTAGTAAAATAAATATTAAAAACCAGTTAATAATGTTAGAAAGCATTATCAGAAAAAAAACTTTGACAGCATATAAAATAATTTATGTTAGCAAATTAATTGTCATTTATATAAAAAAATAATAAACAAATCATTTATATAAAATTTAATGTTTATTTTAAGCATGAAATATTAAAAATACAAAATTAATATTTATAATAAGGTTATAATAAATGTTTTACCAGTATTTGATATAACTTATAGATTAATTTTTAATTTTGTTTTGATAATAATTATTGATTATTAACTTAGTATTGATTATTATAGTTAAACATATTTAAAAAAAAAARCAATTACCGGTACAGATATTTATACTAATAATAATAATCAGCTAAAGTTAATCAATAGTTATACAGATTTTTTGTTTGTTTGTAGGATTTATTGGGTTTTTAAATCAACCGTTTGGTCAGAAACAGTTGCGCCGCCGCCGACGGCAGCGGAAACAACAACAACATCTCCTCTATCATGAATCTCAATACTTTCGACAACCGCTGAGGGAACGGCTACTTTCAGACACCGAGAGCCCATAAAAGATATCCAAATGGCACCTAACGGTGCCGTAATCAATATGGACAGTACGGATACAGTCAATACAAACGTACCAAACTCTATGAGTTGGGGATCATTGCCTCGTTGTCGGGCCAAATCCAGTGCCACTGAACCGATAGCTGCCTGAACAGTAGCTTTCGGTGTCCATGCAATGGATACATAGATTTTTTCTTTCAGATTAAGATTGGCACCAATGATGACCAACATCGACGATACGGTACGCAATACCAGTGCAATGATCAGTGCCAATACTGCCAATCCGATGGCATTGGACTGTAGGTCGGCTATCTTGACCTGATAGCCGATCAGTGCAAACAGCAATGGTTCAAACACTGACCACGATACTTTTAATGTGGCCAGCACTGGGCGATCGCGGCCAGTATCGCGCCATTTCAATGCCGCCACAAATGCCAGTGTAATGCAGGCAATAGTACCGAAACTTTCGAGACCAAGCGATTGGCTGACAAACATGGCCGCCACACCCGACATTATCAATAGGATAATACGTTCAAGTTTTGACTCGTCCTTATTGGGGATATACCTAAAAAACCATTATTATTTAATTATCGTATATTTTACAGTATATAATATAAAGTACGATATACCACAACAAAACGCCGATCGCCGACGCTATCAAAGCTCCGGCCACTGCCTCGACCGGTCCCTTGAGTACAGTCCAGGCCAGCGACTCATTACTGGTAAACACCTGTCCCAAACATATACTAAACCCGGTGATGGCCAATATATCGTCAATACTGGCCGCTGCTATCACTAGTGTAGGTATACCTTTGTCGACGCCCAGCTGGCGTTTCTGTAGATTCAACATACCGGGCACTACAATGGCCGGCGACGCGGCAGCCAATACAAAACCCAACAGAAACCCCCATTTAATCGGGAATTGGATCAACCAGTAGGTAGCAAATGTAATGGCCACTACTTCGACCATCATCGGTACGAATGCCATCCTCAGGGCTACAAAACTTAACTTACGAATCACTTTCGGATCCAATTCAAGACCAGCTTCAAGTAGAACCGATACCAGTGATGCCGACCGAAGTACCGAACATAACTGATTGTCCAATTCAACCGACAATAGGTTGCCATAGAGAAACCCGACGATTAAAGAACCAAATAGTGGCGGACAGGCCACTAGTTTACATAGTTTGCCACAAATGCACGACAGTGTAAACAATAGGATCAGATGATAGAGATGACCGTTTGGCGGTAGTGCCGGCTGGCCATAGATTGACCAAACAATTGACCAGAATATCAGTACTAACAATAGTTGACACAAATATCGTTGACATTTGTCGTAGATTTTCGGTAAATCTATTTTTGAACATTTAATTAATTGTTGAATTATTGCTGTCATTTAATTAATTAATTAATTATCTATTTGTTTGTAATATACTTTTTATGATATAAATTACAATTTTAAAAAAATCTATACTTTGTTTTAAAATCATATACTGTAGATAATGTCTAAAAGTATAATATTAGAAAGTGAAAAATAATTTAGTTTTTAGTAAAATTTTTTTATTAATATATATAGCATATCTGTATAAATATTTTATAACTTTTATAATAATGGTATCATTACTTTTTTTTAGTTTTATTAAATTATTTATATATATTTCCGTCTATTATTTATATAGTACTGTAGTATATTGTTAATGATAATRATAAAAGTTTTATTATACATTTTCAAATTATTATATTATTAAAATTGTATTAATTAAAAATAAGCAATTTTGCCGCAAAGTTATAAATTTAGTATTATTATTATTATTATTTATCAATATATAATATCTATTTTCTAAGTGTTAGTTAAATAATACTTTAATTAAATGAAATTATTATTTTTTTTATAAAAATCATACAGATTTTTATTTTTATTTTAATGAATGAATAAATAAAAATTTTTATAATATCTAATTTATTTGATAACTTATCATTTATATTAGTAATTATAATATCATAAATGTACTTTGAAATAGACAGAATCTTATACATGTATTTTATTGATATAACTGTTATTAATTAAATGATAAATTAAATTAAAAAATAATACCATAAAATATATTTATTATATTGTAAAAAAAATTTAGTTACTAATGTTATGAATGAATTTTTCTAAAATTTATAATAACTTTTATATAGTAGTTATAAAAAATAACTATACTTTAGTATTATTATTATTATTATTATTATTAAACATATACTAATAGGAAACTTACTACTATTAGGATAACTGTGTCGGTTATGTGATAAATAACTGGTAGTAGTCGTCGATAAAGTGGCCGCCGATGATAAAGCCGCCGACATATGGCCACCGTTGACACATAACTATCACCATTACCACCACCACYACCACCACCACCACCAAGAAGTGGYCGATTTTCTTCATTGTTTTTGTTGTTTTTAAAAGACATAGTTTTTACAATTAACTAATTAAAAAAATTTTTTTAGTCAATTGCTTTAACACTTGACAGATATCATAACTTAATTATTATTATTATTATTTTTTTGATAACAATTTTATCAAATAGATGACCGATAAGACACTAAAAATCTTAGACCTATTAATATATATATATATATATATATATATATATATATATATATATATATATATATATATACAATTAATTGATGAATGAAAATAATAATAATAATTGTGTAAAAATTTTAATACATGTGATACATGTAATGTATGAGTGAAAAATCAATGAATGGATTTTTTGTTTTTTTTTAAATAACTTTTAATATATTTATATACAATAATATTTGTTTGTGTTTTTGTATATTATTAGATATTATTAATCAATTAGTGTAATCAAATGGACAAATGTTAGTATGGTATATAAAAATAAACTATTAATTAATGTTATTAATAGTAAAACAAAATAGTTTATACATAAAAAAATATATAATTTTTTTATATATGATAAAATTTCAGACACTATACTACTGTATTATAAAAAAAATATTTATTTACTTATATTGATATTGTAATCTTGTATTAATTACTATCAATTTTTTAACTTAATTTTAYTGTATATAAAAATTCTAGTAAGTTATGTCTCAATAGTATGTATACAATGTTAAAACTTATACATTAAAAAAATTAAAATTTTTTAATTATATAAAATATAATATTGTTATATTAAATTAATTTTTTTAAAAAAAACTCAATTTTATTATAAAATTAAAAGTTTCTCAACAAAAAATAAAACAGACAGACAGTCAACAGTGAGACTTAGACAGTGACAGTCAGCTCTACAGGCGCTTCATATCCATCAGTGAGAGATATATCCAGAGCTGTTGAATCTACCGGTGCTTATATCTAAGGGTTGTACAGATTTAGACAACAACAACACTACCAGTAACAACAGTGACAGTTAGAATAGACTGTTAAAGCTAACTGTTCCGCCAAAACACCTGACACACTAACAGAGAGAGAGAGAGAGAGACATACAAAGAGTTTTGRTCTAAAAAATTAGGAGTTAGCTATCAATTCAATGAATAAGATCATAGAGAAGCTGTCGTCCACGGATGAGATCATTGGCCAGCGATCGCAGATATTTGCCGGCATCGGTACAGCCGAAGGCAGTATTATGATTGTCTTCAATAGTCGACGAGTGATACGCAAGTCGATTATCAGCCGCGACCGCAACACACAGATTCAGACACCGGCCGCACACATACAGGCACTCGATAGAGGACCTACTGGTGTACATAATATCTATGTTGGCGATGACAACACCACCAACAATAATACAGACGCCGAAGTCTATCTGTCCTATTGTCATCAGTCGGTGTGTACACTATCTGGTGGTACCTGTGCTACACTGTTGGGTCGTACCTATATTGTCAACGACGACATTGACAACGATCACGAGTCGGGCGACGACGAAACACTGGAGTACGAGCTCAGGGCTGGTCAACACGTGCGCATACTTAGCGGTAAAGTTAGGATACGGATCAGTGCCACTGGTCATCGTATTTATATTGATTGTAAGGATAAGGACAATACAGACACAACGGTCACACCAACGGTCAGGTATGAAATAGTCTAATAATGTCAATGAATATATACAGTACTTATATATATATATATACAGTAATAATAACATATTAATAATAAAAATGTTTTGGACATTTAATTTGTTTTTTCAAATGATATTTCAATTTCAATTGATCCCAAATTTTCTAGCCGGCAGTTATCACATGTATATAATATACAGTATAGTAAAATAAAAAATATAAAAAATTAAGATTTTATTTTTGTTTTCAATGAATACAATGAAAACAGATATCAATCTCAATAGTTTCAAAGTAAAACAGTTTTGTAAAAAATAAATAATTGAAAAAATAAGTATAGATATAGAGTTTGGTTAGAGTTTTGTTTGTATTGTTTGACTATTTCATTGGATAACTACTACTACTTTTACTATCTATTACTACCACCACTACTACTACTACTACTAATTAGTCTTCTTTTGTTTGGCCTCTTTGGCCAAATCGGGAAACAGTTCACAGAATGTCTTGTTTTTCAGATTGAAATTCCACGACTGGGCGGCCAATTGGCGGCGCTCTTCGTCCGTATTGTGGACACAACCGGTAGCCCTTTCGTTGCCGACCATAAAACTAAGCAACCCGTTGAGTACGGCACCGCCAGTCCACAAGGGTGACCACGTTTCGGGATGAAACTCACTCATCGACAAACACAGACTGGTATTGATAGCGAAACGGCCGTTCGGTGTCAGCATACGTATGGCCGGCGGTTTGTAGGGAAACTCTTTGGGAAACGCCAGAGTTCCGTGATATATACCGCCCGAGTAGGGACTATCGGGCGGTCCTTTCAGTACGTAATGCCATTCAAGTATATTGCTTTCGAGCGGTACGGCCGTCACGAATGGTATGGGATCCTGGAGTAGCTCTTTGTAGTCTTTTTGTAGACGTTTGATAGCAATTTTCGGCACTTGACTCGACATTTCCGSTCACTYGACACACACACACWCACACWCACTCAGATACCGGGGGTATTGACACTACTAAAGGKCTGTCCCTAACAAATTCAAAACTCTGGTTCAAGTGGTGTCAAATTTTGAACTGTCTGTCCCAACAAACAAATAAGTTGTTTTGCAATACCGGTAACAATAGTTTTTTTAAATTGTTTTTTTTCAAAAAAAGAAAAATATTTATTCAATTTTAATTTTTTTCAATTTCATTGTTAAAACATGAGATAATATTTTATATTAATTGATTGATTGTTTTAATACAAACAAATTTTTGTTTATTACTAACTCATAAATTAATTAAATATATTTTTAGTGTACATTACAAAAATCAATAACAATTTGCTTATTATTAAATTAGCAAATATTTCAATATTTTATTAGTAATATAAATAACAGATACAAAATAAAGTCATATATTTAGCACATACTAGTAAATAGTATTGTGATTATAGTTTCAACAATTTCGGCAAACAATTTGTAATTTTAAAAAAATAATGTTTGTTTGAAATAATTTTGAAATAATTATAATAAAATTAATTTTTTTTGTCTAGTTTAAAATAATTAAAATTAAGTAGATTGATGTTTTTTTTAAAAAAAACTATTTTATTAATTAAATAGAATTATGTTTTTTACAATTATTTAATTATATCTGTATTTAATGTTATAAAAAATCACTATAATTGGATATTACTAGTGTATAATAAATATATTGTATGTTTGTATATATTATATTAAGTATATTGAAATAATATATATGTATAAAATAAACACACGGTATATGTATGATAACTATATAATTATATAATAAATGTTTATTATTACTTATATAAATTGTAAGTCAATTTTTATAGTAATGATATTACTGTATATTGAATAAAATATAAAGTTATTTTATAAATAAAGTTTATATATGTATTTGTAGGCAATACTTAATGGTAATAATTTTTGATGAATCAAACTTATTTTATTTTGTTATATTGATGTTTAAAATAATTATTTTACCCAGTTAAAATTTATAAACAAAATCTAATTTAAACTTTAATAATAAATAAGAACAAAAAATAAATTTAAGTAATTAATTAAATAATACACATATTTTTAGTAAAGTATCAAAAGTTTTATTTAAACTTTATTTTATTAATTAAATACAAATATTAGAAATTATATTCGTAAGTAAACTGTACTTGAAATTGTTTTAAAAATTATTTAGTAATCAATATTTTTTTTAATAAACTTATATATTGCCAAAATTATAGTTCAAAATACTACTATAAAAATATAATATTAAAATTAAATATTAAATATATAATTTTTATTAGAATAATGTAAAACTAATAAAAGTTTTAAGTAAAAGTTTTTTAGTGTAATAAAAATACAATAGTTTAGCAATAATTTTATAAATATTTATATTTAGTATATTTAATAATGTATATAAGTATATTTTATTTTCAAATAATAACAATTAAATTATTTATTAATGATTAACTATTAGAAAAATTATTGTATTGAAAAATAATAATAATAGTAATTTTCTTTAAAAATAAACAAATAATATTTATTATTTACTATTTCACGGATAACTACTTGTAATACTACCCGAAATGGTTAAAAAAAATTGTTTCACGATTTATACGCGCGTTTAGAAAACATGCATTATATGGGTATTATACTGTATTTTTAAAAATGTGTGCGAGACTGTACAATTTTTTATTATTATTATTATAAAACCATTACTTTATATCTATGATTTTAGGTGTGAGGTTAGGTGGGTTGGGTGGGTTGGGAGGTGTAGTAGACACACAAACACACACACATTAATACCAATATAATTGTATTATTGAATTTTATAATTCATCAAAAATATACACCACTACTACTGTATTAGATTACTTTACAATACATGTATATATATATTGTATTACAAGTTGTAATTTACAACAATATTAATATACAGCAATCAATTAATAATTATTATACATTTATAGATTAATTATATTGATATTCAAATTCAAATTGATATTCAAATCATTTCAATAACACACACAATAAAAAACATTTAAAAACTATTAAAACAAACTTATTTGTCACCATTTTTTTTTAAATAACTGTCACTTCAATCAAATCACATCATATTTTTTAACAAACCCCTGGTTTTGTTGTTGTTTTATTTACCGGACAGTTATTTATCGACCAAAAACCCGGCCCTCCCTCACCCTCACCACCAAAAAAAAAAAACAGGACAGGTATGTCATCGGCGTCGTCGTCGTCATCACKAATGTCATACAATTACTGTACATCGTCTACGATGATGACACTGATTGTATGGTTATTGTTGATTATGATGTCCATCATTAACACCGGAGGTAGTGGTGGTGGTGGCGGTATCAAAGTGGTCAGCGCCCAAACAGACGACAGTGATGACAGCGGCAGCAGTGATGGCAGCAATTACAGGACCTATCGTCTAATATTGTTGATAGCGATAGTATTTGTAGCCTTGTTTGACGTGATCTGTCTGATTGTAATGATATACCTGTGCACTGCACGCGTTGGCAAACATGACGGCACCGACGGATCAACTGGAATGACCAGTACCGGTGGTAGCAGTACACGAACCGGCGGCGGCGGCGGCTCACGGCTCAGCAAACGATCGGCCAAACAAAAATCATCGGCTAACGAATCACCGCAGAAGCCGGGAGTTAAATCAACAGTTAAGAGTCCGCCAAAAACATCAACAGCTACAGGTAGTAGTGTGTCGCCCACCACCACCACCACCAAAAAGGCCAGTCCGTCGGCCAATAGGTAAATAGGATGCGGGAGTTGGGGGGGGGGGGGGTAACGGCACACACACACGACTATCCAGACCAATGTATGTATTGTGTGTGYGTGTGTGTTTGGACCCAACTGTCCAACAAATTTGTCAATTTTTTTTGTTGGTGTCACTCTCTCTCTCTCTCTCTTATCTCTTACTATATCTTATATAGGAATATAAAGAAAAACAATGTCTTTAAATTGTCTTTTTTTATATAATAATAAAAATAAAACTTAAATAACTTTCATATTATTATTATTATTATTATTATTATTATTATTAATTATTAATACCGTATTATTTATATTAAATATATTAATAAATTAATTCGAGAGTATTTATTATACATTTAAAAAAAATCATAAATTATTTTATGATTCAAATATATATATTTACCGTATATATTATATTAAATTAATATAATATCTTACATAATAATAATACTATTATATAGTAGTTAATTTAAATATGCTATTAATAATAGTATTGAATAAAATAGTAATTATTTAAATTTTTTATTTATTTAAGGTTTATTATTATTATATTGAAAAATATAATTCATTTATTGATCAATAGAATAATGATAATAAATATAGACATTTAAGACTAAATATAAATATATATATATATAGATTAGAATAATTAACAAAATTATAATTATTTGTAAAAAAATAACTAAATAAATAAAAGTAATAAAATATTTTAGTTAATTAGAGATATGAAAATTTATAAAATCTATCACAAAAAAATAGAATATTAATTTAAAAATATATATTAATAATTAAATATTATACAGTATATATTTTTAATACTATTGTTTCTAATTTTTACGGGTGGATTCCCTCCCCCACCCATCCCCTTTAGGTGTAACAATTTGTTTTTACCCTTTCCTACCTTGATATTGATTTGTATTGGTTATTATATTAATATTTTTAATATATCAAGGTCAATTTAGATACAATATTATTAATATAATATTGAACAATATATGTTTTGCTTAGTTATATTTATTATATTATTGTAAAATCATAAAAAATAGTAATAATTTATTTATAACAAAAAAATTCAAAAACCAATTATACAATTATTAAATAGTTTGTATGTATTGTTTGCCCAGTAGTTGACCGATGCAGCCGTTAATATGATAAATAAAAATAGTATTGTATACGCCATCAGTGCGTAAAACATAATAATTTTTGATATAAAATCCAATGAACTAAATAATACTGTATTCAATATGATAACACCGGCCGATCCAAAAATCAACCAAACATTTAGCAAAAACTTTGACCAATAGGTTTGATTATAGTCGGAGATTTCGGCACACAATTTGTCCATTGATTTTATATTAACTAACAATACATTTACAGTATTATGATATCGGGATATATRTCCCAACTTATCGTTTATTATCCGGAGTTTGCATTTAAAATATCGACACAATAGATAATAGTAGATAACCTGATAGAGTCCTATACTATATAAATATTTACACATAACAGCAAAATGGCATATACTGGGTAAGCCATAGACTAGGACATACATAAGCGGCAAATTATGGACATAAGTAAACACTATAAGCAATATACCAGTAATTGGTGCAACAAAATCAATGCTAAACTGACATAATTTGCACAATCGGGTCATCMATTTTGTCAGTTTCTGTATCTCCTGGGGATCGGTTAGACCAACATTTTCGGGTGTTATCACCGAACAACCGACATCATTTGAAAGACCAGCATAAATGTCGGTTGAATGCCATTCAARTAGTTATAATAATAGATTAGTTGCGATAACCATATGAACAGCGATAGTAATAGTAATAAGGTTTCCATTATTATACGATCGCCTATAAAATAGCCGAAATCACCGAACAATATAAACAATTTCCAATTATTCATATCAATGACAAACATTAKKGATATAATGCGTTCAAACAAATAGATGATACAAACTGTAAACATAAGGACAGGACTGTAAAACCAATGTCTACTGGGATAACAATCGGCTGAAATTGGATCCACAATTAAACCGATTTGATATAAATGATAGGCCGACCATTTGTAGGCAATACTTGTGGGTAATAACTTTGATGTATCAAAATTAATCATTTTGTTTATAAACAATTTTGTTGTTTAATTAAAGTTTGTAATTAAATTTTTTAACCTAGTAGACAATTTTTTTGTCTATTAATAATTTTCAATTAATACCAATTTATTAATAATAACTGATAATAACAAAATTAATCATTTTGTTTATAAAATCAATTTTTTTAACCGATTTGATATAAATAAGTTTGTAACAATTGATAATACTTTTGATGTATCAAAATATAACATTTTGTTATTTATAAGCATTTTTTGTTATTTTTTAAAAGTTTTAAGACTAGTAGACAATGTTTTTTTTTGTTTTGTTTTATTAATAGTTTTCAACTAWTACRSTACTATTTATAATARTTTTTTTTTACTAATTTTATTTTTATTGAATTAATTGAATTCAATTATTTGATGATATCAAYAATAATAATAATAATAATAATATAYAATAAAGTTGTTAATTTAAATATTAATAATAGTATTGAATAAAAATATAAAAGTTATATATATATATGTATTGTATATTATATTGTAAATTATTAGTTTGAAAATGAATTTATTTTTARACTAAAAATAATGATAAAAAAAATATAGCCATTATATGTAAATATAGACTAATAACTATGGATTAAAATACTTAATACAAAAATAATATTTGATAATAATAATAATAATATACTATTGAATAGTTAATTTAAATACAATATTATTGAAATAAGTTAGTATTCAATATATAAAAGTAATTTGTAAAATAAATATCAATAGTTTATTATATATTATAATTGTGGAAAAATTATTTATTTACTGTATATAATAATAATAATAATACTGTAATAATAATAACTATAGCTATTAAATAATATATATATTTATATATAGAGTGCTAACTATACGATAGCTTAAAATTATTAAGAAAATAATATATACTTTAATTAACAACAGATAAAATAATTAACTGTATTAATAATAATTTTAAAAATATAATTAAAAATAATAATTATATAGTTTTTTTTAATTATATTTTCACTATAATTYATTAAGACTTTTTTTCCCAAATCAATTGAAACTATAGCTAATTAAAAGAAAAATATATATTAAAAAAAATATTTAATTATTTCAACATATTATATAAAAATACCAGTAATTTATAAATAGCTATTATTAAATTTATTATTTTTTTAGTTTTTTATACAATAATTTAGTCAACTTATCAAAATTAATGTTAAAAACTAGCAATAATAAAAGTCAGCAACAAAAATAATCATTAAAATTGTAAACCTATAATAAACAAATTAAATTGTTTTTAGTTTATTTAATAAAATAAATGATAWTAATAATAATAATAATAATAATAATAATAATGGTTAATTTAATGGTTAAAATATTATTAAAATAATTTTGAATAATATGTTTWTATTTTMCAACATTTTATTATATTATTTATAAAATCAATAAATATTTATAAATATGATTAGGAATAATAAATACAAATGTTTTAAAGTGTATTCAACTTTATTTAATGTATTAATAAATAAATAATAAAATTCAAAATACAAGTATATAATATTAATAATAATAATGACAAAAAATATGATAATACTATTTAAAATCTTTATATATTATAAATAAATATAAAACTTATTTTATGTTACACACTTAAAATAAGTAAATTTAATTTTTAAAAAAACTAGTGATAAAATGTATTTCATCCTGATAATATTTTATAAATATAGTCATACATACACGCATACACACACACACACCCACATACATACACACACACACAACAAAATACACATACATACATAAATACATATATATATATATATATATACAGTGTATATATATGTATATATATGTGTGTGTATATATATATATATACACACACACATATACATATATATAYATATATATATATATATAATTTATATACACTTATAATGGTTCAAAGTTTAAGTGTTTCACTATTGCACTATTAATAATAATCAACAACAAAAAAATTATAAACATTTAATAAGTGTTTTAATTAATTAAAAATTATTTTCAAACAACTATATAAACAGTATATAATGATTTATTACAGTACTACCAATTTTTTTGTTAGTTTTAATAATTTAAATATTAGTTAGACATTATGTCTAAGTATCGTCAAAATTTTGAACAACTTGAACTTTTAGGAGACGGCACATTTGGCCAGGTATATAAAGTTAAACATAAACAAAATAATCAATATTATGCTATTAAAATTGTAATACTTGAAGGTAATTGAAATGTATATTATTATTATTACTATTTAATATTTTTAAAAATTATTTAGTCTATTAATTTTTTAAAATAAATTTCCAATTATTAGTTGATGAAAATAATGTCAGCAAAGATGATATTAAAAAAGAAGTTTCACTATTGAAACAATTGGATCCCAATTATGTAATCAAATATTATGACGATTGGCTGGAAGGCGATAGTTATTATATTCAAATGAAATTGGGATCAATTAATATGGAAACAGTTATGAAACGATTGGAAATGATTTTAAATCGGASAMTAAACAATCCAGTAGTACTGAGCACATGGATCTAGTGATCAATTTTATTAGGTGTCGGTTATTCATCGAAATTATTGAATGTTTAGAATATTTGCATCAAAACATACCAGTGATTATACACCGGGATATTAAACTACAGAATATTCTTGTAGTACTTCCCGATGAAYTGGTAGACCCTATGAATCGGTTTATCAGATTATGTGACTTTGGTTTGGCCACTGTTCACGAACGGTCGTTAATGAGTCATACTTCCAGTGTAGGAACGACCAGATATATGGCACCCGAAGTACTGGAAGGCCGTAAGTATAACTCAATGGTCGATATCTATAGTCTGGGAATTGTTGGCCAGGAATTGTTTGGTGTGAATATCTATGAGGAAAATAGAGAGTATTAATATATTAATAAATTTTAAGTATTATAAAAGTTTAATTAAGTATMAAAAAAMTTGTTTTTTTTTATTTAATAGTTCACATCCGATACCAAACCTGATTGAACTGTTTAACCGTATGATAAACCGTATGTCCAATGAAAGGCCCAGTTGTACGGAAATACTGCTTCTGGCCAATGAATGGACAATAACTGCCGAAACTATCAACAATGTGGTGACAAATATGTCAGAAATTCGACATATTTTTCGGGTTAACAATCAACAACCTGTTGATGTATTTTTAAACCGCTATTTGACTTATCATTTGCAATAAAACATTGAATAATTGTTTTTTTATAATAATAATAAGTTTTATTATAAATTTACTGATTATTTAATAAATTGTTTGWTATATTTATAATTACAGTATTTGTTTTTTATATAATAAACAGAAATTAATTAAATATATTTTTAATATTTTATTAATTAATTTGCATAACTGTTRYATATTTATTTATAWTTTTATATAAATTAATTTAACTAATTTAATTATTATTATTTATTTTATTAAAATATTCTAATTATGTGTCTAATTATATAAAAATTTTAATAAATTTCATAACAATTTAGTAATAGATTAAATTATTTTATATAAATTCCATAAAACTATTAAATAAACTATTATAATGAAACTTATATGGAAAATAAATTATTTAATTATTGGACCTAACAATTTAAAAGTTAATAATCTAACATTTTATTTAAACATTATTGTTTTTTTTTGTTTCTGAAATAAATATTTCATTAAAATTTATCATTTTATTAATTAATTATTTATCATTGAATCATATGTAAATTATAAATATGTTTAATAATTTTTTTAAAATAATATTTAATAAGACAGTWACTGTTTTATTTTAAAAAAATATTTTAAATAAGTGCATTATATTAAATTTATTAAAACTAAAAATATATATTTTATGAATCAATTTATTTACTATTACTTAGTTATTAACTGTTAATATTTGATTTTAAGTGGATTTTATTAAGTTAGTAAAGTCCTTGATTTTATATTTTTAATATTATTTTTATTATAAGATATGAAAGCATTTTATCCCTAATGAACTTAAAATAATGATAATATTGTATATAACTATATAAATACTACTACTAAATAATTATTATTATATTAAAATTTTTGTCCCTATGATTTTATTTATCTCAAAAAAATTTTTTTTAATAATACATTTCATTACAGTTATTATATTGTATTTTGTGGTCAAAAGAAAATTGATTTTTCATATCTTAATTAATTAAAAGATAAGAGATTATCATTTCTGACGCAAACTTCTAATGTTATTATAAAAGTCATGTAAAAACTTGTAAAAAGTTATTATTATTATTATTAGTATATTTTTAATTAGTTTTTTGTGTGTTTAAATTTGTGTTATCAGAAAAATTGAAAAAAAATAATTATTATTTATAATATATAACTATATAAATAAAATGCCGAAAAAGTTAAATATCTTAGTGTCCGTAATGGACGGCGTCGGACATGTAAACGCTTGTATTGGTTTGGCTCAAGTACTACAAAAACGTGGCCATCGGTTAACATTTGTTATGGAAAAGGCATATAAGGGACAGTTAGCTGAGTTTGGATTTGATGAAGAAATTATTGAAGACATCAATGATGATGTTGTTGTGGATAATCAGATACAACAACAACAATCACAACAACAAACAGACAATCCTAAAAAAATGGGCGAAGAGGGAGCACATTATTTATTAGGATCGGGTCTACTATCGGGACTGTCATCAGTGGACAAAATGCATATTATGCTRAAAATGCCTATTTTTGATAAAGTATTAGAAAAAGCCCGATTAGACAATCAAAAATATATGAAAATTGTTGACAAACTGAATCCCGATTTAATTATTTTGGATGAATTTATTGGTCGACCAGCGCTTATATATTCTGGTAAACCGTGGATCAGTTTGTTTAGCGGTAATCCATTGTTTGCCATCGATGATGAACGTACTCCACCATTTGCTTCCGGTAACTGATATATATATATATTATATACGGTATATATATATATAAATTTATTATAAGTTTATTTTAATATATAAAAAATACAATTATAATGTTTGTTTAATATACTATGTATTTAATAATAGGTTTTCCAACAAACAGCGATAAAAGCGGTTGGTTAGAGATGAGACAGTTAGGTAAACAAGTATTTGGAGGACAGGCACTCGTAAAGTATAATGAATGGCTTCGGGAGTTAGATTTACCATTGATTACCGACTCGGAACTAGTGGTTCCCATATCACCCTATCTGAACATTTATGGCTATCCTGAAGAACTTGATTATACAGATATCAGACCCATTCCCGACAACTTTTGTCCGGTCGATGCCTTTCGGCGAACTGATCCGAAAGAGTTCAAAATTCCCGATAAATTTGATAATCGTGACAAAAGTCAATCAAAATTAATATATCTATCGATGGGTTCAATGGGTTCAGTGGATGTCCAGCTAATGAAACGATTTGTCGATATATTGTCGAAAACTTCGCACAAATATATCGTATCCAAAGGATTTCTATCCGATAAATACGATTTAGCAGACAATATGTGGGGTCAGGCGTCAGTTCCGCAGACAAATGTCCTGCCATTAGTCGATCTGGTCATAACTCACGGCGGAAACAATTCGGTAACCGAAACGTTTAGTTTTGGTAAACCGATGATTGTTATGCCATTATTTGCCGATCAGTTTGATAATGCACAGCGAATTCAGGAGAAAGGTTATGGCATACGATTGGATCCGTATTTATTCAAAGACAACCAATTAGTTGATTCAATTGACAGACTATTAAATGATAAACAATTAGACGATAGACTAACGATGGCATCCAAACGTATGCTTAAATCGGATAGCATTCATAAGGCTTGCGATCGCATTGAAAATCTTGTAAATTAATGAAATTTATAATAACAAAAAATGTGATTTCAATTAGGGAACAAATCTATATTATAGACAGCCAGTAGAAAATTATTTGCCCCAAACCCACCCCCACCCACCCACCCCCACCCACCCAACCACTTCCTAACCTCACACTCACCCAAACTAACCTAACTAAATAATAAATAAGTAATAAAACTAACATTTTATAAATGTTTAATTGCATAAAAAACAATACTTTTTTGCTGGCTGTCTATAATATAGATTTAAGCCTCAATTAGATATTTAATTTTACAAAATTATGTTTTATTATTATTATTATTTTTTAAATATAAATGTTTAACTTTTATTATTATTTTTTAAAAAAAATAAAAGTTTTTAATTTACAAAACTTTTTCGTTGTTGTTGTTGTTAACTCTCAGCTTTTTGTTATACAGTCGTATATTTAGGTATAAAATATTAAACTCAAAAAATAAAGAGTAGTTAAATAAATTTTCAAAATTCAAACAATATAGTTATTAAGTTTTTTATTACACTTTAGCACCGGTATGTCATGTACTGGTATATGCTGTGTATGTGTAGTGTATTACGTAAGTTATAAATTATAAGTATTGAGTAATTGTCTAAACTGTATCAAATAGTTAAATTTATTAATTACATTGATTGTGTAAAATAATTATTTAAATTAAAATAGTTATTATACACATATTGATTATAATACCACATTATATTAATAATAAATTGATTTGACTTGATCTATTTTTAATAAAAATTTAATATAATTTTAATTTAAAAAACTAAAGTTAAATTTCTATTAAAATTATTATACATAGATATTATACAGTATATATAATAATATGATAAATAATAGGTTATCAAATATTATATTTATAAAAGTATTTATATATATTTAGTATATAAAGTATTTGATTATTAATAATTATAATAATATATAATAATAATAATAATAATAATAATTTATTTCAATAAGAACTTGTCTTAAGGATACATCAAATAAAATATTCGTTAATTAGTTTAACAAATTTGTTATAATTACATTCATTTCTTATATATTTAGGTAAATTATTAAAAATTTTTACAGAAAAGTCAAATATATATTTATCTGAAATAGATAAACGATTAAAAGGTATTTTAATTTTATTTTATTTTCAATTAATCTATTAATTTTAATTATTTATAATAACTTATTTTTTCATGATATTTTATCAAAATAATGTATGCTATTGTTAATAAAATTAATAAATATTATTAGTGTATTTATTTAACTAAATTAATTGATGAAAACTATATTTATTATTATAATAATAAATAATTTATGAATATTAAGTAATATATTTATAAATTCATTAGATTCTATATAATAAGTAGTTTTTATTTTTAAATAATTATATTTATTTTCAAAAATATTTTTTGATTGCAAATATTGATTGTATATCGTATTAGTATTAATAAATCTGGTAATTGTTATGTAATTAATTATAAATTAAATATATTTTTATACAGTATAGCATAATATATGGTAGTTACGGGTCTAACAAATGTTTTTTTATTTAAAATCAATTAGCAAAATATCCGTGAAAAGTGCCGGGTATTGATGACGGTGTCCGAAACGATGCCCGACCCAACTCGTTGAATGTTTTGCCGTCTAATACCAGTAGAAAGCCATCCCTTTCGTCCAATTCAGACAATACCGACGCCACTACTACTCCTACGCCATACATATGGTTTTGAATACAATTTTAAATACAATTAAAAACATTTTTTAAAAATATAATTTATATTATTGTTTAACTAACTAACCATTGTCTTCGTTGTCCGGGTTTGTATAGTCGACTCCCGGCTTTTCAATGAATATCGGTTCCGATGGTTGGGTATTGTCTTCGKACCAGAAAATCGGTTCATTTGTTTTTGTATCAAATTTCATCTAAAAAAATTAGAAATAAAATAAAAATAAAATTAAGTTTTAGTCAAAATAATTAATTAGATAAATAAATATTTTTAATTATAAATACCAATTTAACTTTAATATCGTTACCGTAGACACCCGTGTTATACAATGAATAAAAATATCTATATTTTTTACCATTTAATAAGTAATTAATACGAGCCAATTCACCCACAAATATACCTTGATTAATTAATATAATATCAAATTAGTTAACTAATTTAATTATTAAAAATAAATAACTAATTTAATTATAAAAATAAATAACTAATTTAATTATTAAAATATAAATAACTAATAATAATAGAATAGCTAAATATATAAATAAATTCAACAGTTTTATAAAAAGTAAATTAAAAAATTAAATAAAAATAACTATAAATTATTTTTTTATAAAAAAAATTAATTTACCCGACTTTGTCAGTATATCCGGTTTGAGTACAATAGTTAGGGACTCGCCATCAGATTTTTTTCTGTCAACTACATAAGCTTCGGCTTTAGTATCCGTTAGAGTGACCAGATTTTTGTTGTTATTGTTGCCGGACTTTGATGTGAACTGATTTTTATGGTCAATCATTTGCAGTGGCAAAACAAATCTTCGGACATTAGATTCGGCACCAAATTTGAAACCTTTTTCGTAGACCTTACGAAAGTTGTCGGCACTCAACGCACTGATAATATTGCCGTCCGGATAGCAACAGATATCGATTACCAATTGATTTCCGTTATCGTCTTCATAGGCATTGATGGTATGGAAAAAAGCAAACGACTCGTCGGCCACATAGTCGATGTTGTTGTCCACAAGTTGACCATCAGATCGGCGAATCAAATGAAATCGGGTTTTGTAGGCCGGCGTCCACGACATACATTCGCTAAACGAATGGCCAGTCAACGGACTGATCGTCATTGTCGGTACCGACATAACCAACGGCTGTTCAATAAGTATAAAATAGTTGTCAGTAATGGAGAAGCTGTGATAGTAGGACGGATAGAGTGGACGTTTCATCGGTACTGAGGCAACAATCGACATGTTTTCCAGTGGCTGTTCACCGCCGCCGCCGCCGTTTGGTATCTTAATTATATGATATTTGCCGTTACGTCCAAAACTCGTTGCCATATTGTAGACGGAGCCGTCCGGATCAACGTGCGGATGTGCAGTGGCCATATTGATGGCCACTAAGCGACTCAGATCAACCTTATCGCCAATGGTGGCCAGTGTATCCATGTCTACCTGTCGGATAAAGTTGGTCTCAGTGGCTGCGTATAGTCGATCGCCGACAGGATAAACATTGACAGCGTCGTTGTCGGTCAACTCGCTGGAGGACGACGGTATAAACCGACTGGCCAGCCGTTGCCAAATAGACTGACACGGGTCGGCCTGGGCTCGGGTACCGAATTCGCTGACCACTATACGCTGGGCGCGCATATTCTTGACATAGGCATCGCTACGCAGAAAACGATTCTGATATTCAACCCGACCGTCACTGATCCGGAACCGATGCAACAGTGCTAACCCGTCGAAGGCATGCTTATACCGATCAGGTCCAACCTCTTGAAGGCCGCAACCGTTCCGTATTAGTGTACCGTTAATCCAGTCGGGAATAATACCTGTATATAGTGACCGCCGATTTAGGTGGGAATAGGGTATATGTGTTTAAAATGGTTTAGTTTTTTTTGTAAAGGTATGTATGTTTTCTGAGATGACCTACCGGTGACAGTAGTTTCGATGGTATCCGAGCACTCCTGAAGACATGACCGCATAAACGGTACTTTTGTAGACACTTTTGCCGATACTTTTGCCGACATATTTTGATTATATATATAGTGTATATCTATTTATTTAATTATATAATAATTATATTAATAATGACAAAAAAAATAGATACAAATACTAACTGTAAATCAAATAATAATAAGTATATTAAAAAAAAATTAAAAGTTGACAAAAAATTTAATTATTCAAAATTATTCAAATATTTGATTCAAAAATTATGATTAATACACACACAACAAAAAAACCAATTGAATCAAATTATTAATAGTAGTAAATATGAAAATTATTATAAACTTTTTGTATTCATATTTTTTTATAAAAAAAATTAAATAAATAAATAATACTCATATGAATTTCAAACAAATTAAGTTTGTATTTATATACGAAAAATGTTTTCCATTTGTTTATTTTAATTAAATTTTTTTTAAAAAAAACTATGCAATATGTGTGCACTGTGAAAAAAAAGTTGCAATATATCTATTTAATTTTGCATCATAGTAATTATACTGGGTGTATTATAAATTATAATATTATACTGTATAATGTTATTACAAATAATTGCAATATATAATTACTGTGTATTATATTAATAGTTTTTTAAGTCTAGAAAAGCATTTAAATAATGTTCAAACCTAGTTATTATGTGTGTGTGTTATGACCTTGGCTAATTTATAATAAACAATAATCTATACTACTAGTACATATTTATATTACAAATTAGTATTTTACTAATATAACTTTTATATAATTTATAAGCTATTTATAATACTATAAATTATAATAATAATAATAATTTTTTTAAATACTTATCAAAGTTTTATATACAGTATTAAATTATTTTTTTTGTCGATGTTTTTTTTTGTTTGTTAGTTAATAAAAGCGAGGTTTGACTGTAAACAAAATGCTTCTCTCATTATTATTATTATATAATATAAGTAATCATAATAATAATTTTGTTACTGTAATACATGATCATTAAGTACATATACATTAGCCGTACACATACACTTGCGTGCACTCTAAGTATACATAAATAAATCAAAATAATAAGTTTAATTATATAATCAAGGTCATCAGTTAATATAATAAACTTTTTTATATATATATAAAAAAATAGATAACTGTCTAAATCGAAAATGAAATAATTTATATTTAAAAATACATTTATTCAAACAATTTTTTTACATTAAAAAAAACTTTTACTATTAAATCTATAACCAAAAATAATAATAATAAATAGAAATAAACATTAACCAATGTGTAATTTGTAATACTATTTTTTTAACAATTATTATTACAACAATTTGTGTTAATAACAAAACTAAATTTATAATAAGCATATTTATTCATCATTAATAATTAATAATAATTCAATATGTTATTTAATAAAAAAAATAAATACAATTATCTATAATAGCAAAAATAAAAAATTTAAAAACTATAAATTTTAGAATTTATTTTTTTTAAAAAAAAAGTTTGTTACATTACTTTTTGGATAATTTTATTAAAAAAATAAAACATTATTGAAACATTTAATGTACCATGATGCACTACGTGTTTATAAAAAAATCAAATTTATAATTAATGACAATTTCTATTTTTTATTACCACATCTATAATAAATTTATTTATAATTTTTTTCTCTAAACAATTTAAATTAAATGAACTAGATAATTATTGAAAATTTTATTATCGAACATGTATTAATTGTATATATAAACTATAAAATTATTATTAAAAAAAATATATTAAATAGTTTTTTATTGATTTATTTTGCATTAGTAAATATGATAAATAAATAAATAATTTTTTTTTTTTAAAAAACGGTATCAAATATACAATCAAAACATAAGTTTAATAATTTTGTTGTTAATAAAAAAACATACTGTGTTTTATCACTGGGACATCCAGGACATCATCATCATCATCACTAGCAGTTGGTCCATACAAGACACAGACACACATTAGGTTTATTATCGACAACAACAATGTCTCAATTGATTACCGTTGACGCCGCCACCTCCTCCTCCTCCTCGGCATCATTGACGTCGTCGACAAAACCGTTGTCGGCCGCCTCCGCCACTAACAACAACAGCTACATAACAATTGCCATCGAAGGTAACATAGGTTCGGGAAAGACAACATTTTTGCAACACATTCAGCAGTTCAATGACCGCCAAACAACAGTCGGACACAACAACAACAACAACGTCGAAACATTTGCCGAACCTATCGGCCAGTGGCGGGACATACGAGGTATGAATTTGTTTCAGTTGCTTCACAAAGATCTAAATCGCTGGTCGTTTACATTTCAATCGTACGTACAGTTGTCGATGTTGGCCATACACCAGACCCGGCCCAGTCGTCCCGAAGTGACCATCAAACTAATGGAACGGTCGCTATATTCGGCTCGTTATTGTTTTGTCGAAAATCTCTATCGACGCCAATGTATGCGTCGGGAAGAGTACGCCATTAACGACAAATGGTTTGAATATATGGTCAAAAACTGCGAAAGAGTTGGCATTGATCTGATTATCTATTTGAGGACCGATCCGGAGGTGGCCTACGAACGCATACGTAAGCGCAATCGCGACGAAGAAACCGGACTGACCATTGACTACTTGCGCGACTTGCATGACCTACACGAACAATGGCTGCTGGGCTGCTCTCATGGTGTCATCGGTGCCGGCGGCGACGGCGGCGGTCAACTCTTCAACGACCACATCAGCGACAAGTTTGCCGCACCACCGCTACCGGCGCCTGTAATTACCATCGATGCCAATCAACAGTTGGATGTAATGAAAAATCTATATGATATACATTCGGCTAATATTATCAACGGTACTGTCTTAAGATGATTACGTATTTGTTTATATATATATAAAAAATTAAGATTTTTTTCAATTAATAATAATTTGTATATTTTATTATTATTATTATCATTATTATTTTGTTTCTCTAATTTATAATAAATTAATTGGTTTATTAAATTTTTGTTATTGTTGTTATTAACTTATTATTTGTTAAAATTTATATATTTTAATTTATTTAATTTTGTTGTTGTGGGTAACTTTAAACTATTATATGAACTTTATTTAAATAGCATTGAACTAATTGTTTTGTCAACTAATTAATAATTTTTTTATGGTAAACAATATTTATTATTAAGTAATTCAAAGTTATATTTTTATAGTATTTGTTAATTTATTAGTAAAATATTTTTAAAAAAATTTTTATTAAGTTATTAATTATGCAGAAAAAAATAATAATATTTTATTACAATAACTTTTTTTTATGAATAGTAATTCAAATCAATTTAATTATTAAATTACAATTATTTATAAAACTATTAGTCTATACACTAATTACAGTCTAGAGTCTGTAAGTCTATAAATATAATGATATATAAAATTTTAATATAATTAGTATAATAAATATTTATGTTTTTATTACTGTATTTACTATTTTATTGATAACTATTACTATTACTACTTAGTCTTCATTTGTTTGGCCTCTTTGGCCAAATCGGGAAACAGTTTACAGAATGTCTTGTTTTTGATATTAAAATCCAACGACTGTTTGGCCAATTGGTGCCGTTGTTCATCACTTTGACGTACAGCTCCGGTCGAGTATTCGTTGCCCAACATAAAGCTAAGTAAACCGTTGAGTACGGCACCGGCTGTCCACAAGGGTGACCACGTTTCGGGATGAAATTCACTCATCGACAAACATAGGCTGGTATTGGTAGCAAAACGGCCGTTCGGTGTCAGCATACGTATGGCCGGCGGTTTGTAGGGAAACTCTTTGGGAAACGCCAGAGTTCCGTGATATATACCGCCCGCGTAGGGACTATCGGGCGGTCCTTTCAGTACGTAATGCCATTCAAGTATATTGCTTTCGAGCGGTACGGCCGTCACGAATGGTATGGGATCTTTGAGTAGCTCTTTGTAGTCTTTTTGTAGACGTTTGATAGCAATTTTAGGTAACATTTTACAGGACATACACCCACACACACACACAGATACTCGGGTATAGGTTACTAAAATTGCTGTTCAAATACAAACAACTCTCTGAACTGTCTGTCCAAACAATTTAATAATTGTTTAATAAATATATATTTATTCAACAATTTTTTAGTATTCAAAATAAAAATAATTTAATTGTTGTCACACATGAGTTTTTTAAAAATAATATAGCTATTGATTGATTCATTATTATTATATTTGTATAAATATTTTCAAAAAATCAGTAATAATAAGACAATAACTATAACAATAAAATAATAAGACAATAATAATAGTAACATAATATAGAAATTACAATTGAATTTAAATTAATGTGTTTTATAATAATTTTTGTTTTAAATTTATGATAATTCCTATGAAAAAAATTAAAGAATATATGAAAATATTTACAATAGACTTCATAAACAAAAATTAAAATAAAAATACAATAAAATACATTTTATTGTAGTTTCTATATATTATATTTTACTTATTTTAATTGAAAAATCAATAATTTTTTATACATTATATTAGTAATGAAATTTATAATTTTAAAATAATAATTATAATGACAATAAAATAAGGTAATAATAATAATAACTTAGTATATATTGATATTTAGTAATTTAAAACTAAATAGTAATTTAAAAAATTTTATTTTTTATATCATTAATAGTGTTACACAGTTATAATAAATATTTTTTTTCATTACTAATTGAACTTAATAATTATATAAGTATAGAAAAAAGCAATAATTTATTTTTATATTATTTTACACAATTTARTTAACATTTAATTTAACAATATATATATATATAAATTACTAACAATATGAAAAACAGTGTGTGAAAAAAATTATTATTTTTTAAAACATTTTGTATAATTATTATTAAATAGTTTGTATGCTTGGTTTGCACARTAGTTGACCGACGCTGCCGTAAATATGATAAATAWAAACGGTATCAAACATGCCATAAAACCATAAAATATAATCAAATTTTGTATAAAATTCAATTGTCTACCTGTCCATAATAAGGTATACAATGTAACAACAATAGCTGATCCAAAAAATAGCCAAACATTTAGCAAAAATTTTGACCAATAGGTTTGATTATAGTCAGCAATTTCGACAAACAATTTGTCCATTGATTTCATTATGTTTAACAATAATTTATTTTTATTTCTCTGTTGTGATATTTTTTCCAATTTATTGTAATTTTTTCTGATTTTTAATTTTAAATAGCGACACAAAATATATAAATAAATTACTTGATAGAGTACTATACTTAAAAAATGTTTACCAAATACAGCAAAACAACAGGCATTGGGTACACCATATAGTAGGACATAAATTGGTGATAATCTATGGGCATAGGTTACCACTAGAAGACTAAATGATACAATTTGTATAACAAAATCAATATTAAACTGACAAAAACTACACAATAGTGCCATCAATTTGATAAGTTTGAGTATATTCTGGGAATCGGTTAGACCAACACTTTTGGGTGTAATCAGTAAACCGGACATCATTTGGAAGACCCGCAAAAATGTCGGTTGAATGCCATTCATGTAGTTATAATAATAGGTTAGTTGTGAAACTAATATTATCAGTGATAGCAATATTAATATCATATCAATCTGTGTCTGAGCGCCAAAATAATAGCCTAAATCACCCAACAGTGCAAACATTTGCCAATTTGTCTCATCGATGAAAAACATTGCTATTAAACGTTGAAACAAATATATTGCAAAAAATATAAATATGAGAACCGGTCGATAATACCAGTGTCTAATGGGATAACAATCGGCAATCCGATGATGACTTAAACCGATACGATATAAATGATAGGCCGACCATTTGTAGACTATATTTACAGRTAATAACATTGATGTATCAATAATAGACATTTTGATTTAAACAGTTGTTATTTATTTATTTTTTGTTTAATTTAGTGCTAAAATTGTTATAATTTTACTCTACTATACATATAGAAAACTTTTTATTTTAAACTAATATATATATATATATATATACAATAATATTGAATAGCATTTTATTATTATTATTATTATCTTTTATACAAAACAATAATTAGAGACAAATAAGGTAATTAACAAAATATTATTATTTATATTAAGATATAAATAGTTGTTATTTTCATTATAAAGTACAGTAATTATTCACTAAAAACATGTTTATCTAATATTATAAAAAATACAATTAAATTAAGTAGCAATTTATTTTAATACACAACAAAATAATTTAATTGTATTTATACAGTATATATATACTATAATAAATAAATAGATAAATTTATATATATATATATATAAATATATATAGAATAATATAAATATTGGAAATTTTAAATTKTTAAGCTAAAGTCAATTATTATTATTAGAAAAAATGTATAATAAAAATAAAAAACAAAAAATAATAATAAGGCTGTAGTAATATGTTTTTTATTTGTAATAAATTTTATAATAATTTTAGTTTTTTTATGTGTATAAAATAAACTCATATTTTTAATAATACTGTCGACTAAATTTATTGCAATTTTTAGGTCCAAACTACTGTACTTATTAAGTAATATTATAAACAGTAATTATGTAAAAAAATATTATATTAAAATAYTAGTTTAAAAATATTGCAAAATAATTAGGTATTTTTAAATAATATATATATATAAATGTATTTTAAAAGTTTAAACCATAACAATAATAATTATATGAAAACTAAATCAATACTAATTTAGTAAATAAATTAATATAAAATTAATTAATAAATAATATCTGTTTTATTTTATATACAATTTTATTATTTATTATTCAATTATTTACAATATAACAGTATATTTGTGTGTAAATAATTAAATATGCAAATAAAATATGTATCAATTAATTAATCAACTTTTTGTTTTTGTTACTACAAATRTACAATAAATTAGTTATTTTCAAAATAATTATTTTAATTAACTATAGAAACAACAAATAAACAACAATATGTTTATATTAACTAGTATTAAAATTTAAATTATTACTAAAAAAAACTTTAATAAACTAATTATATAATTTTATTAATAATTAACRACAATAAGCATAATYAGTWATTAATATATAATAAAACATATTAAATACAGTTATTGTTAAATAATTTGTATGATTTGTTAGCACAATAGTTGACCGACGCTGCCGTAAATATGATAAACAAAAACGGTATCAAACATCCCATTAGACCGTAAAATAAAATTAATTTTGGTATAAAATTCAGTCCATTGCCCGACCATAATAGGGTATACAATGTGACAACAGTAGGCGATCCGAGAAATAGCCATACAATTAGCATAAACTTTGACCAATAGGTTTGATTATAGTCAACAATTTCGACAAACAATTTTTCCATCGGTTTTAAAATGTTTAACAATAATAAATGTATATTTCGGTGTTGTCTTATTTTATCCAATTTATTATAGAGTTTATACATTTTAAGCTTTAAATATCGACACAATATATAGAAATAGATTACCTGATATAATAGTATACTGAAAAAATATTTACTAAATAAGGCAAACAAACAGCCATTGGGTACACCATATAGTAGGACCCAAATTGGTGACAATCTGTGTGCATAGGTTACCACAATCATCATAAATGTTATAATTGGTACAAAAATATCTGTATTAAACTGACAAAAACTAGACAATCGGGTCATCAATTTGATAAGTTTCAGTATCTCTTTGGGTTCGGTTAGACCAATACTATCGGGTGTTATCAGCAAACCGGACATCATTTTGAAGACACTGAGAAAAGTCGGTTTAATGCAATACATGTAGTTATAAAAATAGATTAGTTGTGATACTAATATTATAAGTAATAACAATATAAATATAATAGCAATTTGTTTTCGGGCGCCAAAAAAATAGCCGAAATCACCCAACAGTGCAAACATTTGCCAATTAGTTTCATCGATGAAAAACAGTGATATTATGCGTACAAATAAATAAATTACACAAAATATAAATATGAAAACCGGTCGATAAAACCACTGTCTAATGGGATAACAATCGGCAATCGGATGAATAATTAAACCGATTCTATATAAATGATAAGCCGACCACTTGTAGGCCATATTTGCAGGTAATATCATTGATGTGTCAATTATAGACATTTGGATTATTAAAGTAATTTAACAATTAATTTCTGTTTAATTAAATAATAAAATTAATAAATATTTTTTTTAAAAATTAATTTTATGCCACTTTTTTATTTTAAACATACAGTATTGGGATTAATAAGTTTTTTTGTCTACTAATTAATAATTATAGACAAATTAGATTAAAATTAATTTATATAAAAGTAATATTAGTTATGCCAAAAAGCAATAACAACAATAATAAAAAATATTAAAATATTATTGACAACTTAAATAAACTAAAATATAGTAATAATAAAATAATTAATTAATTAGTAAGTACTTGTACATGTACTATTTATAATTTCAATATATAATATTACTCGTGAAAAAAAAAATTTTTAAATAACAAAAAATTGTAATATTATTTAGAATAATAAGTAAATTGTTAAGTTTAAATCGATACTAAAATTAATGATATAATATTGAATAAAAATAATGTATTTTTCTAAAGTTGATATATATATATATATATATCTTATAATAATATAAAAGTATAAASTAAATGTRTTTTTTTTTGTTTTTTGAATAACTAATATATTTTAATTATTATTATTTTTTTAAATATAYTATTTACTATATWCTAGTAATAWCYAGTTATATTTATTAAAAAATAATTGTATTTTTGTGTTAATAACAAGTRAGATAAACAATATATTATTTAAAAAAAACATTTCCATTTATTATCTATTAAATTAAACACAATTAAACATATTTTTTATTATATATTAAAGTTTATTGAGACAAATATTTTTGAGACAATTTACTATTTAGTTAGTAGTTACAATAGTTAATTAAGTTGAATAAAAATTAACATAAAATATATATAAATAAAATATAAATAATATTTAATTAATTTAATTAAAAATGAATATTTAATTCTTCCGCCATTAGAATGGATTATT